ATTTTTTAAGTTACAGTGAGTCCAAGATTAAAAGTGTAACATAATTACCATTTAAGGTTTACTATAGCGGTCAGAGTAAAAAAAAATCTTGGTTTTTCTTTTTCTTTTTTTTTTAAGAAATAAATTAAATTTTTGAATTATTTACTGTAATTCGGTAAATTTTTTAAGTTACAGTGAGCCCAAGGTTAAAAATGTATTATAATTACTATTTAGGCTTTACTGTAGCGGTCAAGTAAAAAAAATCTTGGTTTTGATTTTTTTTTGTAAAAAAAATTGAATTTTGAATTATTTACTGTAACTCGGTATATTTTTTAAGTTACAGTGGCCCAAAGTGAAAAATGCAACATAATTATAATTTACTATGTACTTAAAATAAATAGTAAATGAAAAAAGTAATTTTGAAAATAATGATAAATTTTAAAATTGTATAATAATATTTTTAATTTATAAATATTATTTTAATAATTAAATAAGGAAATTTTAATTTTAAAATATTTTTAATAATTTAAATTATAATAAAAATTTAAATTAAATTAAAAGACAAAAATGCCCCTGATTCGGGCATGTCAAAGGTCGGAAACAGTGAAATGGGACCAAAAAAGTGCGAAAATATAATGTTTGGGAATACGATATTAAAATGTTAATGTTAAGGACGTAAATTCAAATAGGCCCAAATGTAAGGTACTATTTGGACATTTTAGTCTATATAGTAAACATGTGATGATAAGTACATAGGATAGACTCTCAACTGTACAATTCAATCCTATAATAAGATTACTATGACAGTTATAAGTAACCATTTGGATGAATTAACATGGGAATCTTTTGTTTTTGCATTTATGGTATATGTGTGTGAGTTAGGTCCAAACCCTCCATTTGGATCACTAAGATCTACAAAGTCGATGTTGGGAATCACAAGTGACCTGTGGGTAGAAGGCGAGGGGATGGTTCATTCCTTGCACTTCAAGAAAGATGAAATCGGTGTATGGATGACGACCTACAATAACAAGTACATACAAACTGATAGTTTAAAAATAGAGATGGAAAGAAACAAACCAGCATTTCTTCCTGCCACCGAAGGAGACTCGCCCGCTGTTATCGCTGCAACTCTATTTAACATGGTATGTATCCGTTTAAAACACCTCATTAATTAGTACGTAAAAGATAATCATGGTATGTTATTGTATTTTTTTTGTTTTTGTTTTACAGTTGAGATTTGGCTGTGCTAATAAAAAACTAAGCAATACCAGTGTGTTTGAACAAGGGGGAAGGTACTATTCAATTGCTGAGAATCATATGCCTCATGAGATTGATATCGTAACGCTAGAAACTTTAGGGAATTGGGATGTAGTAAGTAGAGACTGGAATCGGACATTTACCAGTCATCCAAAGGTACTCTAATTTTGGTACTTTATAGTTGGTGAATTTGGATTGTATAATTTCTCATTCAATTTAACATTTGGCTAGTTCCTTAATTAATACTCACTATGTCCCAAAATTATTGTTTATGTTGAGATTTCAGTTTTAGTACAATTTTCAACTAAAAATAAAAATCTAAACTGCAAATCATTTCGTAATAGAAAATGTAGTAATTATTAGCCCAATTATGTAGAAAGCAGTTGGTACGGGAGAGCTGGTGATTTTTGGAATTTATCCCGTAAAACCTCACTTTGTTTTGGGAGTCATCTCAGGTTGGTTTTTTAACATTTGTGAAAAAAATATCGAATGCTTCTTTGATCAGAAAACATCAATCTTTATAAACTGAAGTCAGTGTGTAACCATATTTTCTGTGCATAATTATGTGTACAGCCGATGGGGAGAAACTGGTTCATAAAGTGGATTTGAAATACGAAAGATGCAGCGCTTGTCATGATATGGGGATCACTCAGAGGTAAAGAAAACGAAGTGTCCTTGTCCAAAAATTATTAGTTTGGTACTAAGAATTTCCAAAAATTATTTTCGATCTAGATGTAGGGACAAAATATATACTTCATCATCCGGCTTTATTAGAAAGCATTTGGATTTCTCTTAAGTTTCATATATCATATTTTTTTTAATTAAAACTAAAAGTTTAAAAATACTTTTTTATAATAAATGGGAGAATACCATAAATATATTAAATATAGTTTTCTGATTTTATTTTTAATTAACAAAATATAACAAAAAAAATTAAGACCAATCAAAATGTCTTAGAATAAGAAGATGAGAAAATTCATTGATGTCTCGTATAGGATACAATAGGGGCATGGCATCCCCTAAACACAATGTGTCCCGGGCAATACTTAATTAATAAACGAAGAATCAATCATCTTCAAAGAGAGGAAAGGGAAAAAAAATAAAAAAAAATAAAAATCAACTGGACTAGTTGGCTACTTATGAAGTTAGCCCAATCCCATCTTTCATGAGATTTGATGAAAGAAAATCAAACCAACTAATGAGATTTTTGGTATGAAGCAGGTACAATGTCATTTTGGACTTTCCTCTAACACTTGATATCTCCAGACTCATGAGGGGAGGCCCGTAAGTGCTTTATATACTTCAAATCACTCAGGATCATGTGTATTACTGTATTACTTTCACTACGAGTTAACCCTAAGATCACAAATGATATATTCTTGATTAATTGGTAATCCAGAATTTTCAAGTATGATAGCAATGGATTTGCAAGAATCGGAGTAATGCCTCGATATGGAGATGCTGATTCCGTCAAGTGGTTTGAGGTTGAACCATGCAGTGTATTTCATCTCGTAAATTGTTATGAGGATGGAGATGAGGTATGTTGAGTTAGAATATTAATGTTTATTTTTTCCCATTTAATTAGGAGGAAGAAGATTACTGAAATTTCATAAAACTTTTTTGCAATGTACATATTATTACATCATAATTGAACAGGAATGCATATATACTAATGTTAAGCTATAGTGTTGAAGTTAATTACAACGTAAACTAATAACGTATACTTATCAAAATATAACTAACTTAAGTATATGAGACAGAGAGAGTAGAAGTGTAACTATCGAAATTGTTAGTTTTTCGCAGACTAATTTTTTTTTAATTTGAATGTACGGTGGTACATATATATAGGTTGTGGTCATAGGATGTAAAGCTCGTGCGGCTGTCATACCAGGACCTGATTTTGGACGCGACAAATATCAGTGGTTTTCAAGAGGTTTCAAACCCTTAAATCTTTTGAATGAAAACGAAGAAAACTCACATGATGGATCATTGTTTACTTGTGTTCATGAATGGAGGTTGAATATGATCACTGGAGAGGTTAAGGCCATGAATCTAACTGGAGATGACTTCTCCATGGATTTCCCTTTTATCAACGAAGGTTTCACAGGTGTCAAAAACAAATATGGTTATACCCAAGTTATTGATTCTACTGCTAGCTCCACTGCAGGTATATATACATATTGACTATATTCCATTTTAATCACTTGAACAATATATCAACATTCACGAATTCTGCTTTGATCTGGCATTAGGAATTTCCAAATATGGAGGCCTTGCAAAACTTCATCTTGATGAAAGAGAAGCTCGAGTTCCTTATGTAATGCTTTATTTTTTCCCCTTAATTTATCATTGCTAGTACTATACTTACGTGCTGATATTTAATTTCTCCCCGTCCCAAAATAAATTATTTGAGAACGAAGGGAGTAAATTATGGTAAGCAACAATGTGATACTAATGTCTGGAATTATTGCATAAAAAATATATGTCAGGGGAAACAAACAAGTGTGAAATTTGAGTATCACAAATTACCAGAGAATACATTTTGCACTGGAGCTACTTTTGTGCCTAAGTTTGGAGGGCTTGAAGAAGATGATGGCTGGATCATTTCGTTCGTACACAATGAAGTCACCAACGCATCGCAGGTTCATTAGCACTCCTTCCGTCCCAGAAAATAATTCACTTTCTTGAACTAAAATATTAATATGATAGTAGTAATCTTTTTATTATGATGAATTTTTTTTCCCCCCTGTGTGGTAGGCTTACATTGTTGACGCAAAGAAGTTTTCAAGTGAAGCTGTTGCCAAAATTGATATACCGAAAAGAATTCCATATGGATTTCATGGAGCATTTATGGCACTCGACTCCAAGAAAGCAACTAAGGATTAGAAAATAATCGCTTGTGAATGAGCCGCCCTAGTTTATCTATAATTTATATTGAAATGTAAATATGTAGTAGTACTAGTAATCTTTGAATAATAAGGCACTTTTATAAATAGATTAATCTACATTTGTTTACGAACTCAGCTTCTTAATTAGCTTGTTCACCACAATATTACACAACTATCCAGGATAATCGACTCCCACAATATCCCGGCAAATTTATCAAGAACAATATTCCCTCCGGTTCTTATTATAAGGCATTTTGATTTTGTTTTAGGTTTAAGCTAAAATGTCTTTTTACTTAGAAAAAAATCTTTAACTAAAATATCTTTTTACTTAGGTTTAAGCTAAAATTTCTAAGTAAAAAGATATTTTAGTTAAAGATTTTTTTTCTAAGTTTTAAAGATTTTTTTCTAAGTAAAAAGACATTTTAACTTAAACCTAAGATAAAATCAAAATGTCTTATAATAAGAACCGGCCAGAGAGAGTATTTCGTAAACAGTGCATCTTGATTAAATATCCAGTCCATACAAATACAAAAAATTTTGTGGTGCAAGAAAATATGTGACAGAGTTGGCTTACTTCAATCCCCTTGGAGCATGATGCAACTCTCTACCAACTGTTCTCTCCACTACATATAAACGTTATGTTTTAATTCAAACAATTTTATAAATGTTGTTCAGAAAGTATATTCCAAGTTGGGAATGTGCAAAACCAAAGCTGAATACAGCCAAAATCCGCCTTTGGGTTTGGGAGAAGTCAAATTTCTTATATTTTGCTCACGCAAGCAAGCTTTAAATCCTACAACAAAAGTAACGCACAAAATCTGATGACGAGAAAAACTTCACTTCCATATGAATAATCTCTTTTTTTTCTTTTTTTTTGAGGAAATGAATAATTTTTTTGGTTTGACCAAAATCTCAAAATAACAAATTCAAGGACTGCCCAAATTAATTTTCCCCGAATTGAAAGTAAAAAAGACGCATGATTGATTAATTCGTTGCATTTTCTTGTTATATCTAGAAAATTCATATAAACAAAGACATATTATTGAATTATCCTTCTAATTGGGCAAACGGATCAAGCGATAAAATCTGTCGTGGCCATACATATCAACCATCTATTATAAATCATGAACCGATTCTTTGTAGCTTTCTTACACTTCTACTACTAAAATCTCATTCCATCATAGACAATCTTCTTTCTCTCTCTCACACAGACACACACTTAGACATATTAACTATGATTTGTTCGTGTAATGCATTACCAATATGTAGCAGCTCCAGCCCCGCCCGGAGACCTTTTCTTCCTCACAAATATGACGTCTCCACCACTGGAACCTCTAGTACTTCTTTTCCAACCAAGGTAACTTCATTTCTCCTCATTAAATTCATTAGTCGATTGAAAGAGCACAAATTAGCCTCCAGAACTAATTTAACGATGATTTTTCAGCCGATACTGAGGAAGCTGGAGAACATTTTGAATGACATCCCGGGAACAATAAAGAAGACTACGATCAAATTGTTAGACAGTTTTGTTGATTCAGCCTTTGATTTCATCGATCAGCCATTGCTCCCATCTCAGGTTAGATTTTAATCTTCTCGGCCGAATGATTTACTACAAGACATTTTAGTAAAATTTAAGTTGTCAATTTTTTTTTTCCATTAATCATTTTGAATTTTTATGGTTGTGGGTACATTATCGATATGGTGCAGCGTAATTTTGGTCCAGTGGAAGAGTTGAAAGAGGCGGTTCATTTGGCAGAAGTTGAAGGAAAGATTCCAGATGATTTTCCAGAAGGCGTTTACGTCAGAAACGGTACGTACGTAGTTTCAATATCTGCAAAATTAGTATTGACAAAACAGAATTAATTAATTAATTAGTGTTGTTACTTAATTACTATTACTACCAACAATGAAGTGCTACCTTGATATTGCCAACACTGTTTTTTAAAGCTGTTAATTTATTATAGGATACCGTTACTATCATCGATGATCATATCCATTTTGCTGTTGACGTTTCAATTGAAACTATATAAAAACTACATTCTGTCGATAATTTATACTTTGATTTACTGTTTCACTGTAATTCAACAAAACAGTTAAGTTTTTCATATGAGGGCCAAGAGTACTGAAGTTGTATGCGTAGATTTATTTTTCTGCTTTTTATTAAATTATATTTATAACGATAAACATGACAATCATTTTGAAATAGTGGGATAAATAGTTTTGTGTCGGTCTTTTATGTTGTTGCATTGTTTTTTTTTTTTTTTAATTTCCGATATATTGGGAGTGGATATCGTGAAAATTTTAATATCTTATCTACAGATATTCTTTTAGGCTCGAGTATTATAATTTTACTTTTCAAAATTCTTCGTTAACAGCAATCTCAGGCTATATATATATAAATATAAATCGGTAATGTCACGTGCTGATTTACGATTTTGTATTAACTTGTTTAACTCATATATATCCAAAACATAGAAATGTTACACACACTCTCTGTATAATAATTTTACTCTTTTTTGAGGAGATGGGGAGAGTAATTTCGACAAATATGTACAAATGGTTCACTTTCACGCATCCTGACTAATTTTGTTATTGATAATTTTTTTTTTTCTCGATATGAAAACTTATTTTTGGTGTTGCATTTGTCCTTCTTGTGTGTTTGGTCTTTCGTCCATTATCAATTTCATCATTGAAGTTTGTGATGACAAACGAATAAAGCTGGAATTTAAGAAGCATTGTTTTGCTAGTTTGTGAATTGCCATTATTGATTACTACGAAGGTTAAGAGATAATCATACTTGTCTGATCACGTTTGGGATTTACCATTACTGCATTACGAGAAACGTTAAAAAACGTCATCCCTGTGAGGGAGAATATCTTCTGCAAGTGAACTAGCATGCAAGACAAAATGGGGCGTCCTCCACAATGAATGAATTAGGGTTTAAAAATTTTTAAACGCTTTGTTGTCAGGCCCCCTTTGATTTTGATCTCTTTTGACCTCCTCATCAACTATAAAATTACACCTTTTGGCTTTTTCCACTCAATTAGTTTTCCCCAAAAAAGAAGCAATTAAAATTTAAATGACATTGGTGAGGTCTCTTGATTAGATCAAAATATTAAATAAATGTCATGACTTGTTTGACTTTGACTTGGCACTATTATACACTTTTGGCATAAATATAGACAATTAAGTGCTTCATTTTGGTCCGATGCATATGTACAAAGGATACACATTTCAGTCCGTTACAATGTAATTTCAATTTCACTAATTTTGTCCAAAAATAAAGGACCAAAATATAATTTACTGTTCGATAAGTGGTAATGACTAATGAATTTGGGGCATCTACAGGCCCAAATCCTCTATTCGGAGGGCATAAAACTGCGGTTTCTGTGTTTGGAAAATCAAGCAACACATGGATAGAAGGAGAGGGAATGATTCATGCCTTATACTTCAATAAGGGTACCCAAAACAGTGTGCATAACTGGAAAGTTCGTTACAAAAACAAATATATGGAATCAGAGACATTCAAGAATGAGGTTGAAAGGGCTACACCAGCTTTCCTCCCGGCAGTAGAAGGAGATTCCCTGGCTGTCTTTTCTGCTCTTTTGCTCAATTTGGTAAGATGCTGATTTTTTTTTATATATTTTTTTATAGCATTGACTATTGATTAATTTTTGTGAATGATTACGAAACAAAATGTTGTAGGGTAACAGGTTAGGGGGTATGATGCATGATAATAGCATTTGTTAATTTATAATTGTACTAGGCAAGGGATATGATGTATACATGCATGATGACAGAAATAAATTAAGCTTTTTAACATAAAATTCTTGTACATCGTAGCTGACAATTATAGTTCATTTGCAGATCTTTTGATCCATTTTTGTTTAATGATTTTTACTATTTGGAGTAACGTTATTTGACTAGCTAGCTTATATGTAAATAAGTAAGTACTATTAACATGATGCTCCTTGATTTACAGTTGCGATTTGGGACGGCAGACAAATATATTAGCAATACCAATGTGTTTGAGCATGGTGGGAGGTTCTTCGCGACCGCTGAAAATCATGCTCCTCACGAAATTGACATCTCAACACTTGAGACTATTGGCAAATGGGATCTTGATGGAAATTGGAAACGACCTTTCACTAGCCATCCCAAGGTATATTAATTCTTACTACTTGAATTTTATTTTTTCGTCCCAAAATTATTGTTATGTTTGCCATATAAGAATTTTTAATTGTTATTATAATTTTTGACGAAGTGCAGAAAGTTCCATCTACAGGAGAGTTAGTTATGTTTGGTGTCTCTGCCGTAAAGCCATACTACCAAGTTGGAGTCATTTCAGGTACTTCTTTCTTTTGTTTTTCTTCTTCTTTTTTTTTTTTTCACTTGTTGGAACTTAACTAATTAATTAATGCATATAAATTTTATGTCTTCAGAAAAATATATATATATATATAAATTTATAGTTTTTTTAAGAATCATCTTTAATTAATTAGTACTAATTTTCTTTCTTTTTCTTTTTTCCTTTCTGGCTTCAGCTGATGGGGAGAAAATTGTACATAATGTGGATATAAAAATAAATAGATGCACACTGTGCCATGACATTGGGATTACAGAAAGGTATTTCTTTATTAGGCCAACGATATATGAAATGAAAATTTGTCGTTCTTCGTCTTTAAAAGGGACAAAAGTAGCTGGATAATTAATTTAATTATCATTCAGGTACAATATTATTCTGGACTTTCCACTGACAATAGATATAAATCGACTTGTAAATGGTGGCCCGTAAGTACACTTCTCCTTATATCTTTTTCATTTTTTTTAATTTTTTTTTTTTTTGGGCCTCGTGATATATTATTAATAACTGACTCTCTTCTTTCAACATTCCAAAATTATTTAGAACAAATAATGCACATTGCACACTACGTACACACATACATGATACATGCTGTAAGTAGGGTTTTTTTTCTAAAAAAAATAAAGGAAACAAAATTAATGAAAATGTTTTATACATCGGACAATGTTTTACCAATTAAAGAGAAGATAAGTTGGTATAACGAAACAATTAAAATGAAATGAGAGAAAACAATTGCTACTTGCTATATCGAATGAGCCCAACAAACCTTTCTCTTGCATAGATATAAACTCTCTTTTGAAGGCCACAAAATTTATGAAACGTAATTCCTATATATCTCTTGCCATTAATACAGGCTTATAAGATATGATGAAAAAGGCTACGCCAGGATTGGAGTTATGCCTCGTTATGGTGATGCTGATTCTCTTAAATGGTTTTATGTCGAACCTTGCACTGCATTTCATGTCATCAATTGTTTTGAAGATGGCGATGAGGTGATTATATAATTTTCCGTCACAAAATAATTATCTCTATTTTTTCCCCTCCTGATCAATTGTGTCTAAATCGTTTTTTTAACTTAAGTGAATTTTGATGATACAGGTTGTGGTGATGGTATGCAAAGCTCGTGGATCAATTATTCCAGGACCCGAATCGGGTTTGAATAAATTGGATTGGTTTTCTAGAGGATTTAAGCACATCAATTCAGTAGACGAGACATCACAAGATCGGGACTCACAGGAAGGAGCATTTTTTGCTCGTGTTTATGAGTGGAGATTGAACATTCAATCTCGAGAAGCCAAAGGAAAATATCTGACGGGAACAGATTTCTCAATGGATTTTCCATTTATAAACGAAAAATTTACTGGTACAAGAAATCAATATGGATATACACAACTTGTCGATTCCGAGGCAAGCTCCATTTCAGGTACAACATATTTGTAAATGTACTTAATTCTCTGTCCCATTTTACTCTATAGTACGTCTTATATTCCAAAATAATTATTCAATTTGTACGTGATTGTGTTTAAAGTATAATTTGTTCTGAAAATGAAAGGAAGTATTAAAATGGGACGAGGGAAAAATAATTATCAACTTTAAGAAACTCTTGATTTCTTTCAATGATTACATTTTATGATTGATTTCATTAGATTGTTTGTCTTCCTAGGAATGGCAAAGTATGGGGGACTAGCCAAGCTTCATTTTCAGGGAAGAAAAGCTGAAGTCTCACCATCGGTACGTATATATATACACACGCTTAATTTGCCCCTTGATAACAATCAACCGAACACTTTAAAAACACACAATGACAGACATCTGATCCATACAACATACTAAAGATGAACTAATTAGTTTTCCATTTTCGTCGTACAATCATGAAAAAAATTGTTCATATTTTTGTTGGTTTCGTGAGAAAACTGAAAAATAAGCTCAATTTGATTAACTTTTTTATATAGGAGGGTGAAGCAGCTCATCGTCAGGAGGTGATAAAGGTTGAATATCACAAGTTTCCAAAAGACACATTTTGCACAGGAGCCACATTTGTCCCAAAATGTGGTGGAGTTGAAGAAGATGATGGTTGGATTATCACATATGCACACAACGAAAGGACTAACATATCTCAGGCAAGTTTTTAATTATATCACATTTTAACTGCAAAGAGGGTCAAACTAGAAACCATCTTAAAAGTTAAATCAAATTCGCATGCATGCTACACTTTTAATTAATTGATTACTTATTTGCTTGCAGGTACTTATAGTTGATGCCAAGAACTTTTGTAGGGACCCAATCGCCAAAATTTGTCTTCCAACAAGAGTGCCTTATGGTTTTCATGGAGCTTTCTTTCCGCAGTAAATTTTCACTAATGTAGGCCACAATGAGGAGGATCGGTATATATATAATTATCAGCACCGTAAATTTAATTTTGTACAAAATTTAATTATGATGATAAATGACAGAGACAGGGAATTAAGAAGATAGAATTGCACGTTGTGAGTTGTCGATAACATACATTAATGTATAACTTTTACATTCATTAGCAATTGAAACAAAATATATAATATAATAATAATAATACTAGTTCCTGTAGTTTATGTTTCCATCGGTTTTTTTTGTGTTCATTTTTCCAATTATAGTACTTGTAGTATATATGTTGTTCTTACAAGTAATAGTACCGAACGTCAACGCTAATGGTTCTGTTTGAACAATAATTGTATTCGGGTCGCGGAAAGTGAACAGAAAATAACTCGAATACAAAAATAAATCAGAGCGACTGTGGATATGTTCAAAAATTGGCCTCGAACCTAGAATCAAGAATTTAGGATTAACTTTTAGTTTAATAATAACTAAGAAAAATATAGAGGAAGAATCGGGACAAGCCAAATTGGTGGCCGTCAATTCCTTAAAGTGGGGAGAAAGAGATATATGTAGTGTCGACTGACTATAGAGAACGTCGATAATGCGCTATTACTAAGAGAATCAAATTTATTGAAGTAGAAAACGATAAACGTCTACCTATTTTTATAAGGACAAAGAATGAAAATACGAAAAAGAAAGAAAAATGAATAATATCGATTGATGATGTTGAGAGGTGTCTCTGTCGTTTTCCGCGCGACTGCCTTTTATAAGGCTCAAACCGTGACTTTTTGGAAATAAAGATAAGTCTACTACCACTCAACTTCTTGGAGAAAAAGTCGATACAACATGCTCCATATTAATCCCAAGATATTGGGAGTTGGCCGAATCCCATTGTGAAGAGGAAACCCAAACATATGCCATTACTAATCTTCTATTTGAGAAAGAAGTCTATTAAATATTAATATTGCCTAACTTCTCTTGTAAACAGAAATCTTCACGTGAATCCGCCTTTAATGTGAAACCAAATACAAATAGACTTGGCTCTCAAATTCAATCCCTTAATGATAAGGACATCTATAATTAACCGAGCTTGAATTAAGACCGCTTCTCCACTTGAGGATCCTTCTTGAATTAAGATACCAGTATCAACGAAACACTACCTTTTTGGTTGACAATCACCAGCCTGTCAAAAAGACCCAATTTATTTTGAGATCTAACATAAAGCCCCCCGAACGTCCATATGGAATGGAATGAGATGTGGACGTTGAATAACACAATGTGACCAGAAATATGAATTTGACACGGGACTAACATCGACATAATACCAACCTGCTGGAACAATAACGTAACACGGCACCCAAGCAAAACGAGGAACCTAATGATTGAAGCGAGGTACATGCTTACTTCGCCAAGATGATGGGCGTCTCCTTCGAAAATCACCCATTGTGCAAGAATTTCTTGAACTGCGTCGATGCCAACTATTGTTGTTGCTCCCAGGTTGCACCTTAGGAGTGTGTTAGAACTGACCCTCATGTGCAGGAGAACCACTATTTTGGCGCCCACTATCATTCTGAACCCGAGAGCTTGACGTGGCAGTGATACTTTCAACTGCTTCCTCAATCGTTGACAACTTACTAGCATCTGCAGCAGAACTTTCTTGATCGCCATCGAACTTATCATTCAATTGTCGACTTAAACAACAGACTTTTTCTCTTGGTCGGCCACACATTGGACAATTACATCACTGCTAATTCCAGTCGACACATTGCTAGACTTATCATCGACAACCTTGGCCCCAAATACCTTGATTCTGCTAGGCTGCATAACGGAAGGTGTAAGCATCTTCGACTGATCTCTTGCATAACGCTTCTTTTCTCGGCCAATCAAGGATTCCAGCAACTCACGATCTTTAGCCAAATCAATCCTCCATTCTACGGCAGCACCATAATCTAAATAAGCATAATTACTGTCACCACCATTAAAATCAATGCCGCGTAATTTAGGACCATCATCAACCGTTTCTACAAAGTGAAAACCATCCGGTATTGGCTTCCCTTTACTCTGCTTACTTCTTCTGTTGGCAGAACCCCTCTTGTCATAAAACCATGCATGATGACACTTCTACTTAACCGGTAAAGAATCTGTTGCATCATTGACCAATTCGGCACTACTGTTGCACTGCCAATCTTGGAAGCCATCATTAGAAACTGCAACCTATTGGTCTGCTGCTACTTCTTTTGGAACATTAGCAACTAGGCATTGTGTCGGTTCAGCTGTCACAGATAAATTGGCATCAGGTTTTGCCACTTGGCCTTGCTTCTGCCCGCCCTTAATTTCGTCGACACTTGGACAAACAGAATTATCAGTTGCAGGTAAAATATAGTCGCAGCTGTCACAAATAATCTCCTCAATATCATTGTTGCTGCTAGAAAACTCATAAGATTTCCTACGATTGACTTCAACATACTCGTTTTCAACAATAACAGGTTCATTAGACAAACAAAATGAATTAGTATGCACACAATGCTCAGTAACAACAACAATTTCAATAATCGGCAATGATTTACTCGTCGAAACTGTATTTGATTGCTGCGACACCTGTTTCTCTGCAGCGACAAACGCTTGTTGAGGGTGCTCAGACTCTTTCTGCAGGCCTTCCCTAATCTTGTCATATTCAGCATCAAAACACTAGCTAATTCCCCGGGTGTCGACGATAAATCTGTCATAGAACTTTCTTGCAACAGATTTTTTGTTGTAGCTGAACTTTCACTTGCTTCTTGCGTCTGCTGAGTTTGTTGTACCACCTGCAAATTCTGTACCTAAGGTAATACTTGCTCATGATATTGTTCCGACGAACCCTGATGTTGCTGCGTCGATGATTCTGCTTGCTGATGTTGCCCCGACAATAATTGCTGTTGCTTTGTCGATGATAGAACTTGTTGATATTGTGGCAAAAAAAACTGTTGATGCAGCGCCTTTATCTGACCTTGGAGATGTTTCAATGACAAAACCTGTTGCTGCAGTACCTGCATCTGCACTTGAACCTGCTGTGGTTGCGCCTGCAACAAAACTTGCTGATGCTGCGGCGACAAAACCTGTTGTGGTTGTGCCTGCAACAGAACTTGTTGATGCTGCACCGGCGACACCTATTGTTGTTGTTTCACCGGCCCCTGTTGCACCATACTTTGACCATTATGTGTAACCATTGGAATACCACCAACGGCCAGCCCCCCCGAATCTAGAGGGATCTTGTACGATAGACACATCGTGCCATCTGTCGACACAATTAGATTGTTGTATTGCACCATATTGACTTTAAGTTTGAGAAAAACGGTCATCAATGGTAGCCTACCATCCGATATTATTTTCAACCCCCAAAGAATTATGTCCTATGTGTAGAACTATGGGCTTTGAGAGATATGCCCACCAAGTGGTGATGGACTATATATAAGAGTATATAGGTTGGGTATTACTAAGCGACCTATTATATGGAGAAGAAGTATAGATCGGATCCCTAGGGCTACTAAGACCATAAATATGGTTATTGGAATAATCCATGATAAGAAGGAAAAATAGAGATTTTTTGCAAAAAGTGTTTTTTTAAAAAAAAATTTTTTAGAGAAAAAAAAAAGAGATTTTAAAAAAAGAGATTTTAAGAAAAAAAAAACCACCACGATCTAGGAATCAAACCAAAGCTTGTCCCACTAGGCGTGCTATTTTTTATGTTTGAACAATAATTGTACTCGGGTCGCGGAAAGGAAACAGAAAATAACCCGAATACGAAACAAACCAGAGCGACTGTGCATGCATTTGAAAACCGGCATCGGACCTAGAATCGAGGACTTAGGGTTCACTTCGGTTTAATAATAATAAGAAAAATATAGGGAAGAAGCGAGACAAGCCAAGAGTGGTGGCCGTCGATTGATTAAATTGGAGAGAAAGAGAGAAGGTAGCGCCGGCTAGTTAGGAAGAACGTCGATAATGCACTATTACAAGGAGAATCGAATTCATTGAAGTAAAACACGATAAACAACTACCTATTTCTATGAAGAAAAATAGGTTAAAACCTATCTAATCTGGTCTAAACTATGAAAGCATGATAAAAATACAAGAAAAGAAAAGACGAAAAAGAAAAAAAAATGAATAATATCGATTGATGATGTTGATCGATGATGTTGAGAAGTGTCTTTGTTGTCTTCCGCGCGGCTGCCTTTTATAAGGCTGAAATCGTGGCTTTTTGGAAAAAAAGATAAGTCTACTGCCACTCAACTTCTTGGAGAAAAAGTCGATACAACATGCTCCATATTAATCCCCAAGATATTGAGAGTTGGCGGAATCCCATTGTGAAGAGGAAACCTAAACATATGTCATTACTAGTCTTTTATTTGAGAAGAAAGTATATCAAATATTAATCATTGCCTAACTTCTGTTGTAAACGAAAATCTTCACGTGAATCCCCCTTTAATGTGAAACCAAATACAAATAGACTTGGCTCTCAAATTCAATTCCTTAATGATAAGGACATCCATAATTAACCGAACTTGAATCAAGACCGCTTCTCCACTTGAGGATCCTTCTTGAATTAGAATACCAATATCAACGAAACACTACCTCTTTGGTTGACAATCATCAGCCTGTCGAAAAGACCCAATTTATTTTGGGGTCTAACATATTTATAACTATTGGAAAATCATCATCTCAAAGAATAAGTTCATACATGTATAATTCGGTTGAGATTAGTATGTGTTGTTGCTATCAATTTAAGTCTACCTATTTGTTGGCAAATTATCTGGTACACCCGAGGGCACCGTGTACCCCCATGCGCGTGTACTTTACTCTCTTAGAATAGCGTGAGCTCGCTAGATGATTCAGCTTTCTTTTTCTTTTTTTTTTTTAAACGTGGCATATATAAATTACCGAATTCATTCAAATTTTGATAACTTTGTGGATAACTAGTATTGACACTGTGGATAACCAGTGTGCACACTATGGATAACTAGTTAAATATAGCTGGATAACCAGTGTGCACATTATGGATAACTAGTTAAACATAGCTGGATAACCAGTGTGCACACTATGGATAACCAGCTACACACTATGGACAACCAGTGTTCACAATGTGGATAACCAGTATTGGCAATATGGATAATTAGTTATACACAGTTGGATAACCAATATTGACAATATGGATAATTAGTTATACACAATTGAACGTACCTTATTTCCATCATTTGGCAAACTGCCCCTCATTCATTTTTTGTTCTCCATCATTTGGCAAAATGCCTCTCATTCAATTAAATGCTATTTATGAAATTTGCCGTGTTCGGCAGGGGGCGGCGCAGCCGCGGGCACCGGCGTAGCCGAGTCGTTTAATTTATCACGGGGGGATTTATACAAGTAATTTGTGTCCCCTCTTAACGCTAACGCACTCTCCTCACACACACACGAAAAAGGATTACCTTAGCTAATTTGGTGTGTTCGGCGGGACGGCGCAGCCGGAGAAGGTTGGTGACCTGCGATTCCGGTAGCCGCTTGAGTCGTTTAGTTTATCATGGGGGGCAAAGCCCCCCAATTAACATGTCGTTTGCTTCTTTACCTCTGGATAACCAGATTACAACTTGTGGATAACCAATTTATACCTTATGGATAACCAGTTTACACCTTGTGGATAACCAGTTTACAACTTGTGGATAACCAGTTTACCCCTTGTGGATAACCAATTTACAACTTGTGGATAACCAGTTTACACCTTCTGGATAACCAATTTATCTCTTCTGGATAACCAGTTTACAATTTGTGGATAAATTATGGATAACGGCAATTGTGTGTGTTTGTGCGTGAGGATGAAAACAGTAAAATGGATGAAAAAAATTTTATTTGTGCATTTAATGTAAAGGTGAAAAATGTTGAGCGCGTGTAGTGCGTGCGTTTGATGGGGGTATACGGTATACCCGGGTGCACTGGATACGGACTCTATTTGTTTTATACCAAAAGCACTATTTCTTCTGTTTCAAGAGAAAACAAAGTTAATCTACATTGCCAATATAGCTTCTTTTTTTTTCTCCGAAACAGAAGTAACTAAATTAAGGGATGAATTGTCAACCCATCGTGATTAATAAACTATATATTGGACCACACGAAAAAGAATGAATATGTAGTGTAGCTATAACTCCGTTCACCGATCGGATTCATGCAGAGTGATCGATCCGACAACGAATCTGCAATCTGTAGAAACGAGTTATGATGTCAGTAAATTTTCATCTATCATCCAACAACCGAATCTTAGCCTATTGTCGTCTGAAATTGGAATGTTGTGGACCGTTAAAATTACAGCAGGTCCGGCTCTGAGATTTGCATGAGATAGAGAGACAAGTGGCACAGTCAGATTGGGCGCTGCCACAATCAAAATGTGACATAATTCAGCAACATGTGTTAATGTACTTTGAAGACCCTAGCTACCTCCTCTATATAATTGGGAGGTCATAAATTGGCTTTAATTTTGAAAGGGTTAGTTTTTATCATCATCATCATTATCATGTACTAAAAAATACTGAATATTGCATTCATTTTATACAGTCAAATACAAGGTTCGGACTAAATTCCTAGTGATAAAGTTATTAAACAAGTTGGATTATGATTCAATAAACATAAGAATCTGATTTCATGATAGCAAGTTGGAGGAGAAAAAAAATACCGGCCAAAATTTAAAGTTTGTGCGTATTTTGTGAGACTGCCGGTAAGATGTGCCATCACCGTTCATCACCACATTAATTATGTCGCTGCAAATTAAATAAGTTTATATTATAGACCATACTTTAATTATCTCCCCCACTCATGGAGGTTGACCGGGCCAATTGTAGCTACATAAGATCATGGTGAATTGAAATCACGTCCAATCACATTTCTTGTTTTGACATTATCTTCATGCATCCATTTCATTTTCATCATAGGTGTAGTACACGAGTGGATAGCATATATCTAAACCAAGCAGCTACATAATTGTGGGTTTATTTTATTTTCTTACAAGACTACACTATTTAAGGGGCTTTTTTATGTGTGTGTGTATATATATATATATATATATATATATATTAGGTCGATACTAAATATCATTCAACTTGGATGGACCTCTGATCGTCGATTTCAGAGTTCTAAAGATAAAACTTTTAGAAATATGTTTAAATATTTCATTTGAAGTAGATTTTGTTATTACTGTTTAGAAGCCATGACATCATTGTCATTTTGACCAACGATCTCATCGACTAAGCTGAAAGAATAATTACAATTCCACGGAAATCTTATTCTTCTTTTTTTTTTTTTGTTAAAAAAAGCGAGACAAAAAGACTAAACTCAAACTAGTATACTTGGAGGGTAGGATACCCCAATTAAATCATACTCTAACCAAAGCAGGACGCCCGATGGTGGAGCTGGGAGCCATTACACACTTCTTGGCCTTTGTGCTGCCAATGTCGTCAAATAATCTGCTAAAAAATTAGCTTTCCAGTAAACATGTTTGATCTCCACCACCGTCCACTCTGGCTTCGGCCGTCTTCTTTATTCTTTCCTCAAATGAGAGTTAATGAGAGGGTAAAACTGTAAAAGCGAGAATCTAAACTAGGAAAAAAAAAAACCATGGACCAAGGCGAGTAAATTTTTCGCAAACGCATTTATTAATGTTTGTTAGTGTTTGATAAAACTTTTTTAATGCATCGTTTATGAGGAATACCAACCAGCCATTTTCATGAACTTATTATATACTCCCTCCTTCCTACAAAAATAGTCAACATTGAATTTTAAATTTTGTATTATTTTTAGTAAAAAATTTAAAACTTGATATGGACTATTTTTGTGGGACGGGTAGTAGTAGTAGTACTTATATGTGTTACATTGTGTAATTTAAGTATTGCTAATAAAATCGATGTATGCCCACTTTAAAAATTCAGTCTCTGTCGAGTCTTCTTCATTTCCCATCTACCCTCTTTCCCTCGTTTAATCTTTCTCAAATTTTTCTCTGTGAAGAGCCTGGACCAATATCATGGAATTTTATAGCAGAAAAACTCTTCACACCTTCATGGATGTAGATAGAAAAAAATCCAGTCAATCTGATCAACCAACACCGCCTCGTCTCTCTTTTAAATCCTTCGAACAAATATCAACCGAACATCATCATAATCGTCATCATGATCTTAACTTCAGTCCATCAAGATCATCAACGCCGTCGACGTCGCCGGGGCCGGCGATGTATTCCATAATGCCACCGCCTAGCCCGGAATCACCATGGACGCTTTCTCCTCATCAGACTCCGTCTCCTTCTCTGTTGTACCATTGCATTGCATCCCTTCATCGTCAAGAAGGGATTATTTACTCCATCGCCGTATCACGCGGGACGGTTTATACCGGGTCGGAGAGTAGCCGGATTCATGCCTGGCGTCAGCCGGAGTGCACGGAAAGAGGGTACATCAAGGCGAGTTGCGGTGAGGTCCGGTCCATCTTAGCTTATGGCAACATCTTGTTTACATCTCATAAGGATTGTAAAGTCCGAATGTGGAACGTCACAGCCGTTGAGAATTTCCGGGCTAAGAAGGTACGAAGATATTAGATGTTAAAACCTAAGCTTGTATTTCATTGGCCTTCTATTTTGAAATGATTATCCAGTTTAAATTTTTATTTTTAGTACAGTTTATATTAAAATTAAAAATTTAAAGTGAACAATGGTTTTGAGGCAATAGAGTACTTTATAAGGTATTGAACAAACAAGTATGCCATTTGCTGAATCTAATATATTGAATTTTATTTTTATCCTGGAAAAAGGTTGCTACTTTGCCAAGAAGAAACCCTATTTTCTTGTTCAACAAGTCATCAAGAAATTCCCATCACCAACATAGGGACTTTGTTTCTTGCATGGGATATTACCATGCAGAAGGACTTTTGTATACCGGATCATGGGATAACACGGTGAAAGCATGGCGGGTTTCCGACGGGCGATGCGTAGATTCATTCATAGCTCATGATGATAATATCAATGCAATTGTGATCAATCAAGAAGATGGGTGTGTATTTACCTGCTCATCTGATGGCACAGTGAAAATATGGAGAAGGGTTTATGGTCATGGATCCCATACTTTAACAATCACATTAAAGTTCCAACCTTCCCCCATAAATACCCTGGCTTTAAGCACATCATTGACTAATTCCTGCATCCTTTATTCTGGATCTTCGGATGGGTTTATAAACTTTTGGGAAAAGGAAAAGAATTCGAGTCGGTTCAATCATGGAGGGTTTCTTCAAGGCCATAGGTTTGCGGTTCTTTGTTTGGTAGCCATTGAGAACCTGATATTTAGTGGCTCAGAAGATACAACAATTAGGGTGTGGAGAAGGGAGGAAGGGAGTTATTATCATGAATGCCTAGCGGTTCTTGATGCACATAGAGGGCCAGTGAAGTGCTTGGCAGCTTGTTTGGAGATTGATAAATTAATGGTGATGGGGTTCTTGGTGTATAGTGCTGGATTGGACCAAACTTTTAAAGTTTGGAGAGTTAAAGTGTTGCCGGATGAAAATCATGTGACAATGGAAGGAAGTAACACAGATAAGAGTTGTGATGTTAAGAAGATATTTGGTTCGGAGTACGAAATGAGTCCTGTTTTGTCTCCTTCTTGGGTTGAGAAAAAGAGGCAAGGTGCTCACATATGAAGTTTATCCTTCTTTGGCTGGTTATAAGAAAATGACTTGACATGTTGATGAAAAGAACCATCACGAAAGATCATCATATATATGCTTATTTATATTATACTTTGAGGTTTTTGTAAATCATTTTTTGTTGATGTAGTTCAGTACGTTCTTAATTAATTGTATTGTTGGCGAAATGGTTGTTGAATAGTTAGAAGGATTCTCCACTAGGTGATAATCTCTTACGTTACCCCATTATTAATTACTATCTTCCTCTACAAATTATTATTCATTTTAAATTTTTATTGTTATTACAATTTGTATTAAAAAAATAAAATTAAAACTGAGCAATCATTTCAAAAATGTAAGTAGTTTTTTAAAATTAAAAAAAAAATAAAAAAGTGGGTGCCATAATCTACTGTACCCGCCATCTAGCACTCCTAATTTCCGTTCGCTGCACCCATGAGAATAAGATTTGCAGGCTACTCCGGAAGAACCCGCCATTACATATAATTATTAAACCATATTTGACTCTTGTTTTTTTATTAATCATTTATCTTCATATCGAGCTAGATTTTAAATATAAATATTTCTTTGAAATTTTTCTTTATTTTATTTTCTTCTATGATCTTTTACTTATATATATATATATATATATATATTGGCTGAATAATAACCCATATCTCATTTGCTCACCATTCCTTCTACAACCAAAAAAAATAAACAGCAAATTTTTTTTTTAAAAAAAAATCACATTTATGCTCGGATGTATGGGATCCGAACCTCAAAATTTCCTGGAAATTTCAACAGGAATTCCGCGTCGATAATTGAGAGCATGAATAGTAGTTAATAATACAAAGATAGATTCCAATGGATTGGTTAAAACTGAATTCGGATGGTGCTTTTAAGTTTTAATAGTGGATCAGGTATGACAAGTGCCACTGGTGTGATCCGAGATCATGATGGTTGTATTTGGAGAGCTGGATTTGCTATGAATATTGGCTTCTGCAGTATTACGGATGTGGAGTCGTGGGATTTATTTCAAGGGCTTAATTTGACTTGGGATGTTGAAGGTCGAAATATTATTGCCAAAGTTGATAGTATGTGTGTGTTGAAAATGGTGAAGGGCGAGGAGGAAGAACTGGGGGCTTCATACAAGTCTTTTACGTGGCATTCGGTAGATTTTGAGTAGGCCTTGGTCTGTAGTTTTGAAACATGTATACAAAGAGGCCAATTTTTTGTATGGCGGTCCGGATAGGTATCAACAATGGTCCGCACCCCCATTTTATGTTATGATTTCTTAATTATAAAGTCTCTTTTCTTTGTACCAAAAAAATAAAAATAAAGATAGATTCAAAACTTATTATTTCGATGTTTTAATATATTTATTAGCTACTCTGATCTATCTAAGACAAATCAAAATATCTTATATTAAGGATCGGAGAGAGTATATCGTAATTTTCTATCCATTCTGTTGGGCCATCTTCCTGACAAAATATATATATTCACTGCTTCTACAAACATCGGAGGTTTTTATAAATTCTAACAAAGGTAGAAAACCCCGTCGCAAATCGTGTAGTGCCCTGGGAATTCCTGGATTTCTTCATTTTCGAGCGGCAGGCGATAACTGAATTCATTGACGGCTTTTCTCTTTTCTTTTCTTTTTTTTTTTTTTTTGGGGGAGTTAACATTTAACTGAATGTTGTACATGTCATATTACCTAAATCATGTCCTAATAATATGGCAATATACAATTTGGGGCCACCATAGTCCATAAACACTGTCTTAGTAAGCACATCGACACATAAGTTAAAATTTCTCAATCTATTGACGGCTTTTCTTTAAGTCGTTATTGCGTCTAAAAAGAAGTCTCCTTTCATGTCCCTATATTGTTATCTAACTTGTTTCTTTATTTTTAGTATAAATACAATATAGATAATTGTTTTTTGCAGTATCTAAACTTTTTTTTTTTTTGGAGACCACACCTACTGGTGTTGGTACCTATCTAAACTCAAAAGATAATGATAGAGAAGACAGTGGATGTGTATGATGACACGAGTTATTGTCGATCTCCGCAGAAACTGCTAAAGTAATTAAAGTGCATGAGCTACAAAATTAACATTTATGCCCTGCTTGTATTTTTTCGTTAACTAGTACAGAGTACATAAAGAGGAGACCATTTTTTTTTTTTTAAAAAAAAAATGATTTTCAAAAATTATTTTTCTCCCTCCCCCGTCTTGGACGAATAGCAAAGATATTTCACTGTAGAGACAAAAGTGTATGGTAGACGTCATATAAATGAAGCAGGAAATAGGCATTAATTTTGATTCGACTTGGAGATATAAATGGCCCCCCAAAAAAACAAAAGAAATGGGAAATTCGGGATCCACACAATTTAACATCTCAACGTACCCTTTAAATGCAAAATGGAGAAAACTTGACGTGGGTAGTTAACTGTTGTTGTTGTTGTTGCCAGGATTATTGAACCATTCATTCATGATGGGTTCACAAGCAAACTCGGAGAAACTAAATTAAAAAATTGTTGTTGTCGCTGTTGCCTTCAATTCTCTAGTTATATTGCAGCAACTCTATTTAGTACTGCTTTGTCAATATCTTCTCTGTTCGTATTCAATCACTTACACTTTGTTGATACAGTGCGGAACAAAAAAAAAGGAAGAGAAAGAACCGTACCTCGTGCCTAATTGAAATTTGTTTTACTCGTTCGGGTAGTAGCTACTAGCTATGGTTATTCCTTCGTTTTAACCTTGTAGGAATCATAGTGTGTTTTATATAGTTACACATTTTTCATTTAAAGTAATCATCATTTCAAGTTATAAGAGCATATATATGCAGCTATGTGGCAGTAAACTCAAACAAGATCCCGCTCATTAGTGTCCCTAAATGTTTGCTTTGTCGACCTATGAAACTAGGCCGAGTTAGAGGGTTAAAAGGTGCAATATACTCCCCTCCTCCCGTCTTTATTATAAATCATTTTGATTTCGTCTTAAGTTTCATCTATGAAGTATTTTTAATTGAAAAAAAACTTTAAAAATATGTTTTTATATTCGTTGTGTTCTCCTAATTATTATGAAATATTTTTAAGGTTTTTATTCTAACTAAAAAAAAAATCCTAGGTTAAACCTAGGACGAAATCAAAATGCCTTATCATAAGGACCGGAGGGAGTATTATTGAAAATTTGAGCTCAACATTAGACTAAACAAATTACCATCTCCGTCCCAAAAAAAATAGTCTATATTGAATTTTCAAATTTGTACTAAAAACAGTACAAAACTCAAAACTCAATGTGGACTATTTTTGTGGAACGGAGGTAGTAATTATTACTTTTTCTGTCTCGAAGTTATTGTCCAATTTAAATTTTTATTTTTAGTACAAATTAAGCTAAAAATGAAAATATAAACTAAACAATAATTTTGGAATAGATAGAATGTTCAATTTGCTCCCTTATATTCTGGAAGTGCCAAAGTACCCCTTCTTGATTGTTGCGTTGTGTCCCGCCTTCCTTAATTTGTTTTTGAAACGCTTTTATTGTTCTTCACATTTACTCTTCGGTCCTTACTGAAAGGCAAAAATAATTAAATTGCATGAAAATAAGGAAACTAGTTTTAGTTTATTTTGATGAATTACCTATATTAAAATAATCTCCACTCTTGTAGGAACCGATTAAATTATAATTTAGTCAATTGAAATTGGGTAAATTAAGTTAGAAGTACACAATAAATAAATTACTAAAGACATCAAATATTTTATGGAATCAAGGAAAAACTTAAAAAATAGTTTATTAATTAAGTAGTAAAAATGTTGATTTTTTTGTTTAGGGGGAGAAACGCAAATCGTACATTCAATAGCAGCGCAGCAGTGGGTACAACTGTACAACACCTGGATTGGCTATAAATTATTTCACACGTGACTATTGCATGGAATGCGCCAATGATATAAATCCTTCCAATCATAATCCTTGTTATATACAAAGTTGAACTAAATTTTGCTAGTAATTTATGACTTATAATTAGGACATGATTACACCCAACTCAATAACATCTAGAGCAACTCTAGCCCGTTCACTCCTTGAACCAAGGGTGCACTGTCTAAACCCGATTTTGTTGATCTCATGAAGTAGAAGCCCCTACATATAAACAGTATTGAAACAAACCATGTCTAACCCTTATTTGTCACACCACAGTGGGATATTTAACCTTATTACTCCTCTGTCCTATAATTATTGTCTACTATGAGATTTTACTTTTAGTACAATTTGAACTAAAAATAAAAACCCAATCTGGACAATAATTATAAGACGGAGGGAATATGATTTTAAAAAATATAGAGATTTTGTCCATACCTTATAGAAAGACTTTCTTAGTATACATATTTGTCATGATTAGAAACAATCAAGTTTGGAACATTATTTGGTCTTTTACATTGTTGCTTCGAGAAAAATGAAGATGAAGCAGCTATCTGGGGATTAACAGATTCCGGCTATCTTCACGTAAACTTAGGTGAAAAATTGGCGGATTTGGATCATTTATTGACACACTAATACTGGTGTGACATTTTTCATGACTTGAAAAAAAAAAAAACATTTTATGGTTGCCGGAAAATTGAGATCTGCAAGCTACGATGGGAAAATTTGTCTCTCTTTTCTTTCTCTTCGTTTAATTAGATATGATTAAGTTAATGATTTTGTTCACTTTTCTGTCATGTGTTGTTGTTTGTATTGTAGTAGGTATTAAAATACAACATGACATTCACCGCAGCTGCCAACACCTTCCATTACCAAGGGTATATTTGTTTCGTTTTTTTAGTGTGTGTTTTTAGGCGTTTTTTGTATTAAGAATGTAAAAAAGTGTATTAAAAATATAAAAAAGTAAGCTAGAATGATATATTTATTATTTTAATATTATGAAAAAACCATCAAAAAACAAAACAAACAAAGCCTTAAATGATTTCCCAATACAGTGAAACAATATATGATTATTCTTAGAAAACTCTTTAAATAAACAGATATAAAAACCACTGTAGAAATTACAGCGTGAGAAGGCAAGTTAATTGTAGAATAGTAAAAAAGCAAAATGCAAAAGGTAGGATAACAGTAGCCAATTAAACATTGAGGATTACACTAGCTAGATCAGAATTCCTCATTATCAAGGGGAACATGTGTCCTCACAATGAAGAAATTCTCATAGATGAACCCAGCAAGTCCACCTCCAATGAGTGGCCCAACCCAGTAAACCCAGTGATCAGTCCAGATTCCACTAACCAAAGCTGGCCCGAAAGATCTAGCTGGGTTCATTGAAGCACCTGAGAAAGGTCCACCAGCCATGATGTTGGCTCCAACAACAAGCCCAGTGAGAAGTGGACCAATTCCTGAGAGGTTTCCCTTCTTGGGGTCCACAATGGTGGCATACACGGTAAATAAGAGCGAAAATGTCAAGACGATCTCCATTATCACTCCTTGTGAGTAGTCCACTCCACTAGCCAGTGTATGTGGAGGTGTTGTCTATATAAGAATAAGAAAAATAATATTACTCAAAATTATTTACCACTAACATTATTAAAGCCATGATTTTGGAGAAACAAACAAGATTTGATGAGTTGTAACTTTTTAGTAACCAATCATGTAGCTGTACTCTATGGACATATAAAATATTACATCCGTTACATCATGCCGCATGATCATTTTGGAAAAAATTTTAATCGTTATTGTCAATTACATATAACAAATATATCGAGAAACTTGGATATATGTTGTTATAGTAAAAGTGCAATATGTAATATTATGTTAACATATATTAGAAGAAAATATCACTTATAATGGTGCAGATTTGTAAAGTTGAACGTTACTTACAAGTCCACCAGTAACATAGGAGAGTAAAGCGCAGGCAGCCACAGAAGCTAAGCATTGATCGATCCAATACAGAATTGATCGGACGACGGTGATGTGACCGCCGAAGCAAAGGCCGAGGGTGACAGCCGGGTTGAGGTGGCCACCGGAAATGCGGAAACCGGCGGAGATCATGACAGCCACTACCAATGCATGCGCCATGGCCACAAAAAACAACCCCACCAGCGGACTCCCGTTCAACTTATCTATCACATTCAAAATTTTTGTATAATAAGATTTTCTGGAACAGAAAAGTAAGAAAATAACGTGAACCAATCGGTCTCAAGAATATAGTCAAACATATGTAATAAGGCTAGGATTATCATATTCATGAAATATTAGGTAACTTGTTTTACTAATGAAAAGAAGATTTGATCGACAATAAACGAGACAACTAATTTAATATTACTATTAACAGATAAATATCTTAGACATACATGAAGATTGGAAAAAAAAAAAAAATGAGGTAATGAATTTATTACCTGCAGCCATGGCGGATCCAACACCGGCGAATACGAAAAGAAAAGTGGAAATGAACTCCACAATGAGGGCTTGGAGGCAATCGGGCTGGAAAGCCTCCCGGCAAGTTCCAAGTGCAATTTTGGCCATGATTCTATATATTCAGAAACTACAAACCACCAAACAAATTGCAATTGGTAATTTTCCGACGATAAACGGGTACAACATTGGCTAATATATATATATATATATAGGGAAGAGACTAGTTGAGCAAACTTTTTGGGGAGGGAAAAAAGAAAAAGAAAAAGATTCCATAAGTTCTTTTTTATTTATAAACTGATCCATGACTAATCAATGTCACGTTCCTAAGGACTTTTTTGGATGGTTATGATGGTGACCAAAATTATTGAGGGTTGCAAATGACAAATATGTCCGTTGACATTTCCTATAATTCTTTTCTTTGCCATTCTTCCTTTCAAGAAAATTATAATTAGTATATAAAATTTTATTCATGCATGTTACTGATGACCTGGATATTTTTTTTTAATAATTTTTTCCTTCTAATTTCATACGCTTTTTGCAACTGTAGAACGAAGCTGATAATAATTGTGATAGCTTCGTTGAAAAAAAGGGTCCGGAGTTTATCGGATAGCTAATTTTAAGAGACGAACGAACACCTAGGCTTGTGTATGTGACTACCTAATACATAAGCACAGTGTTTATAAAAAATACTCCTTCCGGTTCTTAATATAAAGTATTTTGATTTGTCATAAATTTTATCTAATATGTATTTTTAATCAATAAAAAAATCTCGACAATATATTTTCACATTCGTTGTATTTTTTTATTGTTATGAAATATTTTTTAAAAAAATTTTATCAATAAAAAATACGTATAAATTAATGAAATTTAAGAAAAATCAAAATAACTTATAATAAAGAACAGAGGAATACAATCTTTTCCAATGTCGCCGTTAACTTAACTAGTCATGTCTTGGCCATGCATTTCGTTGTTGGGATAGTTTACCTTACATATGTACGTAATTGATTAAGTTGATTAACTGGACGTTGTTTCTCCTTTTTTTTTATTCATTGTTTAAGAAATCAAAAATCAAAAAAGAAAAAGAAAAAAAAAAAAAAACCCAGATGAGATGAATAAAGTCTGATTAATTTGAATGAGGGCCTTCGGGGAAATGAGGCATGATCACATCTGGGAGAAGGGTAATTGGTGTGGGTGTGTTGTCTTCTTCGTCAGCATTTGTTTTGCTTTGTTTTTTTTTTTTTTTTAGTTCTCTATTTGGTTTTTATTTTAATACTAGGGATCACTTCAAATTGACAGTATGTTTGTTGTACTTCTTTGTTTGCATTAGACATCCATTGACTTTTTTGTTGCCGAAAGACTATCTGTAATGATGCTCCGATTCACTGAATATACTTTGGTCTCAATAATTCAATTATTAAGCCATATATATGTAAATATATATATATATATATATATATATATATATTTGTTAGAAATAATGTGCGTGCGAATTATTTCGTGCGCGCGCATTATTTCTAACGAAAATTGGATCCCTACTTTTTGGTGATGCTAATCTTCTTGATATTAATAATTCTTGAATTTAAATCGTTAACCATCAATTCTCTCTCCCATCCCATCCCATCTCTAACCATTTCAATTTCAAAGTTCTTACAACATCTTTATTACGCATCTGCATGCTAGACCTTGCATTTATAGCATGTGGAAATTATAAGAACCCTACGTTTTGTTGCGAAATTAGAAAAAAGAGGACAAACTTTGCCCAAATGGCAGAATTAATTATTACATTTTTAATGATTAAATCAAAAAAGTTACTCAGAGAAAAGGATATGTGAATATAGGACACTGGATTTTGACAAAGGTTAGAGGATCGAATTCGCTACTCAAGTAGGCTTATGCAATATTCGTTGTGATTGGTCTCTTGAAGTTGACTTCATTATTCCATTTGATGGACAAAATTTTATAACTGAAAAGTTCAATTATTGGGCATGCTAATTTTGACATATAAAGGGGTGTTATTATTATATGGTTTCATGCACCGGCTAATATGTAACATAGTAACAAAAAATTAGAGTGTATTAGTCCACCTGTCACTAAAAAAAAATAATAATAACAATTCGCATTAAATTTTCAAATTTTTACTGAAACTATTACAAATCAGAAAACTTAATATGAACTATTTCATTGGGACAATAGTAATACTTTAAAGTTTAAACTGACCCGATCTATTTTTGTGCATTCTTCGAAATGCACATTAGTCATTTCACTTAACAATCCATATAATCAGTGTAACAAACGAGTCATTTAGTCAAGATTACATCTGCATGCAGATCATGTAGAGTGCAAATTTATGTCCAGTTGGGATAGATGGGAACTTTGAGATAATGGATTAATTTAAAATTAGTTTGAAATGAAATCAAACTTAAGTTGGGCAATTCGCCTATACTACCTACAAACTCATTCGCAATAAGAAGTGTGCTTGATGATGGAATATAATTGCCTTATAGTCCCATACATGATGATCACCCATGTGATGTGACAGTAATCATCATATAGATATGGCTACCAAAAAAAAAAAAAATGTTGTAAAAACATCAACGAGAGGGACCAATTAGCTTAGCACAAACTGGAATTTCCATTCAATATCCACTAGTACAATGTTACCGGATGAGTTGTTGGATATTATCTCGGTTTTAAAATAATTATCATATTTGTTGTATTACGATAAATAGTAAAATAAACAAGAAAATTATTGAATCAAGAACAGAGAATTTGTTTTATCTTCTCATTAATATGGATTATAAACCGGAAAATAATGTCAGATATGGTTTCCTTTCGTTGAATATTGAATAGCAACACATGTGAAATGGCTCTGCTTCATACTATCGTGAATTGCTCCCCCCCCCCCCCCCCTCCAAATTTTATGATCTTGATCATCAAATTTGAGCGCACGACAAAGTAAAATTCTTTCCGCCCCCAAAATGGCTGTTCTTTTGTAATTTGTAAAACGGTCCATCAAATCCATATATTGTAGTGAGAAAGTACGAGGAAAATCATCAAATGATCATATTAATTGTTTAGGGAGAGATGAAATTGGAAGATGCATCTTCAACTAATTGCTCCAGAAGACATGCGCATCCGATGGAGACATGCGTTGCAACCTTCCTTTTCAAGTCTAATAATATTATATTTCCAGAAGTTCATTGCTTCAAACCTTAAAATTTAATTTTATTTAAATGTAGGGTTGTCATCATATTCTAAAATAAATAATGCATAGGTAATGGGATACAGGTCGGACTTTAAAAAAAAAAAAAAACAAAACAAAATTTTCCACGTCCAGAGAATAATGGTATTCCAGTTCCAGGAGGCTAGGACGTCTATCTATCTATCTATCTATATATATATATATATATATATATATATATATATATATATAGTTATACACATGTGACAATTGAAATTTAATCCAATGTATGATCAACTATTTGAAAGTCTCAAAATGAAATTTTTGAAGCGGAAGTAAAAGTTGGATGACGACAAATCTCGCATGATTCAAAAGTTTGCTTCCTAATTGGTCATCAGTTTTTGCATAGCTGTTTATCAACTATGCCTGTCAATAATTGAGTTGTTTAAGTGGGCAACTTAATTAGAACAGTAAACTCGTACTACCACAAAGATTTATCAATTATGTATTTATTCTTGATGATTCTTGTCATTCCATAACATTAATCAACTCCCGCTATTTTTTGATGGAGCAAATTAAATAGCTAGCGAAGACATAGTACATATATATACTAGTACTTCAGAAAAACGAAGACAAACTAAACCGATTCCTTGTGACCTTAATTATGCGCCCATATGGCTCATGTTCATACGAAAATGCAACATATGCTGGATTCCGTCGATCCACAGCTGTTTTTCCCCTTTGTTTCTGCACTCGAATTCAATCATCCGGTCCGCAGTTTGTATCCCAAAGTAGGCCCTCTGCTCACTAGTTTCTTTTTTACCGCGTTCTGTACATGTCGGAATGTCACAATACACTCCTATAATTACAACTGGTAACACCAATAAACGTCATTTTCAGTAAATTTATTTTGTGAAATGATTCTGATAATGATGCAGCTCAAACAAGAAGATAGTAACCAGTTACAGTCATTACTTATGAGAGAAACATACAATGAGATATAATTACTTGTTTATATTATTTTAGTGTACAGTTCATTCGAATCTTTATTGTGAAAAAAAAAAAGAAATTTACTAAATATGTTACGAACAATGATAGAGACAGTGACAATTAATAGTGAAATGAGATAGTTACTAATGAAAAAACAAATATACCATTCTCATTAAATATGTCTATTTATTAGTTAATGATAAAAATATAATTTTACGGAGAAAATAAAATTTTAAAGGAAAAATGGGAAAAAAAAAAGGAGGCCAATAATACTGCACATGACATCACTTACTATTTTTTTCATTATCTTTTTTTCATTATACATATCATTTTCCATGTTTTATACATCTAGGAGTGATTGGCTTACACTTCTTTTTCTTGTGAATGTTCCAGCCATATGCTTGCTCTTCATTTTTGTTACCACCTGTTTCATTCAAGATAAAGTCTATAATTATTGCCTAAGTATAATTGGAAATAGTGACAGAACAAAATGAAGCTGTGCGTGGAAACAAAAAGATGACCATTCTTTTCCTATCGAAAGTCAATACAAGAAACAGGTGTTGAGAAGACTATCAAGGAGAGGACTATCTAAATGATACCACAAACAAAGATTGATATGCTAAAAATAGAGTTTAACGATACCTGAAAACTTGAATTGATAATAAAAAAATCAATTGACAGCAGAATTAGCTTTAACATATCTCTTGAATGCTTCTAAGAGCATGAAATCTACTACAATAATTACCTTTTCTAGTCCTTTTGAGAAGCTCGCCGCCTCTTGACACAAAATCAATTGCAGCTAATACATTTAAATCTTTGTTATCGTTGTTTGTTCATCAGCAGGAGTGATTGCTGTTGCTGCATAACCCGATATAATGTCCAAAATAGTATTAAAGTTTTATTAGGCCATTCTTAAAGAAGGCACCAAATAACCAATTTGGTGATTTGGGCACAAAATGCAACCCAAAACGTGCAATGTTCAAGCACCAATTTGGTGCCTGAATGTTTTTATTATATTTTTGACTTTTAATTAGTTTATATGTTTATGAAACAATCCCTAAATTAATTCATATGTGATTTATAACTATTTTGTATATTATTAATAAATTTATCAAATTCTAAATTTAAAATTAAATGAATTAAATTATCTCATGTGTATTTCTATTCAAAACTACATAATAAAAATAGAAAATTAGACATTTGATATCAAAAAAAAAAAAAAAAAACCAATCACATTTAATTTGAGGCAATTAGAAAAACATGCCTACATTGATATTAATAATTAGAAATACAATTGAATGCAAAGAAAAAAGATTCTTAGAAATAAAAAACATGGTCACCTTTTTGTAATTTAACAATATTAATAAAAAAGAAGTATAAATAAGAATATGAGGAATATTATTTTTTGGGTGTGAAATTTAGTGTTGATGGTTGGGATATAAATTATTGTTGCAGTCACCACCAAATTGATGATTTGGTATGCACCAAATTGGTGTTGCTGTTGGGGATGGCCTTGTAGTTTTGATAGTTTGGAAGAGTCAGAAATTTTTTTCAATAGTATAGATAATGCTCTGAATTTTTCAAGATATTATGATATGTGAAATCATAGGTTAATGTTGAAAAAAGTATTAATAATATTTCTCCGAAATCAAAGCCAATCAAGAGAGCAATGCAACGGTACTAGAATCCAAGTTAATGAATCAGAAGAACGTGTCATTCAAACATCTCTTATTTTCAAGACAACATCGATAGAAAAAAGGTCATTTCGCTCATCGACATTCAACCGTTCTACATGAGGGGATACCAATTGGTTTCAACCAGAGACAATTATCACTTTTTACGTGTTTTCTTGTAACAATAAATAAGGATCAGGATCAATCGTTTTTGCAAGTGATCAAGTCTATTTTTGCAAATTTTACTTTTTTGTGCGTGAACAACTTTATTTGATATTTTTTATAATAAAATCAGAAATGACCTAAAAGAACTTATATGAAACAAAAAATAAAAATAAAAATCCAGGAATGAATAAACTTATATACAAAGGACAGAGGATAAAATTTTTCATCATCAACCTCAAAAATTCTAAATATTTTCATTTGTGTCCCCAACTTTTACAGTGTTTTCGGTACTTTCTGTATAATGAAATACCATTACAATATTTGAAATTACTAGATTGTAAATTATTACTTTTTCTTATTCTTTAGTCAGGATAATTTTATTAATCCGTGCAACCACATGGGTACATATTAGTTATAAAGTATTTTGATTTGTGATAGATTTCCCAAGTATGTTTTTTTAATTAGAAAAAAAATTTAAAAAATATTTTCTAATAATTAGAAGAACACAATGAATATGAAAATTAATTTTAAGGATTTTTTTTCCTCAATCAAAAAAACATACTAGATAAAATTTATGACAAATTAAAATTCCTTATAGGAAGGACATGAAGAGTTATTTGGTAACTAATAAATGATAAATGAAGGAATGAATTGATGTATCACGCCATAAAACGGCCTCAACTAAAATTAATAATTTCCGGAAATTCCAAATCTACCCATTTTTGGGTTCCCGCATATCCCCTACCCTCCGGCGGCGGGGCGGCGCCGATTTATCTCGTCGAAACACTTCGCCTACTTCCTCGCCTTCCTCCAATTTCCGGCAAAAAGCCTGCATTCATTTCTTGCTGTGAGAAAAGCAAAGAAAATTGAATATTGCGGTTACCATGGCGACTGCTCAATTCTTATCGTCACAGAGTGTTTACTCTTCAGCTTCAATGCTATGCCCGTCTTCGTTTACTGGAAAAGTGATTTCAGTGAGGGTTTCCATATGTTGTTACTCAACGGCGTTTTCTGAAATGAAGCCTCCGGGGAGGAACGAAATCCGACTCGGCTTGCCGAGTAAAGGTCGCATGGCGACCGATGCTCTAGATCTTCTTAAGGTAAGTTTTTCCATGTTTTTGTGTACTTTTTTAACATTTTAGTTCTGCATTTCCTGTGTAATTGTTGTTAATCCACATTGTTACTTTTTACAACTGTTAGGATTGTCAGTTGTCTGTGAAGCAAGTGAATCCACGACAGTATGTTGCGGAAATTCCTCAGGTGTGTATCCTTTATGCGCTTTGAAATGGTTTCTAGAATTATCCAGCATAGTTGAGAGCATTTTATGTTGGAATGTAAGTGTGTAGCTTATGATTTGAGGGCAAACTTTTGGGATAAGATAAAAGAAATATCGTGCTTAATTCATTTGCAGTGGAGCAATACATATTATTTTAAGCTTAGGAATCAACAAGCAAACTTCAAGGTTTTCTAAATCCACAGTATTTAGTTATCTATATAGCGTGGACCCCTTTGTGAGCATTTCTTCTTTTTCAAAAAAGAAAGACCAATCTGTTCTTCTTCATTTTATGTTCATTTTGTCTGACTGAGCTGCCGTAATTTCTTTGGATTGATATGCCATTGGGTTTATTTTCTGATTGAGCACTTGCCACTCTGTTACTGAATAAGACCTTTCTTGTTTCCATGGCAGCTCCCAAATTTAGAAGTCTGGTTTCAGCGGCCGAAAGATGTTGTACGGAAACTGGTGTCTGGAGATTTGGACCTTGGCATTGTTGGGCTTGACACCGTGCATGAATATGGGCAGGTAAGTAAAGAACATCCAGAATGTTTACATAGTTGCATTTAGCTTTCAAGTATAGTTACGCAGTATGATTGTTATTCGAGGAAATACTGAGTCACGTGAGAGGAATGTTCACGTATATGGATTACATTTGTGTTTAGTGTAGCATTTACTTGGGGTTAAACTTCAAAATTGAACTGTTGCAACTGAATTATATAATGTCACAGTGCTTATTACAGTTTTGGTTTCCTTGACGCACAAAAGTTGTTAGAGACGTCTGGTCTGTTTACTGTTCAAGCAATAGGGTTGGGATATGTTTCACAATTCATCTATTTGGATTTTCAGCATGTTGTCTCCTGTAGAAGCATAATATTGTTGAGGTTCTTCAGGCATATTATTGCTTTACAATAAACAACAAAATGTGCATTTCTTTATGGCTTGGAATGTCTGTGTTCTTAGAAGCTAAAAGCTAGTTTGTTGTTTTATTTAACTCTAGGGAAGAAGCTTGTATCTACTCAAACTTATCTATCTATACAGCTCATAAATGCTTGATCTAGCATCAAAAATCCATACATTGGTGTTCTAATATGTAATGATTAACCTCTGGCATTACTTTAATAAAGGGTATTTATCTACAGCTGGAAAACTTCCTTAAGAGACCTATAAAGAGTGTCTTGCAGAAAATTGTTGAGCACCTTCTCTTTGATTATAATTTTTTTTGTGTGTGTTAATTTGATGTGTTCCTCCGTTTCTCTCATCTGGATCTCTAGGGGATTGTTTTGACTGGCTACTAATGTTTTAGCTTCTTTTCTTCAGGGGAATGAGGATCTTGTTATTGTTCATGAGGCACTGGGGTTTGGAGATTGTCGTTTGTCTCTTGCTGTATGTCATGTTTATCATTGAAGTTTGATTTAGAAAAGTGTATTTGTTTTCTTTACACAAGGTTACTCTAATAATTTCCTGGTTATCAGATACCTAAGTATGGGATTTTTGAGAATGTTAACTCAATAGAAGATCTTGCACAAATGCCGCAGTGGACACTTGAGAGACCTTTGAGAGTTGCAACTGGTTTCACCTATGTAAGTTATATCGAGATCTTGATCTGTTCTCTCCTCCTTTTGTTTTTAATTTTTAAACAAATAAAATTTCTTTTTAATTGATAACTTATTCAGATGGGCGATAAATTTATGAAAGAGAAGGGATTAAAGTATGTGACTTTTTCAACAGCCGATGGAGCCTTGGAAGCAGCTCCTGCAGTAAGTTTGTTTTTGTTATTACATCCATTTTCTAAACCATGAGTGAATCCTGAAAAACATAACATGTGGTCCATTCCTGGAATGAAAAATATGTCAATCTGCTGGTCATAATGTTTATAGAAGTTCTTAAAATGGCATAATCTGTTTTCACTGTTCTGGTATACTTCAGTCAGAGACATTATTTTTGTATATTTAAACTCAAAATAGAAATTCCACTACTTGGTTTTTTGTTCTGTTAGGTTTTCATGAAAAGTAGTTGCTAATGAGTACCAGTTTTGGTGGTTGATAGACTGAATTTATTCAACTTCTTGCTCATTCTGCATGCTGTATAGTGGTGCATCCTGTCACAAACCATCCAGTCTGGTCATTCAAAATTGACTATTAGAGATCTGAAAGAAGGATAGATTTAAGGTCTATTTGAAAATGAAGGGCTTCCCAATGTTACCTTTCAATATAAATTGGAAGTTTTATTGCCGTGAAGTTTTATCCTTAATTTTTTTTTGGTGGGTTTGGGGGGGTGGGGAGGGAGTTGCATTTTGTTTTTGTGGAGAAATTAAGTTAACAATGCTATGTATTCAACTATGTTTCGCATCTCCCCTTCAATGATTGTGACCCTATTGGAGCTACCTAGGAATCCTACATGTTGCTGTTGACCACAGTTTTCTTGTCAATTCAGATGGGGATAGCTGATTCCATTGTAGATCTTGTAAGTAGTGGAACTACTTTGAAAGAGAACAACCTAAAAGAAATTGAAGGGGGGATTATTTTGGAAAGTCAGGTGATCGCACTATCTTTATGTACTGCTCAATATGGTTATACAAATACATTCTCTATAGTTTTGACTTTTGTTTACCACTTTAGGCTGTCCTTGTTGCTAGTAGGAAGTCACTGGTCAAGAGAAAAGGTGTGCTTGACGTAACCCATGAAATGCTCGAAAGATTGGAGGCTCACCTGAGGGCCGTGGGTCAATTCACGGTTTGCATTATTCACTTCTGTTATTTGTGCACCCGTATGTCTCCACTCCTGTATTTCTCATGTATTTTTCATAGGTAACGGCCAATATGAGGGGAAGCAGTGCTGAGGAAGTGGCTACCCGAGTACTGAGCCAACCATCATTGTCAGGGTTGCAGGTGAATTGAATGAAACCCACATCAAGACAAAAGAAATTTTATCTTTGTACTAGAATTTAAGAACTGAAATTCTCTATCTGCTGTTTAAACTTTAAACTCCTTAGTATCTACCTTGCAGGGACCTACTGTAAGTACAGTTTATTGCAATCGCAATGGAAGGGTAACTCCTGATTATTATGCTGTGGTCATATGCGTGCCAAAGAAAGAACTGTACAAGTCCGTGCAACAGTTGAGGGCGGTGAGATAATAAGCTCTGACTAGTTTATGTTCTTGAATGTCAATTGCCAACACTTGCTACCTCTATACTTTCAAAACCCTGACACAAAATTAAAATGTTGACTAGTGCTGCTGATGTGGATGGTTTAAGTTCCAAAAATCTTGTAATCACCTAGTGTTTATATGCCCATAAGATCTTTTATATCTTCTTGTGTCACAGTCACCCTCTATTAAATGAACTGGACAAGCGCGCATGTTTTTATCTTTAATGCGTGATATTCGAATGTGCTCTCGCTAATCAAACCTTTTATGTCAAGTCATCTCTTTTGAAGTGCCTAATCTTGTTTCTTTTTTTGTAATGTTGCAGATTGGTGGTAGTGGTGTTTTAATTTCTCCTCTGACCTATATCTTTGATGAGGAAACACCGAGATGGCGCGAGCTTCTCTCGAAACTAGGGCTCTAGTGTGAATTATGTTGGGACAGGAGAACTCTGAACCAATCCAATCTATTTTTGTGGGTTGTTCATATTAGTCATTTCACTTTCAATCCATATGATCAGGAACAAAGGAGTCATTTAGTCAGGATTACAATTGCATGCAGCTCCTGTAGAGTGCAAATGTTATCTTCCGTTGGGATAGATGGGAAGTAAAGTCGGGGGGATTAACCTGTACATTTTGAAATAATGGATTAAATTAAAATTATTGAGAAATGAAATTAAACTTAAGGACCACCACTTGGGCAATTCACCTATACAGCATACAAACTTATTAAAGTGTGCTTGATGATGGAATATAATTGATCACCCATGTGATGTGACAGTAATCATCATCATATAAATGGCTACAAAATTATTGTAGAAACACCAACGGTGGATTAATTAGCGATAAGCACAAACTGGAATGTCCATTACATTTTCACGTAAAGGATGTCATTGGTTTAATTGTTGGATATTTCTCCGTCCCAAAATAGATATCATATTTGATGCATCACAATAAACAAGAAAATTTAAATGTAGGGTTGTCGTATTCCAAATAATGCACAGGTAATGGTTCAAAAGTTTGCTTCCTAATTGCTCATCAGTTTTTGCATCGCTGTTGATCATCTTTGCATGTAAATAATTGAATTGCTCAGTGGACAACAATAAAATCTTACCACCACAAAGATTTAGCAATTATGTATTTATTCTTGATGATTCTTGTCATTCGATGACATTAATCAACTCCCGCTATTTTTTGATGGAGCAAGTTAAAAAGCTACCGAAGACATAGTACATATATATACTAGTACTTGAGAAAAACAAAGACAAACTAAACCGATTCCTGGTGACCTTAATTATGCGCCCATATGGTTCATGTTCATACGAAAATGCAACATATGCTGGATCCCGTCGATCCACATCTGTTTTTCCCCTTTGTTTCTGCACTCGAATTCAATCATCCGGTCCGCGGTTTGTATCCCAAAGTAGGCCCTCTGCTCACTAGTCTCCTCTTTATCGCGTCCTGTCCATGCCGGGATGTCCCAATACACTCCTGTGGTTACAACTGGAAACAGAAAGAAACGTCATGTTCAGTAAATTTGTTCTATGAAATGATTTAGAGAATGATGTAGCGCAAACAAGAAGACAGTAACCAGTTACGGTCATTACTTATGAAAGAAACATACAATGAGATATAATTCCTAGTTTACACTATTTTAGAATATAGTTCACTTGAAGAATTAATCTCTACTGTAAGAAAAGGAATTTTACTCAACGTTTTTTATATCTACTAGGAGTGATTGGCTTACACTTCTTTTTCTTTGTGAATGTTCCAGCCATATGCTTGCTCTTCATTTTCGTTACCACCTGTTTCATTCAAGATCAAGCCTATAATTATTTGCTGAGTATAATTTGAAGTACTGACAGAACAAAATCAAACTGTGCATGGAAACAAAAAGATGATCATTCTTCCTGTCAGAAAGTCGAAGCAAGAAACAGATTTTGAGAAGACTATCAAGGAGAGGACTATCTATATGATATTACAGACAAAGATTGATATGCTAATTATAGACTTCAATGATACCTGAAAATTTGAATTGATATTGATGGAAACTACTTTCCAGTGGAGATCCCCTGCATGACAAAAAAATCAATTGACAGCAGAATTAGCTTTACAATATCTCTTGAATGCTTCTAACATGAAATCTACTACAGTAATTACCTTTTCTAGTCCTTTTAAGAAGCTCGCCGCCTCTTGACACAAAGTCCATTGCAGCTAATACATTTAAATCTTTGTTATCGTTGTTTTGTTCATCAGCAAGAGTGATTGTTGTGGCTGCATAACCCTTTTGAAGCCTTGTCCTCAGCGTAGCAGCAGCCCTCAGTGCTGCAATCATAATTTTTAAAAATGAGATGGAAACTATAACATTACACAACACCCTTTGAGCACTTTCTCAGACGACGTTTCATACCACATCATGAGAAAAAATCAGCAAAAGATCATTTTATCCTCCAATTACCATCTAACCTAATGACAGGAAAAGAAACATAATGTGCTTAGTAGATATTTACCAGTGGCAGCTCCAGCTGTAAGTGTCAGAACATCACCATTAGTCCTTGCGTTAATGGCTGAACTGACTACTGACAGTAATTGGTCGTGATCAGCTCCCATATCCTCGGCAATTTCAATACAGTGAGATGCAACCAGAGCGGCTGCAGATGCAATTGCAGTAGACATCTTTGAAGATTTGTTGTGGTGATAATGATTCATGGGCTTCTCTGGAGATGCTATAGCTGATGCTGCAAGAGCGGCCACTGCAGCAGCAACACCAGCCACTGAAACTGCTGCATGCAGTTGTGCATTCTGTGTTCTTAGTTCCTGCTTTTTCCTTTCTCTTTGGTCTTTTATCCATCTACCCATGGTCTTTCCTTTCATGTTGTTTTTGCAGAGCTGTAGAGATACAATGATAAATCTTACAATGCTAAAAATATGGTGGCTAATTATAATGAAAAAGGTGGTGATTTTAATGAACATGTGTTACCCCATTTTTGACCGACTGCTGATTATAAATGATATCTGGATTGAGTGCTTGATGAAGCATAAATGATTCCTGCAGGAATCAATTGCTTATGGATGAGTCATGGGAAAGAAATGAAAGCTTCACCAGGATGAATGAGATGAACAATCATGGATTCCCATACTGACATTTTCATCATTGCTAAATGGTAAAATTGAGTTGACCATTGTTAATCTAATTAGCCTGCTTAACTTAGAAGGTTGATTTGCTTCAATAAAATTATATAATTGAATATCTTTTTTTTCTCTCATTCATATGGATTTAATTGTACAATAAAAGGGAATTGCAGTGATGATTAGGCATGCACACATTAATGTTCTGAGAAATGGTATGATCAAGTGTCTTATAAAGTTGCAGCAAAATGATTGACTTGCACAGCAAGTGTGAATTATACCAAATCAAGGGCAGCACTATACTACCTAATTAGGCTCCTAATCTAATTTCTTTGAACATTACTTCCGAGATTTAACTTAGTTTACGGTATTGCAGGCACTATGTATTTCAAACTATTTCAGTTTTGCACACAGCAAAACAAAAACATCTCTCCTTTTCATCGTAGTGCAAAGAACTGAGATCATACTGCCAAACTCTTAAATACTGAAATAAAGAGAACCACAGAATACAGATGTAAATGATTATTATTTCCGTATCTTGCCAAGTAAATCTGAGAATGTCCCATTCTGGTTTCATGCAGAAACATAATCAAACCGGAGAAGTGCAAGTTGTGATAATTAAATCAATTGAAAAAATAAAACATATTACCTTTGTATCATCACTTTTCCTAGGGGAAACTGGGGGACTATCTGAAGTTGGTTGAGTGTGCTGCAAAATCCATGTTTAGCTAAACAATCAACAAATAACAAGTTCTAATCAAACATACCATGAAGTAGTACTTACTGAACTTCTGTCTTGAATTTTGGTAGTAATGTCTTCAAGGAAAGACAAAGGTGATGTTCCGTCAACATGGCTTTTTGTTGCAGCATTAGTGTGACTGAGAGCTTTGGAGAGTTCCATGGCAGACAGACTCCATGACCTCGCAAGAAACTCCATGGACTCTGTTGGAGTCTCGGGCTGTGGACATTTTGCAGGTAACCAACATGTTTCGGTACTGTCTTCTTTGATGTCTTGAAGCCTGTTAGAAGCCGCACATTTGGAGCCGCAAGAACTCACTGAAATACATTAACAAAACAGGCAAGCAGAATAGATATGAATGAGTGTCCATAATCATTAAGTTTAACATAATTTAGTATTACAGGAGCTTACTATTGAGTATGTGTATAGGGGGGGAAAAAGGCTTTGTTTTAGCCTTTCAGGCTAGGAGTATATAGCTCCGGATAGAAGAAACCTACTAATATTTATACACAAACTTACATAATACAAAGGTAGTCCCTACTTGAAGAATCTTAAAGATTAGTATATGGGAAGTGCATCAAAGAATCTTTTCTCTCAATTTGGACAATTTTATAAACCTAACAGTTACTCGGGCGATTAAAACATTCTCTAAACCACTTTTTAAATTATGGGACGGGCTTCACTTGTGTTTTTTTATCAATGATTAATGTACTAAAATAAAGGAAGGAAAACACAGAGACAAGAATTCGAAAGACCCGAAATGAAGTGGCAGAAGATGATATCTTCTTTAGTTGACCGGGGTGATGATGGGTTCGTCCCATTGTCTCCAACTAAGTGCTACTCTACCTTTGGGATTCCTTTTTGGCCCTATTTTCCGTTCTTTCTTTCCGGCTTTATACATGAAATGCTAACAAAAGTTTTCGAACGGCGGGATTCATGATGACCAAAGAAGCCCCCCGTACGTAGGAGGTAGGACTACTTCTGCAGCCACCCCCATTACTGCTGCCAAAGTAAAAAAGATTTGGTTGTGCATTGGGACCGTCATCACCACATTCTCCGTAATACATTATACATCCTGCAAATTAATATTTTGGAGATTCTTGCCCCAAGAAAATATTTATTGATCTCTCCCGAGATAATTAGTATACCAAAATGATATAACATCCCAACTATACTTTTTTGAAACAAATGGTGGCAAATATATTTTGAAATTCAGGGCAGGGGGAGATGTTAATTTTTTAAAAAAAATATAGACAAATGGTCATGTATTTTTATTTTTATTTTTATTTTTATTTTTATTTTTATTTTTACAAATACTCCCTCTGTCCCAAAATTATTATCCAGTTTAAGTTTCACTTTTAGTACAATTTGAATTAGAAATAAAAATCCAAACTAGACAATAATAATTATAAGAACGGAGGGAGTACTTATGTATTTCCCTCCATATGAATGGATTCCATTCTTTTGCATAGTGGCCTGTCACTGGATCATAATATGATTTTTGACTTCGTAGTGATTGCTTTAACATGATAAACTTCATAAACTCAGCCTCTTTTTAATGAATATTTGGTCGTTCCACATTCCACAGGATATCATGACGTCTCGACAGCCAGCTGCTTTCCTGGTTAATCGACTAGAATTCACGGAAACAGTAACCAGTAAACGAATCACAGTAACTGGTCGCAACTTAACAAATTGTGGTAGTTTTGATAATTATCATCCATTTGTGCACAGTCACAGTGTTCATCATCAAGTCAATCCAAATGAACTATTTTCTCCAAGAGCTCCGGTCAGTGGTATTATCAAAGTTTGGTATGGCCTTGTAAATTCCAGACTTCCTCTAGACTAAGAAAATTTGTAATAAAAGAAATACTCTCTCTGTCCCAAAATTATTGTCCAGTTTGAAATTTCACTTTTAGTACAATTTGATCAACAAATGAAAATCCAAACTGAATAATAATTATGGAATGAAAGAAGTAGTAATTTTTAGTCATGATTACTTGTGATGAAGTTAAAATGGTATTATTATGCCTGTTTTAAAGAAAATTGAAGAATATCCTTTATCCTCGACGGAACGCAAGCTATGTACGCAGTCATGTGAAAGACGATAAGTTCTCGTTCAAGATCAGAACTAAGACACGGGTTACTCGAACTAAAAAATCCATGAACTCTTATTTTGGAATGGAACCGAATAGGTTATGAAATTAAGGTTCGGGAGCACATTTTGGTCTCACAGTCACGTCTTTTGTCCTTCCCAAAACCAGGTAGCCAATTGATGAAAACGTCCGAGCTTGGATGCAAAAGCAGCCATTTGGTAGACCCCAATGATCACCCTCTCCATCATCATTACTTACTCTAATCATTGTAAAGCAATAGAAATGGTGCACTAATCCTCCTAATCAAGATCCCGCATTCCATTTACTGTCTTGTAATCATCATAGCTGCCCAATAACCACATCATCCCTGCATATTGTCCACAACCCCACCTTAAATCACTCCCCTTCACACACTCGTAACAATCTTGCAAGCTTTTGGAATTCTAGTTAGAATTACGAGCAAGTTTCAACAGATGATAAATAGACCTTTTACTTCCTCAGTACCAATGTAATAGTTACATGTCTACAACTATGCTGGTTATAGAAACGAGACAATTACTATGGCACAAAGAAAAGACTAGTGAGTAGTGATAGAAAATCTTGTACTTCCTTCGCCAAATATGATTTGTACGACAAACAAGACAACTATTTTGAAACAGAATGAGTCAAAGAGCCCCGTAGCCATGAAGTCATGCATATGTGAAAATACAACATGAAACATATGACTACAAACTTTGAAGGTGAAAAAGTACTGGAAACGAAAAAGCAAAAACTTATTAAAAGAACTGCTATTATGAAATGAAAGGAAAATCATTTCTCAAAAAGATGGTGATTTTTTAGCAGTGATTATTCACCAAGGACATTATTTACCCTCCAAAAATCTTTAAAAGCCTAACCAAGTTATCTTGTTTAAATACTTGTTTAAATGATGCCACCATCATTTAGTAACATCATACATCATTTTGGCAAGCAATCATTCAAATTGTTAGAATAAAATTATTAACGAATATTCTTATATGATTCAGTTGTCTTCTAAAATTAAGAGTATCACAAAAAAAAAAAAAAAATTATCATGAAACAAATAAAGTACAAAGAGAAAAGGCAGAGTAAATTGTAATTCAAGCCGAAAATACTGCATTATTAAGGATCCCACATGATTTTCATGGGGCAAATTGTTTTCTACATGCAATAAATGAACCTTTCCAAAATCCTGATACCTCCAAAACTCAAAAAAAATAAAAAAATACTCGTAATAACCAAGGATTGTAAAAAAGAAAAACCAATTTGCCTCAATTGATGAAAAGCATTGACATGATGTGTAGAAAAAAGAACTCCATATTCACTATTAAAAGCAAGAGTTTGGCCAGGAAAGGACAGAACAATTAAACCCATTGGGAAATATTCCTCTTGTTCAGGCATTATGAAATTGCTAACTAGGTTTTTAGATATGGAGAGCGAGGTGCTAATATGAAATCCCATACACAAAATTCTTTCAATCAATCTTGGGACTTCCAAGTATCAAACTCAAAGTTAATGTTTGAGTACATGTATGCAGTTAATAGGTATGTATAGATTGATCATGTGGTTCTGCTAGGTCGTCAATCATTAAACCATGATTTGCTGATGCTGCTTAACTTTAAATGATTACTTCTTAGAAGTGAAACATGAATACATTCTCATGACAAATACTAGTTCAACGCTTCTTACTTCTTAAAGCAATCATTCTCATCAAACACGTGCCATTTTTTACTAAAGTTTTTGCAGTGTATAAAGGGTTCTTTGTTTTTCTTTCGGGGTGTGTGTGTGTGTGTGTGTTGTGGGGGAGGGGAGTGCGGGGCAGGCGGTGGTGGAGCAATCTTCCATTAACTTTCAGGTTGGTAATGGATTCAGGTTTGAAAGAATGCACTACTCCGTGTCCAAGAAAAATAGTCCACTTTGTTGTATTGTTTTAGTTCAACAAAGTGAGCTAATTTTCTGGGATGGAGGGAGTATTTTGTTTTAGCCCTTAGGTTGTCAAGCAAAGGTTCTTGTGTAATTGCAAAACTGTTGGAAGTTGTCAATACATATGCAGATGGCTTCTACAAATAATAGGTGAATGCAATGCATGACCAGAATCAATAACAAACTAATAACCATCACCTCTTTGGCTATGAATACATTCATGTGGGTGTGTGTATTCAAAACAAGCAAACCAGCAACAAATATTGATGGACACTTACCAGTAAACACCAAGGATAGAGCTTCCTGGTCTCGAACCCATTTTTCAGGAGTTGCATATCTGGACTACGGAACAAACTGGTCGAGCGGCAGAACCAGCATAAATGTCAAAACTGAAAGAGAAGAAATTGGCATAAGCTACAAACAAAAATAAAAAATGGCAATGAGAATCTCCATCAGAGCTTCAACAATACGAGTACTGTATCTAAAATACCTCAAACCCATATTATTTGAATTAGAACGCTGAAGAACTTCGGTACCTAGGTACAACTGATAAAGGTGAACATTCGAAGATTCGAACAAAAATCAACGAAGTAATACAACAAACCATTGCTATAAATCATGCTTGTACAAAAGAAACCAATATATCAGAGGCCAACAAAAAAATGCAATCTTTGAGCAAATAAGAAAAAGGTACAGTTGCTAGATTATCAATGGGAAGATAAGACATGCACAACTCTGTTTTGGGATTCTTCCTCATTGTAACCCGATTGCTCTACCACTAGTCAAACACAATTGTGATCACCTCAAAAGAAATAAATCAGCACTCCAGTACATGATTCGAGCAAATGCAACCTCAGAACAAGTTGCTGCCTTTTGGAAGTGCTGCCCTTAAGTTCACATCTGCAGAGAGATCAATTAGATAACTGATCAGACACTTTAATCTTAGCAAGACTTTGGTTTTCATCTTCAGATAATACATTAAATATAAAAAATAAAAAATATTGAGCAAGACGACCCTTACCAATTTACTTGCCAGAGGAAATGTGGTGTAATGAGGGCATCCAGCTGCTTGACGGACCACCTTTACCATTATTCCTGTGTCCACTTGTTGCTGCTTCATTCTGCTCTTCACGTTTTTGAATATTCCTCTTGAATGCGTTGGCCAAGGAAAATGAGGACGATGGGACAGGCTCCTTACTTATAGTCTGCAACAAAAAAATTAATTACTACTTTTATTCATCTACTGCTTTCACTTTGCTTTAGGCCCCTGTCAATTATCCGCATATACATTATTCATATAATTTCATTTTAAGCTGCAATAACAAAAAAATTAATATACATTATTCACATAATTTCATTTAAGCTGCAATTAATAAAACTATGGAAGAGTAAAATACACGGCATATGTACTTCAATGTAAGTGCAAGAGAAACCAATCATTTAACGACACTCCATACACACAAACAAGGACTTCTTCAAACTTTTCGGAATGTAAATCACTGACCAGTTTCTCTGCCATATGGTTCGCATTTATGTCATGAACAGCCCTTGAATGAGAGGATGTGCGACCATCATGATGTGCAAGATCGCTTGATCCTCGTCTCAATGAAGCATCGGTATATCCATTGGCTCCTGATTAAACAAATTAAACCCATTAAAACATGTGAATGAAAACATAGTACTGGACTGCGCCCAACTCTGACAGAAATCATAAACTTCAAAGTGTATGCCATTACCTTGTACTTCTCTGGAGCTGCTTACTCCAGGAACAGGCTGCCGATTCTGAAAAGTCAAGCCAGTAGAATAACGCCATTTGGTAAGAATAAAAATGAGTAATAACATGGTTGCAAATGCAATAATACAAGGGTAGGTTATTAACCCACAGTGGAAATTATCATCAAATCATTTTGCCAACTATAGGTAAGAATTTGTTCTAAAGGCTGCAGGAAATGGATACTAACATGCAAGTGTAGATGGGACTTTGATCTTTGTGACTGTTGATACTTCATAATAGTCCAATCAAACACGTAATCAAATACATATCCTGTCAAAAGTAGGAACAATATCAGCCAAACAAAAACCAGGTCACAGAGACCTAGTTCCAGAATAGAAGTCTAACTACCGAGAAAATAAAGTGATTTGAATAAATAACCATACCTTCACGAGTAAATAATTCTCGGAATAGCCGCTTCAGATATCCGTAATCAGGCCGTTGATCGAAGGTTAATGAGTGACAATAGTTAAGGTAGGAGGCAAATTCCACTGGCAAAGACTTGCACAAGACCTGTCAACAATGAATCTCCCATTCATTAAACATCTTATTTCTTCTTTGATTCTTTACTTTTTCACTCTTCGCTGAGAGCATAAAATAGGGGATAAGTAAAATATAATAGTGATTTATACAAAAAAAAAAAAAAATTAGGTTGAATTCAGCAACTAATAACATTCTCGACAGATGAGCACTTTTCCAGCCCTCCACATGATAAATTGATTTAATCATAAACTAAGAAAAGAGTTTCAAAGTAATTCAGTACTTTAATAACCATAAGCTCCTTATTGCCACTATAAAAGATATAAAGAGGAATTCGATGTTTCTGTCTACTTCTTCAACAAACGAATGTGTATAGGAAATCAATATACAGACAGAGAGCCAAGCATCCATCTTTAATTGGTCCAAAACCCAACCCTTTGAAAACATTAACCATAGAATGTCCCAAGCAAAAATTTAAAATGTATAACAGGAAACTGCAAGGACCATCCACAGTACCTCAACCGGAGTTGACACCTTCTTCTCACATATTTTATCATATTTTTGCTTCTTTGTTGCGGCTTTCAGACCCTGCCATGGAAGGCTGCAAGAAAACACCAGAACAAAAGGGCCACATTGCACAATAAGCACATGAAAATGAGAGCATAAAACATGAATGAAATCATATCTTCGTACAAAAAAGCCATGAGCTATATGCACAACCTTCCTCTCAAGAAGTACAATAACACATAGCCAAGAGCCTCTAAATCATCTCTTCGACTTTGCTCTGCAGGATACAACAATATGATTAAAAAAAGGGGGAAAAGAAAGGTGCATATATGTGTCAAAAAGATCCAAATAATAAAACCTACCAATGCCCAGGTGAGTATTACAACTTGCATATCGAGCTGTTCCAGTTAAGTTTTTATGCTCCCTGTGTCGACAAAAGATGAAATGTGAACCTATAAAATAAAATGCAGCTCTTTAAAGGAAAAAACTAGCTTAACCAACACTACTGAGTAGAATGAAGAGGAGAAGGAACAAAAAAAAACAACAACAGGCAGATCATAATGACTATAGGTCATTGATCACACAAAGATCATATATAGAATGACTCAAGAAAATGATCTGGAATCGGTTGAAACTAAGTTTCCACCCCAATAACAAGTACTCCAAAGTTATGCATATGCAACAACTGTCTCGTAAAGCCGGATAATAAATGAATTGCTCCCTTTCTTGTATCGCAGGAGGCTTTTGGATTTTTGATGGGAAAGCATAACTAAAACCCTTCAAATAAATGGAAAACTAAAACAGAATTCCCGCAGGTACAAAAAGGAACAAACATAGGCGAAGACAGGACTGTATATACAACACTGGCACTAGATCAAAGTAAAAACTTCAGCCTAAAACCATAACATCACACCTGTAAGGAATATGGCGATTTGTTGTAGGATCACGATATCTTTTGGCCAGTCCAAAATCGATAATGTATACCTAATAGCATAAAGGAAACACAAGACAAGAAAATTTAGGAAGACTGAATGAAGAAAATGTAGTTAGAAGAAAATAACTTTCACATCAACTGACAGTATAAACAAGATGAAACTTGTGACCTGATTTGCTTTTCTTCCCAGACCCATAAGGAAATTATCTGGTTTGATATCTCTATGCAGAAAACCTTTGGAGTGTACAAATTCGATTCTTGTAATCTGGAATTTGACAAGAACACCAATGCAAATAACCACATTGTTCAATCAAAGGAAACCAGATGTATCACATACCCTTCACTAAAATACACATAACCAAGTATCTGCAGAATTTGCATTTTACCATCTGATCAGCCAACATGAGGACAGTTTTTAATGACAACTTCCTCCCACAATAAACAAAAAGGTCCTCAAGACTGGGGCCGAGAAGTTCCATAACGAGCACATTGTCATCCCCATCCACCCCATGCCACTTAATAACAGGAATTCCAGCTGAAATAAAAGGACAAGATCCCACGGTCAGAAATATCCTAGTTAAAGATAAAAGTTATGCTCAGAGCCAGCATTAGTTGGAAAAAGGCACTGCCATAGCCTACTTACTTCCCCCTTGAAGAATATTGTACAACTTCGCCTCGTACTGTAACTGTGGGTGTTTTGTCGACTTATTTTCCTGCAACCAAACAACAAGAGTTTAGCCAAAAAGTCCCAAATATTCGAACTTTGCATAGCAGGTGTACACATTCCGATGAAACCAAGCTCAACTTCAGCTCAATCAAAAAAAATTACGATGAAACCGTTAACTAAGTAAACCATAGACATAACTGAACTCAAAAAGGTATTACAAATAACATAGTAATTGGAATTATTTAAACAAATAACTTACGATTTTAATTGCAACAATTTCACCCGTATCGACATGAGTAGCTGAAAAAGACCAACAGAAAAACAACAAATCAACGGAAAAAAAAGTAAGGAAAATCTAGACTTCCAATCCGAATTGAGAAAAAAAATTAAAAAAATGTACAAGCTAAAAAACCGATTTATGATAGTGGAAAATCATAGAAATTCATTTTTAAGGAAAGAAGCAAAACACAGCCATACCGAGATAGATGACGCCGAATGATCCGCCGCCGATCTTACGCCCTAACTTGAACTTTTCCCCAATTATTCTCTCCATATATCAACGTATATATATACAATTGATTAACAAATTATTCAAAAGCTTGAAGAAGAAGAACTGATTGTTCTTCTGTATAGCTTTCTTCTATGAAGTTCGGATTAACGGAAACTTGGAATAACAAGTCAAAACAGGGGAATAAATTTGAGATGGGAAGAAGAAATTAGGGGGAAATCGGGAAATTTTGCAGGGAACAGAAAGAATTTGATTTGATCACTCTGCGTCTGCTCTGGAAGGATGAATTCTGGATATCCAATTTGACTTTGACTTTGACCAAACGCCCTAACTGCGTCTGTCCCTCTGAGGGTTTTTTTCTCGTTTAAGTTTTTCGGGTTTTATGCCGATTATTTTTATTATTATCTTCTTTTTTTGTATTTACATCATTATTTTTTTCCCTTCAAAAAAAAAAAAAATACTCCCTCTGGTCCTCATTATAAGGAATTTTGAAATAAAAACCTTAAAATATTTCATAATAACTAGGTGAATACAACGAATGTGAAATATTTTTAAATTTTTTGTTTAATTAAAATGACATTCTAAGTTAAACTTATAACAAAATTAAAATTCCTTATAATAAGACTGGAGGGAGTATATTGCATGTCTCCAGAAAAATACCCATTTTATAATTTGTAAATGAAACTACCATTTATTTCTTCTTCTTTTTTTTAATCCAGCCAAAATAATCCGATTTTTAGTATTTTTTCTGTTCAGATGATTGTTTAGTTTGCCTTTTCAATTTTGATGCAATTTAAATTTAAAATAAAAAATAGAAATCTAAACTGGTTTATAATTTTTTAAAGAGTAATATAAGAATAGCTATATTTGATTAAAAATTTCAAGTTTTTTTTTAAATTCTTTTAAAAATACAAGTGGATAAATAAGAATGTCTGTGAATATCTGAAAGAACATTAAGAATCTTATCCATTGCTGATGGAAAATATTTACGTTTTTATAATTCAATAACATCGTCGTAATTATTATAGATATAAAACATGCAAGAAAATTGTTTTTTAATCTCACAAGAATATGCACATTATAATTTGTAAATTATGTTATTCAGACTTTTTTTTGTTGTTGTTGAAGAAAATAATATGTATTTTTTTAATGAGGTGTTTCCAGTTTCAACAAAGAACATGTTAATGACGTAATATGGAACAAGGAAACATGCTGCATGGATATGTGCTTTTCTAACAAAAAGAATCATTATTATTGTTGTGGTTCTATTATTATTATTATCCCTTTTACCCTATTAAAGCAGAATACAGGATGTTGATGTGGCAACTTCTTATTAAAACTTTTTGGCTCCAAATGCACCATATTGCATTGACCATTCTGCCACGTGTCATCCCCTTTTTAAAAGAAAAAAAAAATCTTATCCCGAGAAATAAAGCTACTTTACAAAAATAACTATACAATTTTAACTCCTAACATTTATCATTTATCAATCAAATTAAAATAGCATTTAAATTTATCCATAAACTTATCCCCTTTATTACTCCACATTCTTTTGTATGATTTCTACATCGTTGTACTTTTTAATATTTTTTTTACTTTGGCAGATGATTTTTTATTTTTATTTTTATTTTTGACTTAAAAAAGGAAAAAAAAAAACCAAATGTGTAGCTATTTTATTTTTTCCAAATCAAGAATTTATTTATCTATTAATACAAATTTAAAGTAGAGGAGCGCCCGGGCATCTGCCTGGGCCAAACATCTAGTTAGTATTATTACTGTTATTGTTTTTGTGGAAAAAGGAAGATATATAAGTCAGTGGACAACAAAAATGAAATATGATCGGTCAGTTACTTGAAAAGTAAAAATTGATTTATCTGATTTAAAAATAGGCTTCTTTAACATAGAAGGATTCGAGAAGTGTTGATGCAAAATTTATAGATTATGAAATCGGAGATAAGAACCTTTTTTTTAAAAAAAAAAATTGTTTAATGCTTTCAAATAAGCATGGGAGGATTAAATGAAGTGGAAAGCAGAAAACAATTCGTTTATTCGCCAGAAACAAAAAAAAAATTTAAAAATATCCTGAATGTTTGAAGACATGAAACTTTGGTACAACATTTGCTTGATCCATTTAAGTGTTGTATGGAGATTTTCACTTTTTCACGAAAATTGTAAAAATATATAGTACAATTTCAGCCAATGCATTTGAATCTAGACATGAAGAGTATTGTTTTATGAAAAAACGTATGTTTGTTTTATTTTTTTAGTGTGTGTTTTTAAGTGTCTTTTGTATTGAAAATGTAAAAACATGTATTGAAAATATAAAAAGCTATGTTGGGATGGGACATATATTATTATTATATTATTCTGAAAAAACCATATAAAAAAAGAAAACATCGAAACAATAATTTTGAACACCGAATAAAAGAACTTATTTGACTCGAATCTAGATTAGACAAAACAGTGATTTTGAACACCGGAATATAATACTAAAAATTTGTTTTAAGAGTACAACACAAGATAGTGCCTACTGAATACTTTTTTGTTAGTAAATTTTGTGATGTTAATTAACAGAAATAAGTATCATACCCCAAAAGAGAGATTTTATGAAGAAAAAGATAAAAGAAAAACCAGAGAGACCTTCTTTCTTGTAATGTAACTTCAACAACTATCTAGTTTTTTCTTTTTTCTATTCAAAAAAAAAAACTATCTAGATTTAAATAAAATAAAGTTTTAGTTTTCAAAAAAAGAAAAATCCATCAAAATTGGTCAGTGTTACATTTGTCGTGAGCGTGGATCGAACACGCGACCTTCAGATCTTCAGTCTGACGCTCTCCCAACTGAGCTATCCCGACGTTGCAACAGTAAATTTTAGTTTCGATAAAATCTCATTTACTACGCCTTGCTTACATGAATCTGTACATGTAAACCAAGATTATTTGAGCTATTACGGTATTTTCCAAATAGGGGAAAAAAATTAGTGGAGGCTAGAGCCATTATAAATTGCCACAAAAGCTTTTAAGAGAAAATATACAATTCAAAACGTCATTACACAAGTCATCAAGTTATAACCAATATCACGATTCATGACTTCATTCATGAGTAAAAAGTTAGCCATTATCCTTTTCAATTGCGTAAAAATTAACTTTTATAATCTCATCTCTGTCAAAGTGAGCTCCTTTTAAGGAAATATATTCAAATCAAACAGTAACTATAGTTACAGTACAGCCAAAATCAGAAGGAAAGTATCAGCCGGGAAGACAGTTACAGAAGGATTTTAAAATACTGCTTGAGCGCGTGTTGTCTTTGAGGAAAAAAAATTAATTTTCTTTCATTCGTGTGTAAAGTGGATTCTGACAAAGGTTATTCCGTAATGAAGACCGTTTAATGCACTAATTCTTTTCACTTTTTTTTTTCCAATTCCCCAGTAGCGGCGGAATTCCTTATGTTCAGGCAATAAAACAGAGAGGCAGCAGAAGAAGAAAGGAGAAGAAAAGAAGCAGTCTTTGATGATGGAGGGTCCTGTGATTGAAGATGAGAGGATGATCACAGACCCTTTACTAGACAACCCTGATGATGATGATGATGATACAACAACAAAGGGTGGTTTAAGAACCATCCCCTTTATCTTAGGTGATCTGATTTGATTTTGATTTCTTGAAGAAAAACTAATTCTTTGCTAATAAAAATTGAATTTTGATTAGAACCCTTTTTGTTTGTTTTGGGTTGATTTTGAAACAGCAAATGAGTCATTTGAGAAAGTTGCAAGCTATGGACTTCTGCCCAATATGATACTGTATTTGACCAGAGAGTATCACTTGGAGATGGTGACTGCTTCAAATATACTTTTCTTTTGGGCGGCAACCACCAACTTTATGCCTCTTGTTGGTGCTATAGTTGCAGATTCTTTCCTGGGTCGATACAGGACGATCCTATTTGGATGCTTTTTTAGCCTTTCGGTAAGTGTTTTTTATTCCAAAACGTTAATCTTTGACCTCCTTTTATTCTGTTACTCACTCGTTAGGAGCAGTTTGTGTTTTTTATATGCTGTTAGATGAAGGGGTCATATAGAATTATCAACTGATTGCTAAATCATGGGCTAACATCAATGGTGTCAATTCCATCACGTTTTGCATTCACAGTCTAAAGAAACTAATTTTCGTTCAGGAATGCAATACAATTCTCACCAGACCAAGCTAGCACGTCTTTTTAGGGTTTCAGTTCTCATATTCCTCGGTCCCACAATGATTGTCCAGTTTGGGATTTCACTTTGAGTACAATTTGAACTGATAATGAAAATCCAAACTGGACAATCGTTTCGAGACGGCTAGAGTATATGTTACTGGCGAACAAAATGTTTTAATTTTAACGGCTCCTCCCTTGAAATGTTTACTTCTTTGGGGATTAGGTAGGTATAATGTCACAAATCGCCACTCTACAGTAGGTATAATTTTAGGTCATTATCCATGGAGTAATTTATACTTTTCAGGGAATGGCTTTGTTGTGGCTAACAGCCGTGATTCCTGAATGGCGGCCCCCTCTGTGCATAGAATCCAATTATATTTGCGGCTCAGCAACATCTTTGCAATTGCTCTTTTTGTGCACATCTTTTGGGCTGATGTCTGTTGGAGCTGGTGGCATCAGATCATCATCCTTAGCCTTTGGTGCAGATCAGTTGAGAATAAGTGGTAGTAATCAGAAAAATTCATGGATCCTTGGACGTTATTTTAGCTGGTACTATGCCACAGCCACTCTGTCCGTTCTAGTTGCTTTTACTTGCATTGTCTATGTTCAAGACAACCTGGGATGGAAAGTTGGTTTTGGGATTCCCTTTGTGCTCATGTTATTGTCAACTCTGTCATTCACCCTGGCTTCTTCCTTCTATGTCAAGATGAAGTCTACGTCAAGCTTAGCCATTGAAATGCTTCAAGTTGCAGTTGCTGCTTTTAGAAAGCGCCATACTGAATTATCTTTAGAGAGCTCAAACATCTTCTACTATAACAAGCAGGGCTCGTCAATTCTTCCAAGCGATAAACTGAGGCAAGTGTTTTCATCTTTGGGAATATCATCTTAGACAACATTTGCATAATGTAAGTGTATGCTTTGTGCTTGGCCCTGTAAATTTTGTGTTAGGAAATCAACATTGCTTCCATCAGGTAAAACCTTACACTTTCGGGTTTTAAGAATTTGTTTTCATGTCATCCAGGAAATGAATTGGTCGTATTCATGAGTAAGATCACTGTAAATGTGTAATATGTCAAGTTAGGTTCATTGTTGTGTTCTTGTGCCATGTTAAATATAGCCACACTCTGAAATCTGTTTCCGTTTACTGCTTTGGCCTTTTTGCTTTTGCTGTAAATTTGTTCTGGAATGAGGGGATTTCTCCAACATATCTGGTAAAATGAAAGCTTCTCGTAAGCCTTACATGTTTTGATCCTTGAGAAAAGTGCTTTTCTCCCAGGTTTCTGAACAAAGCTTGCATAATTGAAGATCCCGCAATAGAGTTGTCAGCAGATGGTAGAGCAGCAGATCCTTGGAGTCTATGCACTGTAGATCAAGTGGAGGAGTTGAAAATAGTTCTGAAAGTAGTTCCCTTGTGGTCAACAGGAATGATAATGTCAGTAAACATCTCACAGGGCTCTTTCGGTGTACTTCAAGCAGAGTCCATGAACCGTAAAATTGGCTCAAACTTTGAAATTCCAGCAGGTTCTTTTGGAATGTTTTGTGTTGTGAGCATCATACTGTGGATTGCTTTCTATGACCGAGTACTCTTGCCTATTGCATCAAAGGTCAAGGGAACACCAGCTCATCTCTCAACGAAACAAAGAATGGGCATCGGAATCCTAATTTCATGTCTTACCACGATAGTTTCCGCGGCTGTGGAGACTACACGGCGAGGTCTCGCGATCAAAGAAGGATATGCAGATGATCCAAAAGCAGTAGTCGACATGTCAGCGCTATGGCTGGTTCCACAAGCCTGCCTCATTGGGGTAGCCGAAGCCTTCAGTGCAATCGCACAGAATGAGTTCTACTATTCCGAGTTCCCGAGAAGCATGTCAAGCATTGCTTCATCTCTTGTCTTGCTTGGGATGTCACTGGCAAACTTGGTAGCAAGTTTCCTTATGAGTAGTATTGAGAAATTCACAAGAGCAGCAGGAAATGAGGGCTGGATTTCAACTAACATCAATAAGGGCCACTATGATTATTTCTTTTGGATTCTTTCTGGCTTAAATGTGTTAAACTTCATTTATTTCCTCATATGTAGTAGGGCTTATGGCCCTACCAAAGAGGATTTGAAAGAGAATGCTAGCCTGACTTATGGTCAATGTAATGATGATGATTCATAGGTCACTTTTTGATATTTCACACATGTTGGAATCCGCTGCCCCAACTTATCTGGATTCAAGTGGGATAGGTTTTCTTTTGAAAAGTAAAATCCTCCAACAAATATTTTTGTAGATCCCTTATGTTCCATTGCTTGAATCCGTATGAAGTAAACAATGTCCTAGTGTCCAGACAAAGATAGTTGATTGAGTATACTGAAGTACGAATCAAACCAAGAGAACTTGCTAAAGAAAATCAAGTTTATTTGCCATCACCTGCAGGTGACTTACCAAGCACAAATCTGAAAAATTCGGATACTAAGCGTGTAGACATTATAGAAGTTGTCGCAGTAAGAGAGCCAAATAAAATGACAAAGAAATGGAAATTATAATAACACTATCGAGTTTTAAGCCTCAAATCTGAAAAACGAAAAAAACCAACATAAACAATATAGAGAACTTCGCTTTCCCTCCGTCTGCACGTCCAGAATTTTCAATTTGTACTAAAAACAATATAAAACTCAAAACTCAATGTGGTCTATTTTTGTGGGACGGAAGAGGTATTTCTTTGTAATGGATTAGAAAAATGTATCAGGTCTTCTGAAAACAAAGAAGTAGTGCTTAACAAAAAACTGCAAAAATGGTGTAAGCATTATGGCTGAGACTAAATTCCTTCACTTCAAGTGCTTTCAGTTAGTTGCTAATCATCTCACTCAATCATCATCTTCTTCACTAAAATCTGAGCCATCTACCTTCTCTTCAGAGTCATAGCAACATTCACAGCTTTATCGCGCCCTCAGTGGCCTTCTTCTTGGAGCAAAAAACTGAGAAGATTCCTCTGTGCTCCCTGAGGCAGAAGCAGGGTTCTCTTGTTCTTCTATTTCAGAGGAAACCTTGTCGTCCATTTCCTGTTTTATGCTTCCCAACTTACAGCCACTCTTCTTGTTGAATGGTGATGGCCTCAGTCTTCCGGCTTTCTTCTCATCTAAATCATCACAACTCTCAGCTGGCTTCACAACACCAGTTTTGACCCGAGACATTACTTTTTTCTTAGTATACTACTAGAAAAGTGGCTTGTAGAGGCACTCAAGAATGCCTTTATACATGGATTGTTAAGGCACTTTTATCTTTTAAGGCATTTAAGAAAAGTGCCTTTAAATTCAATGTGATAATAGGTCTAGTGTAGTTATATCTAGTCTTTAAAGGCAATTAACAAATGTAATAACATATAACCTTTAAAGGCACTTTAAACTACCTTGTTAAATTATCTATGAGGCATTTTATGTGCCTTAACACACTACCTATCATGTCATTGATTAGTTTTTCATATAATTGTTTTTTTTTACAAAACAAAAATAAAAATAAAAAAATTCAAAAAATGAAATATATTTAAATTAAAATAAATTTTCATTATTATATTAATAAAAGTAAAAGAAAAAGGTAGTAAAGGTACTCTAACGAAAAGAAAAAAGGAGAAAATAAACTACAGTAATACCCTTAGCAACTAATCTATTAGGTACATCATCTTCGAACACATAATCTTTAGTGGTACTGCAGTTTTTCTTCAGTGTGTCATTCCCTTCAACTAATCTCTTCATCAGTCATCAACTTTAATTTTCCTGTTGCTGAAATTCTTCTTCACTCTCTTTCATTTGTCATCCTACCGCAATATTCAAACCTTCTGGGAATCTCTTTCATTTATCTTCTCCCACCATAATGATTTTCAAGTCGAGAACAACAAAGTCGAAAATTCGTTCTATCAAAAAAAAGTTCGCCTCTTCTAGGTAAATGTTGCAAAAAATTTGCAACACAAATCAATAAAAAGATTCTGCAGTTTACCCCAAAAAAGGATATTAACCAAAAGAAAATAACACTTAATAATACAAGTTGGGTGCATAAAATACGATTAGCAAAAAATGTCTTCCCAATGAGAAACATGGTTGCCAATATGTCCACATTTTTTAACTTATGACAAACCATTTAGCATATAGGATACCCTAGCTAGTAAGGTGACCTGTAAGGTGAATGATTTCGGATGAATGTTTTGCTTAGTAAGGTGACCTGTACTACAAATAAATTTGATTGATGTCGTGTATTAGAATTACCTAATAGTTCAATGACCCGTTCTGAGGTTCACTCTTAAAATTATGCATTGAATAGTGTTCTGATCCTGACATTTATAGCAGGCGGTTTCTTGGGGACTTGTTTGCCTTTTGGATTCGGTACCACAGGAACAATAGCGGCAAAGAATTTCATAAAATACCAATTTCAGATAGTTGAAGGTGAAGATGAGAAGTCTACAACTACAACATCTTACTAACTCGTATTCTTGGTGGTTGACTTCCATGGAGCTTTTCCTTTTTGAGCCTGCCCGTTTAGTTTAGGACCATCAGCGTTCTTTATCGCTCTCTTCCTTTTCTCTTTTCTTCTTCTCACTGCCAGTTCATCGCGTTTTATATTGTTTCTGCATTCCGATAACAAACTCAGTAAAGGAGAAAAGCCGAAATATTGCTTCTCATTTAAACAATTGCAGAAGCATCTAAAAGTTGGTAGTGTTTCATACATCAAGTAGCATCTCAAGGGCATCAAGATCCTTCAGCCATAGAGTTTTTGGAGCTTCCCTTCTCACATCATCCAAATCCTCCTTGATCTTATCTCTATCAGCACAGAGCTCTTGAAATTTCTCAAGCGTCAGAGTTCCTATGGGCATTATTGAGCGGATAATCATAGTCACTTGAACCAACTTCTTTTTCTGTTGGCTCCTTTCGCTTTCTTTTTCTCAGGGAAAGGGGGTGAAATCTTTCTGTTTCAGTTAATTCCATTCACGAGTACGTACCATTGGAATTATAGGAATGTACCTCCTATACAATACAAAAAAAAAAAAGGCACAAATTACATCATCCAGTAGGGAAATTGCTCTGCCTCCCAAGCTCATTCATAACAGCATTTATGTTACATTTAGCACAGTTACCATGTAGGCTCAATAGGCTGCCCATTTTTATCATTCGAGGCATCCAGGAGACCGTCATCATCTGTAGGGAACAGGTAACGTGGTAATCGGCGCAAGTTTTGTGTATAGATAGGAGTACTCTGCATGGTCTATCTCAATCCCACCCTGCCAGAGGAACAGTAATGTAAATCACAGTTGAATTTAAAGAAAAGATAAATCCTGGCTCCCCGAGGCATCATCATTTAAAAAGAAAAAAGAAAAAAAAAAGTCGTGCACCTGATATCGTGGCCCTAACCCCCCACTGGGCTGTAGAAGATTTATGTTATTGCTGCCAACAAAATCGTGATTCATTCCAATGATGGTAAGTGCAAGACTTCCACAATCACCATGATGGTCGAGTGCAGAGTGGGTCATAAACATCACCACAGATTCTGGACATTATCATTTCCCTGGAAGATACTTTCTGAGAAAAACGAAAGAGAATTTTTCTTTGATCTGAATTTAAGGCCATCAACCATTGATGGAATGGATCGCTGAAGATCCGCCATTGAAAACAACAGAGTTGAGTTCCTTTTTCCAAAATGTCGCAATCAATCCCTGATTAAATTTTCCTTTCTCATCAAGAATCAAGTCCCAGGCTGCAAAGCAAAACACACCAATTCTTAGTCACCATGTTCAAATCATAGAACACGTCAAGAAGGGAAAAAAGACAAAAAATAAAAAATAAAAAAATTCCCAACTGAATAAATTATTCGACATTGTTAATCAAATCTAATCCAAGAACAGAAACTGATAAACACAGTAATCAAGAAAATAGATAGCCATAAGTCACCACAACTAACCCACTAGATGAATGAACATGAGGATAAACATAACACGTTACAACCAACGTTATACATGGAAGAAAAAAAAAAACAAAAGAAATCGAGCAACCATATCAACCAAAGAAGTCTCAACTAACATTTAGAAGGGAAAACAGAACTTTACCAGGCTATTGATCGATCGATTAACTCTTGGGGACAGAGAATGCCAAGTTTCGTTAATATGTGTATGGCAAGAGTTGACGGTTTTGACTTTTGAATATAAAAAATCTTTGTTCCAAAATTATTGTCCAAAAAATTAAAAGTTCATAGCAAGTACTAAAGTTGGAAAGGAGTTAGAATGGAGTTTCCGATTCCTACCAACGTTCACAGGGTTATCAACTGAGAATATTCCTCTGTGAGAGTTCTCTTTCCGTCTTGTTTTTCAATTTTATGTTTCCCAACGGTGATGGTCTCACACCCTCACTCTTCTAACTATCTAGTGAGTCGCAATGACGGAACAAGAACTTTCAAATCATAGGATTAAAAGTAGGATTATTCAATCATCACCGAGTGATTAAACTGAAAAAAAATTTCAATTAACGGATGCCCTACTAAAAGAAAATTCAGCCAAATTCGGGCGGCCGGGAGTCGATCGACCACGTTGACCACCCCTCCTAGTTCCGTCATTGGTGAGTCGCCATAAATATTAACATAACTTTAACGTGTTTGTTGGAGATATATTAGTCAATATTTACAAGAGAATTTAATTTCGTCGCATTTGTCGTCGGGTTAGTGAAGTCGATAAAAACGTCGACTCGATTTATTACGTCGACTGTATCGTCGTATTTGGTAAGTCGACTTAACATTCGATGCAACTGTCTTTGTAGCATTTTTTTTTTCCATCGACGTTATCATCATATTAGGACAGTGGAAGTGAAGATAAATGCAAATGTTTTCATAAAATTATGTTTCTTTGACTTTATCATCGTATTATGATTTATGAAAGTTGAGTAGAAAAGTTTATCCGAATTTTTCTTTCACCAATTTTATCATCAAGTTAAACAAAATTTATGAAAAGATCAAGACAAAATATTTCAAGAGAATTTGATTTTCTTCGGCTTTGTCGATCTTTAATTCAGAAGATGTGGTAACTATAATTGAGTTTTGATCAAGGAAAAATTACTTTTTTATATATCCTTTTTTTTTTTTTTGGATTTCGGGATGATTTACTAGCATGAAATGAATCATTTGATCATGTGGTAAGCTATGGACTTCTGGTCGACCGGCATTCTTAAAATTTATGCCTCATCGTGGTTATTGGTGACTTCGTAAATATGTAATTAGTAGTTAATTGTGGTATAATATGATTCCGTAATATTTGTAACTCTCTTATACATTTGGACTCTTTCTCAGTTGTTATGTATAATAAAAATCAAGCCAATTAGGATTTTCCAAACTTCTCTTATTGGTGTTATTGTTGCAAACCACTCTATTTAGATGCTTTTTCCGCCTTTTCATATTTTTTCGTCTCAAAATAATTATTCATTTTAAATTTTCATTGTACAAAAGAAAAAAAGCATAGACAAATCATTTGGATACTAAACAAGAACGTTTAAATATATTTTTCAAAAGTGATAAGATTTTGATTATTAGCTAAAGTTCTCCTGCACCATAATCTTATAATACTTTTTATTATGAAATAAAATTTGTCATATTTTTCTATTTGATTATTACTTTCTTTTTTAAAATTTTATTAATATCTTAACCCATCATTGGATGAGCTCATTACAACCATGAATCAAAAGTATAGGAGATGTTTTATCCTTTTATCCTGTCACTAAACAAACCAGTTAGGGCGAGTTTGTATTTTTATATGCTCTGTTGGAGGAAGCTTTGTAGAATCTTATCGATTGATTGCGAAATCATTGACAATAGGATTGTGATTTCTGTCCTAACCTATTGATTTGTGTGTGTGTGTGTGTGTTTGTGTGTGTGTGTGTTTTTTGTTTCTTGTTCTGGGTTAGTGGTGTCAATTGGATCATGTTTTCCATTCACATAGTAAAATGGGCAATTTTCATTAGAAGGAAATATAATTTTTACAGGACCTTTAGAGTTGCAATTTTCATGTTTGTTAATAATGAACGAAAGTTCTAAATTTTTTTATTGTATTGAATTATCATCAGGGAGCTCGTCATTTCTTTCCAGTAAGGGTAACTATGATTACTACTTCTGGATTAGCTGGTTTAAGTTCGCTTATTAAACTTGATGTATTTCCTCATGTGTAGTCGGGGCGTATTGTCCTTCTAAGCTTACATCAATATCTTTCATTCATTCATATAATAGAACTGGTTGAATCTGTAAAGTGTAAGCAGTTACAATGCCCTTCTAGCAGCCAGACTATGATTATTGACTATGAATATAAACAACATACCAGGTTTATATACGGCTTGTTTGGCCAACATTTTATTTTAATTTTTGTTATAGTTTTTCATTTGGGTTTAAGATATGATTTAAAATGTGGTTTGAAATAAAATTTAAAAAGTTGTTTGGATAATATTTTAAATAAACTAATAATATTTTTAGACCACCACCGGCACCGCCTCCACCACCGGTGTCGCCGCTGGACCGCCCACTGCCAACTCGCCGGAATTCGGTCGGAATCTGGCCGCCCGGTCGCCGGCCAGCGGCGTTCCTGCAGCGACGGTGGTGGGAGGTCTGGTGGCGGCGGGTGGTCGTGGTGGTTGTCCGGTGGTGGTGGACGAAAATTGTGTAAAAATAATTTTTAGAATATTTTTTAAAAGGTAAATTAAAAAGTTGTTTAGATAATATTAAGATTTGTGTTTGAGACATGTTTTAAGAGGTAAAATGAGACAAAAATGCAAAATAAAAGTTGGCCAAACAAGCCCTATAGCTTCTTTTGTAAAATAACACCATAAAAGTTACTCCCTCCGATACTTAATATAAAGTATTTTTATTTGTCCTAAGTTTCATCTAGAACACATTTTTAATTGACGAAAAAATATTTAAAATAGTTCATAACAATCAACAGAACACAACGAATGCGAAAATATCATTATAAGATTTTTTTTATTGAGAAAGAAAGGAGAGATCGAAGATATGGTAAAGATATAATAAAACTTACAACCACAAAATCTGGTTTTTCAAACTTTTGAGGAGAGCAGCCATATAATATCAAGGAAAAAGTTGAAAAAAGATATTATACTAATATGCCACTCTTCAAGATTTCAACTTGCCAAATGCCAACAACACAAAACTATCAATCTCCATTATTAATTATAGCACTCCAATCTTTGTGGGAAAAGAAGAAAATGACTTATTGCAAAAAAATTGAAGAAAACAAATATAGAAAACTTCGCCATTTTTCATCGTCCGACACGTCCAGAAGAAAATCAAACAACTCTCTCACACTCTTGTCCTTACGAGGTGAGTTAGGTAGTTACGTTTCATCATCCCATTTAAGTCAATTTTCAGTTGTCATCTTCACCATTCTCTAAGCATGCCACCAACGGCAAAAATCAGACACCAGTTTCTCGCATTTTACTTCTCCAACAAATCATCAATCAAATCGCCCCGTGTCATTATCTCGGGGGTCAATTTCATCAGAAATGGAGGTCACTCACCACTAAATCCCAAACTTTTTTGTGGGTTCATCTCAATTCTCAAACATTCATGGAGGAAAGAATAGAGACCTCCAGAGTTTTCCTTTTCTTCTTTCCCCTTTCCCACTAGCCACGCTGACTACAGTGGAAGTGGTTACTCTACTGAGTACTGAGCACTTTCTGGCTCGGCTAATAATATACTTTAGATTCCGTATTGAAAGAATAACACTTTTTGGAATTTGTGCAATTAAGCAGAGAAACAATGGGGATTGAAGTGGAGGAAAATCAAGACATGGTCAAGGAGCCTCTCCTTAAAAAAAACACTTCACATCCCAAGGGTGGTTTCAGGACCATGCCCTTTATCATAGGTAATCCGATGTTTGATTCAACTGGGCTTGTATTTGTTCAATTTCATAACTTTTTTTTTTTTCTTCAATGTTGTAGTGTAGTTTTTGTAATAATATCATAATTTTAGCTCCAAGATTGAATCTTTAGTGTTTATTTGTTGTTGTGAAAGCGAATGGGATGCTGGAGAAGTTGGCGTGTTTTGGCCTAATGCCAAATATGACTCTGTACTTGATGAAGCAATATCGCATGGAGATGGCCTCTGCATCCAATGTTCTGTTTTACTGGACTGCAGCTACGAACTTCCTGCCGATTCTTGGTGCAATTCTTGCAGATTCTTATGTTGGCCGGTATTATATGATTGGATTCGGTTCTGCTATTAGCTTCCTGGTAAATTTTCTCTACATTCAGCAATTTGTTTGTTTTAGAAGTGTTTTGTCTTTGTAATAATATCGACAAAAAAAGTTAGGTAAATGTTAAAGGTAACTATTTTCTGTTGTTGAAATAAGGTGGTCATCATCTGGTTTCTATGGTCATACCTAATTGTTAAATCCTTAGGGGAGCAATAGATTTGGCTTTCCTTCTTTATTCTGGGTCATTGGGCTTTCATCATTATCACTTTACTTTTGGTTTGGAAGTCTTCTGGTGTTTTGAGAACAACTGTTAGTAATGCCTACCCTGAGTGACTGTTTTCACATTTTCTTTTAGAACTGGTAGGTTCGATTCATCGTTCAAAGTGGGAAATTCCTGGATTTCAATAATATGCCTGTTAAAGAATAAACATTTATGGCATGATTTTGGAGGGAAATTCAAGAATACATCACTTTTTGTCACTCGTTTTGGGATATATTGTAATGAACCTCTAGACCTTGTAGTCCCGAGTCTCTCTGGGAAGATAGAGGAAAAGAAAGATGAATAATTTGTTGGTAAGTCTATAAGCTTGTGGTTTGGAAATTTTTCCTCCTTAGATGTTGAAGGTCAAATCTCCAACGAGAAAAGTTTGGTTTATTTCCTGAATGTTTTACCAGATTCTACCTTTTGGGTATCAGATTGATCACAATATAGAATTCGCTAAATGTTTGTGTAAAAAACCTAAGATAGATAGATTTCATTGCGAATAATAAGATCGTTGCTCTTGCTGCATGGTCGTAACAAAATATAAACTTCTGAATAAGTATCTGAGTACAATTTATTCATGAAGGGGATGATTCTTTTATGGTCAACGACTTTGATTACACAAGAAGCGACTCTGCCAAATGATGATTCTATTACAAGTTACAGCAAACCAACGGTTCTTCAACTCTTAATCTTATACACCTCTTTTGGGCTCATTTCCATTGGAGGTGGGGGTCTCAGGTCCTCTTCCTTGGCGTTTGGAGTCGATCAATTGGAAAATGGAGATGATCACCAAAGTATTGGTTTAATGGAGAGATATTTTAGCTGGTACTATGCTTCCTTCACAGGATCGCTTCTCGTTGCCTTGACCTTCCTTGTGTATATCCAAGAAAATTTGGGATGGTCATTTGGTTTTGGAGTATCTGCAGTACTTATGTTCTTTGCAACTTTGTCTTTTTTCCTCGGTTCTCCCTTCTATATTAAAGTAAAGGCGAAAGCAAGCTTCGTAATGGAAACTGTTCAGGTGATTGTGGCCTCTTTTAGAAATCGAAATCTCAAGTTGTCATCAAGTGGGATGGATATCGTGTTCCATCAGAAGAGGGGTTCAGAACTGGCTTTTCCAAGTGAAAATTTGAGGTTTGATAACTTCCTCATCACAAGTTAATTTCTCTGTTTTCTCCTTTTGAAGTTATGAGAATGGGAGATTGTAAATTTTTCTTCTAATTTTTTTTTTTTTTTTTTGCAAAAAAATTTATGCAGATTGTTGGTTGGATTAAAAATTACTCCCTCTGTCCCAAAATTATTGTTGTACTGAAACTGAAAATCCAAACTGGACAATAATTTTGGGACAGAGAGAGTAGTTTGAATGTTTATTTTATCCTGTTCTTTGAGCTCTGAATGATTTTACACCTGATCCTCTACCTAAATGTGTTTGGTATCTCTAGGTTTCTGAACAAAGCTTGCATTATTAGAGATCCTCAGCAAGATTTAACTGCTGATGGAACAGCTACAAAACCCTGGATTCTTTGCACAGTGGATCAAGTCGAGGGTTTTAAAGTATTAATTAAGGTTTTACCTATATGGTCCACGGGGATGCTAACATTCATAAATATTAGCCAAAATTCCTTCTCTATACTTCAAGCCAGTTCCATGAACCGTAAGATCGTTGGAAATTTCGAAATTCCAGCAGGTTCTTTAGGCATAACTACAGTTGTTTCTTTGATAATATGGGTTGCAATTTATGATCAAGCAATCATTCCCATTGCTTCAAGAATTAAGGGGAAACCTGTTAGCTTAAACACCCGAGAAAGAATGGGAATTGGAATATTTCTCTCTTTCTTGGCGATGGTAGTCACAGCATCTGTAGAGTTTGTCCGTAGAAGAATTGCCAATGACCAAGGCCTTTCAGATGATCCACAGGGAACAGTTAATATGTCAGCATTATGGCTTTTGCCTCAATATTGCTTATTGGGTGTTGCTGAGGCTTTCAATGCAATTGCGCAAAATGAATTTTACATGTCAGAACTCCCGAAAAGCATGTCCAGTATAGCTTCCAATCTATGTGGAGTTGGGATATCGGTGGCAAGTTTATTAGCGAGTTTTCTGATGAGTAGTATCGATGACTGGACGAAGAGAGGAGGCCAGGAGAGTTGGATATCTAGTAATATCAACAAAGGTCATTATGACTACTACTTTTGGGTTCTTTCAGGACTAAGCATTGTAAACTTCTTGTATTTCCTGATCTGTTGCTGGACTTATGGACCTTATAGAAGTGAAAAGGAAAAGCATGCCGATGAAGAAGCTTTGTTGCAGTAGTAGACATCCAACTTACTTGTGCAGTCATGTATAAGAAATGCATAGAAGATGTACGTAGGAGAAGACTGTATAAGTGTATATGATCTATCATAAGATCCTTATCTTTGTGAACCACATCGGAAACCAGTGTATAAGATCTTGGTAGTTGTTGAGCCCGCCAAGCTAAGCGGTCAAGGACAAACAATGAACTGGTTAATAAGTATAACCTAAGTAAGTATAATCGAAATAAGATAAGATAAAAATTCTATGTAAATGTTTGAATGTATAGAAAGACAAATGTGATTCAAGTTTCGGGTTTTGTATTGGTTCAACTTTGAGTTTTATATGAAAGAGAGTTTTTAAGTGTTGGTTTGAAAATTAGTTCAATGAGTTTGGCTGACAGGTATGAGTGATGCCACAGTCGAGGAATAGATGAACTAAATGGAAAAGCATATATCATTGTTCCTTTTAACGTCAAGTACTGACATCGGTATGCATCATTGTACAGGTTTCCAACTTGTACACCCCCTCCCCCCCCCCCCAAAAAAAAAGGCTAGAGTTTAGCTTGTTAAAGATTTCGGGAAGTGGTTGGGGGAATCTGTAATCCATGGGAGAATCGAAGCGTTTCTATGGTAGATGATGGGAAAATGTTCTGTTAACGAATGCCGAGAGGTTGAGAAGACATTTGACCATTGAAGGGGGCTGCAATTTGCAATTTGTGTCGGCAGATGTTACTTCCGGAGCATGGAACTATGGAGAAGCATCAATCCGAATTTGAACGCCAAGTTCTGGCTGAGAACACTGGATGAACTCAAAAAATTCATTCTGTTTTAAGGAAAACTTGAAGTGGAATACCTGCTGGAAGCTATGGAGAACTCAAGGAATGAGGATATTTTTGCAGTAGCTACTTCAGAAGGAACACACTAACATTCTAAGACTACGGCACTTCGAAGATTAGTTCAACGAGTCCACTAACCGGCATTACTGATCCTATTGTCCCAATAAACACCACTTAGGCCAACAGAAAATATTTAAGCTGTTGAAAGTTGAGACTTCAAGGCAATGCTAAGATTTTCGTATATACCATTGTAATTTCTGTAGAAAAAAAAAAAAAAAGAAAGTTAACTGTACTACAACAACTAAAGCCTTTCACAGAAAAACTACTGCCCTCCACATTTACAGATTCTATACGAACTTTTTGTCTCAAACGTCATTGAGTATTTTTTACAGACCAGGGGGTTTCAACAAGGGAACTGAATCCAAAAATCCCTCCAAATCAACAGGAAGTGTAAGAGCACGGCTCACTATTTCAGGGGTGTTCGTCTTACCCTTCCATGGGGTAAACCATGGTCCTCCTCCAACTTCCACAGCTGCCATGTTACTGGTGACATCCAAAATAATCTGGAAACAAACATGACCAAACAAAATTTAGTCTTCATAAAAGAATTAGAAGTACAGATGTGTAGTTACTTAGACAAACATTTTTGAAATCAAGACATCCCAGGGAAGGAGGGTCATAAGATGCTCGATATATTAAAAAAAAAAAAAAACAAAAAACTCTTATACTTAAAACTAAAGTGAACTTGGAAACAAGATTTGCATAGGCTCACATTTCCTTTACTGCCATCAGATCTTCGCTCCCATAATTGCAATCTTAGCTCCGCAGTGCAAGTATCCTTGCAGGCTGGGGCTAGCCCAGCCTCCACAGTGGGAGCACGCAAGGTTGTGCCTGGTTCTGTTGTTGTTGCCACCAATTCCACCTGCATTGAACGAGAAGCAACTATAGTATTTACCGACAAGATCAATATTGCTCAATGGGTGTAAAACAAAGCAGACAGAAAAAAAAAAAGGGTCCCAGTGCATGTTCTGTGGAAAACAAAGCACACAAACATAATCGACAACCCAAATTCCAACTTTTCTCAACTAAAATAAAGTATGAACACACTAGAGCCATACATTGGCCTATAAGATCTTAAGTACCTTATATTTTTCATTCTCTGCAGAGATAAACCAACGACCCCATTGGGCGATTTCCCAGCTAACAACTCCGGTCCACGGTACAAATTCATAAAATACACCTCCAAAGTGGATCCCCACCTGCATAGATATAATCATACAAACATGTATAACAAAAGATCAAATTGGCCTGCTTGTAAAAGTGAAGTTGACTGGAAAACACAAAAGGTTGTGTGCCATGATTCGGCAGCAAAAACAAAGCGGGTCAATAACGATTTCAATACCAGAGCCGCGTTTTCATAAATCTCACTTAATCCAGGAAGTTGTCTCAGTCCACCAGCAGCTGTAAGAGCAACTTCTCCACTTGCACCCTCAAAAACATTGCACTGGATCTGCATAATGCTAGCCCATAAACGAAAAGCAAAAAAAAAAAGAATGCATTCATTTGCTTATTAGTTACTTGAGATGAAACAGACTTTAAGTATGAAAGCCCCTAGAAGGTAGCACTTTCCGGGTCAAAATGCATGTCTGAGTGCCTACAGTTTCTGGTTTATTTTACATTTTTATCTAGATTTCCTTCGAGGGAATGCATAGGAGAGGGAATTGGTAAGAAACATAGCTATGATATATTGATAGCAAAACCAATAAATTATATTTAATTTCCCACAAAAACGAATAAGATTCCCACAAGGACTATTGGTTTAAGGGAACAAATGGCTTTCTGCCTGAAGTAGATGAATTCATTTTCGTTACCATGATGGCATGATATAAGTTGTAAACCAAACTCCACCAGGTGTACACGGAAATATACGATACAGATGAAACAAATATTTATATTCTACCAAGCATAAGTTTCCTACTGCTTCCCAACATCCAAAATGCGCAACAAACAAAACAATTAAACCAACGAACAAGATGATAGTTAATTGGTGAATGAGATCCAGTTCAATTCAAAAATACAGCAAAGGAAGTAAACAAACCCAGAACCACTTTTTGGGGAAGCCACCGCCCCAATTCTTCTCTGAATAGGAAGGAGCATTTTCAAACTCAAACCTTTCTCCATCCCACTCTATCCATCCTGCAACCATAAATATTATATTAGATATAGATTGAATGACCAGCATCTTCTATATTACCTGCATGTAAGGCAAGAACAATGCAGTAAAAAACCCACGCAACTAACGACGTAATTAGACCTAGGAAAATATCTGAAACATGTTGATAGGTTTATTTCCAAAAGCAAAAGGAGACCTACTGATATCCATAAACTGGTAAGAGTGTCCTGATGTATCTGACTCAACATCATACATGAAAATCACAAGAAAATATGTAATAGGAAAAGAAGCATTAGCTCCCACAAAAATCACAAGAAAACATTGCAGCATGTTTGAAGTGCCTATTTAGCAGATGCAGATAAACATCATTAAGGACAAGTGACAAAATTATACATCACAAATCCAGAAAATGACATACTCTTCAATTAGACATTTCTTTAGAGTAAAATGGGTAGAAAAAAAAGTAATTCCACCTGTTGAAAGCCCCCCCGCCATGCATATTTGCCAGTGGGGTTCAAATACAGGGAATGCAGCAAGCCATCCTGCAGTGGACTTTTGCTTTGAGTCAACATTTCCCCATCCATAGATGGGTTGGGTACTATATTCCCATCTTGCAGTCTTCACAGTGTCTGCATAATTTGTCCTGCCAACTAATCATTGTCAAAAGGATCTGATGGGTTACCACCGAGTTCTAAAAACTATCAGTTGCAGGCAACTAAGTAAGGGATGGAGCTGAACTATAATCATCTGTGGATGTCAGTTCGACCTAGCTGCATTGCAGGCATTCTTAAAGCCACATTGGACTAAAAAAAATAAAACTCCTAATGACTAGCAATGCTTTAAGAAGGACAAAAAGCTTGCAAATAAGAATAAAAGATTTTGTCCGTTACGTTTTAAATACCAGGCAACGGATCATAGAAAATTGAATTGCACCATAACTTGAACGCGTACAGATTTGCACATTTGAAACACACAGAAAATATTCTTCAATTTCAGCACTGTTCCTAACTTAATGAAACTCAGGTCAGCTTACCTTCCATCATCACAAATATAGCCCTGGTGCCATAATGGGGTGACTTGAAAACCTTCTTCAACTCTTCGATTGAACTCCTGTGATAAGCAAAGTGTTAACTCGAGAATAACCAAGCACAGACCAGTAAAGTTTATATCATGTCTATAGAAATAAGACTGCGTTAGTTTTATTGTAAGTTTGATGAAGTAACCTTTTCTCAAGTCCTATTCAAACTTCAAGATCCTGAATCTCCCCAATGTTCTCCCCATGATATTTCAAAAAATCCTTCGACATGCTTTGTTCTCCCTCCAAAATAATTCATCCCAGACAGTGACGGATTCAAGGAGGGGTCAGGGTGGTCGATCGACCCCCGGCCGGCCGGATTTGGCCAAATTTTTTCTTAATAGGGTGTCCGTTATTTGAAATTTTTTCAGTTCGACCCTCTGGTGACGGTTGAATAATCCTATTTTCGACCCCGCAATTTGAAAATTCTCGTTCCGTCACTGATCCCAGAAACTTTTTCACCATTAAGGCATAGGAAAAAATGACCTAAAAGTTTTGTGAGATGCCAAATGACTGATATAATAGTACACATTACCTCAACCAGTACTTTACTTACTAGGTTATAATTGTACTTGGAATCTGGAAAACAATGTAATGGCATGCGAAAATCTAGGTTTTGAACAGGATGGTAAGATAAGTTCAAATCATATTTTTTTAAAAATGAAAATAAATGCACATACATACAAACCTATTAAAATTTTAAGCTATTATGCAACTGAAATGAATAACCTTACTGACCTGAGGATGAACCTCCTTATTTGGAGCCCGCATATTTTTCTGGGCAGTGAAGGTATTCCCAAGCATCAACTCATGTCTGCCTATCCATTGACATACCATGAATCAGGTTAAGTAATTTCATTGATAGAGGCAATATGAGAAACAAAACAAGGTCAAAGTAGATTAAATATATAAGTGTCAAGTAACTGGGGATTAATGTTGAGCAGACAACGAAAGTAGTAAACCATATGGACAAGGAACACACTTCCCCAGAAGTTTGAAGAGTCTTCAGTGAATTGGCAAATATACTTGTCATCAGCACCAAGAATTTGAGCTCCAACTCCAGTGAATTTAGTTCCATATTGTAGTACCTCCAGGGTGTTCAATCTCTTGGTGAACGCAGGATTCTCTACAGAATACATAAAGCAGAAGCTTTGTCTGCATTCTGGTATTGATACCTTGAAGTACCACCCCTCAAAAAATTGCCGCGGACTTCCATCAAAATGATATCTGGTCAAGAGCCAACATCAAAAGTTTAAACCAACAGATCACAGATTACGAGATAGCTGCAGCCATTTTTTTTCAAGAAGATTCAATTGAGGTGCTTAATGATTACGTGTAAATGCAAAGAGGGCATAAGATTCTGATTCAATTTATACAATTGTAAAAAGGGAACGATCCTTTTCAAGCTTATGACTATCTATATAAGTCTTTCATATTCTTATTTCCATTCCTCATCTATTGGCTCTTATATTGCATCAGTTTGAAATGATCAGAACAACGAACAATCATCCTACATTGTAGCAAAGACTACAAAGATCACATTCTCTTCCACTATGGAGAAACGAGACAAGCAACGAGAAAATAACGAAACAATCTTCCTAAGTCCAAAGTTCAAATTTTAAAGTCTCAGAAACAATACATCAAAATTGCTTCAAACTTGAACTACCAATCAGCCAAAATCTTTATTCGTTTTCCCAACGTAATCAAATAAGTGGTCCTACAAAGAATTACACACAAGTACTCCCACTGTCCCAAAATGATTGTCCAATTAGAATTTTCATTTTTCAGTACAATTTGTACTAAAAAAGTGAAACCCAAAACTGGACAATCATTAATGGACCAAGGGAGTGTAAAAATAATTACCCGCTATGAGGGGTCCGAAGCGGGCGATTCGAAGGCGTCGGCTTATAAACTGGATTCACAGCCGCCTCCTTAGTCTCCGTCCGTCTCAATTCTGCCGGTTCAACACCGGATTCAGCGGTTGACGATGAAGTCGACGATTTAGCAAAAACTACACCCCTGAATGTAGTTGAAAGCTTCAGGAATTTCTGATTCTTCTTCACCGGAGCTGAAAACACCAATGGGGACGGGGAACTGGGTTTGGGATTGAAATTGGGGAAGAGCACGGATTGGGAACTCGAGAGCGGAGAAATTAAACATTCCATTGGAGGATAAACGAAGTGGGTCTGGATTATAAAATTGAAGAATTTGATAATGGGTTTTTGGATTATAATTAGGAAGGGGGCGGAATAATTGAGGAGAAGATGATCAAGAAGGAGACTGAAAACAGTGAGAATAAACGGTTTTGCCCAACAGAACAGGTGGCTGAGGGAGAAAGAGGTGTCGACTGTCCGAACCGCGGGTAAAACAGAACGTTGTCAAAATTTCCGAAAAATTCAAGCTCAGGACATTTTAGTTTCTGAACCTTCCTATTCAAGTCCCTATTATTCGTCTCTACTCTCTACTACTACATATAACACAAACAAAATAGGGAAAATTCCAATTAAAGGAGCTACAAGTTCTAAATTTCCTAAAGAGGATGTGCAATTTATAAAATTCTTCTCAAGGGTATGTTAATGTGTATACTCATTAAATATTTATTTTTTGTGACAATTGTACCCATTATTTAATGAATATTAAAATCTACAGTTTCGAAAAACTTGATCTTAGAGGTGATTTCCTTAGAAACCCAATCAAGAAAAATAATTTTTTGGGGCCCAGAAAGGATCACATTTGATAATTAATATAATTCCCTCATAATATCCAGAAAAAAACTGTAAATTATACATATTATTGACCTCCAATTTCCAGAAAAGAAAATATTGATTTAACCCAAAAACCTTATTTTGGGGAAAAAAAAAACTCACTTAGGGCAATAATAATAGTCTAGGCAAGCATTGAACATTGGGGAAAGGGAAGGGATAAATGGAAGCTAAAATTATCAAAATAATGAAATAAAGATCTAAAAATCATATGTAACTTCACGAAAATTGGGGGAAAAAAGATTCGATAAAAAAAGATGAATTTGGAAAAGAGAAAAATTCATTATCTTATAACTAGGGAAGTGTACATATTATTAATAACTGTATTAGTATAGGATACATTTGTCATTAACAAAATAATGAACGGATAAATGTTTTATTAGGTCCGTTAGAGGAATTTTAAAAATTGCACACCTTCTTTTAGAATATTAAAACATAAACGAAGAATTTTCCCAACAATATAATCATGGTGAAGGAGGAGTTTAATATACGTTTTCTCACACTTTTTTTTTTTTTTTATTGTTTATAGTTTGAGTTAGGATAATTTCAACATTTTCTTTGGCCCCTCTCATTATCACACAACGATAGAATCAATCAAAATTTGTGATGATAATAAATTCATGCATCGATGGAAATAAATTTCCAATGGATAAAATTATCCTCCACATTTACATTTAGTTCGGCTTGGTCCTTAATGTTGGAAAATGGGTTTTTCCCGACTTATTGTTTCCATGAAAAAAAAAAAACAAAATCTCACAGCAATTATTTTATTCCTCGTGAACAAACAATTTTACGACCATGTGTATGTTCATTGCCTTGGTTCAAGACGGCAATGAATTGGATCGAAGATTTCGTCGGCATTGACTTTACTTGGTATACAACTACTCATTAATTAAGGAAAAAGATCTTCAGAGATAACCGAAGACACTGCTGGAGAAAGGAGCGAGCTTAAGTGATTTTGTAGTTGAAGTAAGGGTATATATATATGATAGTTTAATGTCTACTCTTAAGCACTGATGATAAAATTAATAAAATGGATGGTCTTCATAATAATTATGATATTTCTTTATGTCCTTATTTAAAATTATCCTTTGATTTTATGTGAATAAGATAAACAAAATTAGATTCCCTTAAAAAAAAAACCCAACGTATATATGTATATATTACAAGGGTGTTGAAAGATAAAATTCCCAATTAAAATTGTTGGAATTAGTCAGAACGCGATAACTGATTTAGAGGCCGAAAAATCAATACATTCCCAACACAAAAAACAAGGTCGCGTACGTAGTTAATTAGTCTTTCAGAGCAATGAGCTACGATCACTATAATTTTAGTTTAAGAAGTTTTATAGTTACGTAATCATGAGCTACGGTCACATTGCAGGAAATGCAAATTTAATTAGTTTCTGCAACAAACTGCTTCCCATTTCAATTCTCAATTGAGCTTTTTCAAATCCCAGAAAATTTGCCTTGTTCTTTATTTCCGTCAAGTGCAAAATTAGCCAGTTAATTATGTCGGGGAAGGCACATTTCTCTTTCCACCATGGGTTTTACTTTTCCCTAAAAGTTCAAAAGCCTCAACCCACAAATCAACCGATATGTTGGAATTTTGTGGGAATTTTGTTTTTACGTGATCAAAATGCTGTTTCTGTTCTTGATCCCATGTAGTTAGTTTTATAAATTTAAACAAAATGCTCCGAAAACTAACTAAGAAAAAGAGCCATTAACTAAAGACTGGAATTAATTAAGTGATGAAAAGCCGAGGGACGAAAAATATATTAAGGCAGAAAGGTAAAAAAAATAAATAAATAAAAAAATATCAGTCTCATCATCTCATGAAACATTCTTTTTGCTATTCCAAAACTGTACCTTCAGGCCAGTCAAATCAATTTCCAAAGCTGTGGGTTTGGTGTGTTTGTTTAAAGAGGCAAATTCTTAATGCCATTTAACCAATATGGTAGTAAGCTAGTTTTCTTGGGAAGATCGGAGTGGAGTGATTCCATATTAAAATGCCAAACCATAATTCTTGAGCAATCCATTGGAACTCCTTCCATTTGGCTTTCATCCTCCACTATTTGTCCAATAAAAGTGCTCACCTATTTTTCACCAAGTGAAAATTAAATACATGTCCAGAAATTTTACTGACTATTACGCCAATCACTATTGTAATACTCTCTCCTTCCCATAATTATTGTCCAGTTTGAATTTTTATTTTTAGTTCAAATTGTACTAAAAGTGAAAATCCAAACTGAACAATAATTTTGGGACAGATGGAGTATTTTGTTTAAAAAAAGAACAAAAAGAAACTTACTTGAAAGACTTCTTTGACAGTGTGAAGGAACCTAACTGGTTTGAGAATAGGCTTATTCCATCTCTTTGGATCCCAAAGTATAGTGCTGTTGAAGGCAAAACCTGATACTCCAGAATGGAATCTTTTGAACTTATTTGGGATTTCATTTGTGTGCCATCCTATAACCTTGGAACCGTTACACACCGGACCTTCCACGATTGCATTTGTTTCTTCTTTCTCAACTTGACCTACCTTCCATGTTCCAAAACGCCTGTACATAATGACATATGAAACACTTAATTTGATATATGCTCAATTATGTACTATTTCTATCTCGAAAAAATAGTCTAAGTTTTCAAATTTATATTTTTTTAAAGTATAAATCTCAAGACTTAGTGATTTTAAAACATAAGGAGTAGAAACTAATATATCAGAAAACTCAAATTTAAGTATTACATCGAAAAAATATCATGATAGAACTAAACAAAACATTACGCAAATTAATCATAAAATGAAAACTACCTGATTTGCCTCATTTGATCAAAGAGATCAGTGGAGTAAATGTTGTCGTAATTGGCAAAGAAAATGATCCCATTGAGCTTATGTGTTTCAACGTGAGCAAGAACCACATTTCTCAAATGCATGCTTCGATCCACGTTCAAGTCTACAACTAAATTCTCTTCACAAACCAAATGCCTAAACATAACTCCCGAATTCCTCAACAACTCAGCTATGTCAAGAGACTGTGACGTCATCTCGACCACAATCCACAACAGCGGAGGTGGGACCAGTCTCAAAGTATTCGCCAAACGATTTACATAATAAGCCTCAAACGAACGACCATAAATTGGTGTCACCACAATCAAAAGCTTGTCGAATAATAAAGCATTATAATTCAAACTCGTTTCTTGATGATCAATTAATGATGAATCATTATTGTTGTTTAATAATAATAAAGGGCTAGCAAGATGAATACTCCCGTGATGATAATTTGGCTTTGATCGTTTTAATAATTTCTCAACGGGTTGCAACTTGTCGTAGGCAAACTCTTGATGTTGGGTGAGGAATTTGATGGAAAATTCCGGGGAAGCAAACGGGGTGAACCCGATGAAGATTCCGAGCAAGAACCATATCAAGAAATGAAAGAATGCCCTCCTCCACCAAATGTTCCCTGATTTTGACGATTTCTGACGTTCGAAATTCCGGCCGGACGACGACCTTTTTGGGAGAAGACCTAGGACTGAAGTTTGAGCTTTGTAGAAGGTGTAGTATAAGGTACTAAAGGAACGAGGGAACAGACTGCCTATGAGGAGTGGGTTGTGGTCGGAATTGTTGGAGGAAAGTGATTTAGATAATAATGCTTGAGAAACTGTTGCTGGTGTTTCCTCGTGAATGACTGAATGATCTCCAGATTGTGGTGCTGGCATTGACAACGTTCTTCTAAAAGATCCCATCGGAATAAGAAGAAGAAAAAAGTCCCCGGAAATCGGACTTGATTATTCTTCAAATGAGCATTAATATTCAAGAGTCTTATTATTTTGAATGATGTTGTTTTATTTATAATGTTATATATCCTCATCTGAAATGCCAAAAAACAAAAAAAGACCATAAATTTTATGATATTTTACACTAATATGACACAGTTAGTACGTAAAACATGTATGTATGATCTTACACTAATATCTTCATTTATTTTCTCACTGGAAATTGAATGCGTGTACGCATTGAATTACTGGCTCATGCTGTTCATTTAAATTGCTAAAAACGTTTCTTTTTTTTCTTTATATTTTATGGGAAAGCTATAAATGTCGTATGGATATATCTCTTTTTTTTGAAGGGTAACTTTGTTGATTTTATTTTCCCATCAATCAAACAATGGTAATATAGGCTGAAAGTAGAATGTAATTATATAAGATCATGATGATAGTTTGTCATTTCTTGCATCTCAAGGAGGAGAATGGATGAGCTTTATATATGTGGACATTCGAGATGGGATTCTCCGGACATGAAATTAAGTTACGCAATTAGGGAAATGGGCGCGTGTTCAATTTACGAACTGCGAATTTCCGGAGCTACCTTTACACACGTATACCTCGTTAAACAAGTGCATGCGTGACTATTAAGATGAGCAGAAATGACACTTGCAAATATTAAACAAGTGCATGGGTAACTATTAAGATGCTGTTGTATTTCACCCAAAATATATATACTTACTTCTGGCGGTTAATTAATCTCCATGCTTTTACATGTACTTATTTATGAAATAGTGTATCTATCAATAATGTTATAGTTTGTCATAACTTGTGTGAATAAAGAAAATTCAAATTATCAAGAAGCGATATGAATAATACGAACTCAACGTCTCAAACCGCAAAATTCCTCTTGATTTATAAATTTTTTTATTCCCAATCACATTAATCGAGTGCTTGGGTTCCCCCTTTGCTTTCATTTGATCAAGAGACACCAAACCTGTGGTGAAACTGTAAGCAATGCAAAGCGTTGGAAAGTATGTCCAAATCGAAATTTTGATACAGCAAAGGGAGGGAATACCAACTACATGTGTAGTTTTGATTGTTTGAAGTCCGCAAGATTCCAAAACACTGATGAAAGTTCACAGGGTTTCAGACTAGAAACTCATCATTTCAATTGTTCCCAAGTACCCAAAAACCACATATACTAATCACAGACACACGCCAGGGGCCCTCTCTTGTCTTTTAAATGCCTCTTTTCTCAGTACTGATTCAGTTCTTCACTAAAAACGGTTCACTGAAACACTAGAGTTTTTTTATTTTTTTTGTGTTCACCGTTGCTCCGATTAAACAGCAGTTGTCGCCGCCATGAAATCTCAACATCCTAAGCTTAAAACTGCACCCCGACAAACACTTTTCTCTTGTGGCTTCTTCCGCCACTGTACTCAAACCGTCCTCAGCCCCACCACCACCACTCCTCCGTCACTCCCATTCCCCGGCCCCGAAGATCACCTAGCTCAACCACCGACGCCGGCCCCACCGCCACCGCCAAAAACTCCGGCCCCTCTTCCTCCTTCACGATCTTCCGGCACGCTTCCGGGTCATGCACCAACCAAACCCGACTCGGAATCCTCGTCATCTTCTTCCAACACCTCACAGAGCTTTACCCAGTGGAGGTTTCAGGTTCCCAATTCCCCCATCTCTCACAACCTTATTCATCCTTATCCATCCTCCACCCACGAAAGTCCATCTATCGGTTTTGACCCCAACCCGCCCGTGAACCCACCGTTTCCGGTCACCCACTTGGAAGAAACATTCCACGTGGCCGAGCTTCAATTCAGTTCCGGATCTTACGAAGACAAGCTCGCGGCGCTGCGTCTGCTGGAAATGTCCCTGGTCCCGAACCCACGCGCCGCCGCCGACGGAGGAGAACCCGCCGTGTCCTGCCCCGCCACCGTCATGAAACGGGTCCTGGACTGTTTGAAAGAGAAGGGCAACGGCAAGTCCGCGAGTAAGGTTCTTTTAGCCCTTTGTTTGGCGGAGGAGAATCGCCACGTGGCGGTGGAAGTCGGCGCGGTCGGGGCGGTGATCGATGCAATGTCGGACCTGGAGGGTGCCGTGGCGGAGAGGTCGTTGGCGGCGTTGGAACTGCTCTGTACGGTGGCGGAAGGGGCGGCGGAGTTGAGAACCCACGCGCTTGCGGTGCCGATGATGGTGGAGGTGATGGGGAGAATGGAGGGGAGAGGAAAAGAGTACGCCATTAGCGTGTTGACGGTGATATTTAGCGGAGCGAACGATGTGGTGGCGCCGCCGGAAGAGGTGGCGCGTGCGGTGATGCTGGCGTTGCAAGGGGATTGCAGTGCTAGAGGAAGGAGGAAAGGGTCCCAGCTTCTGAAGATTCTGCAGGAAGAACATAATAATAATGGACGTCTAGAATTTGCCCAAGACGGCCAGATGAACGGCTGATAATTGATAGTATCTCATCATCATCATCATCATCATTATTCACCTCTGTTGAATTTGGTCAAACTTAGGTCCAATGTTCATTTTTACTCTTGTTTTGAGTTTTGGGCTTAGCAAAATTAGCAATAGGGTTTTAGTATTTTTATCCTTCTTGAACATTTTCTTTTTACCCTCTTGTAAATGTTGTTTTTTTTTTTTTTCTTTACCCAGCATGTTCTATTTTTCCTTTCAAACGCACATGATGTACTATATTATTGCGTGGTAGGTTTATGAAGGAGACTGTAATTTTTTCCATCACTTTCTCCATGACGTTGTTGATATATATATATATATGTGTATATATAGATGGGGGAATTCGATTCTTGTTACCGTACAAGAAATACGCGTAATTAATCCTGCCTGTAGTTAAAGAGGAGAAACAAGTGAAACTATAATAGGAAATATAATGAAATTGTTTTGATAGTTTAATTTCTTATCGTTTTAATTTTATACTCAGTTTATTATTTTTATTTTTGTTTTACCAAAAAATTAAGAAAGTGCGGCGGATGAAATACATTACGTGTGGGAATGCGGCTTATAAAACAATTCATTCTTTATTATGAAAAACTGAAAAAGAATCGAAGTTTGATGTTTGATGATCATGAATAAAATTAATGGACTAATAACGTGAGACGGTCGGATTAACAATTACTTAATTCCTAATGAGAATGTTCATGGGCAAAGAGACTCTTCCATTACCTTGTGGCCTGTACGTGGGCATGATCATAATCAGTATGCATGAAATCAAGGATCACCTTAATTATTTTTTAGGCTAAGGGTATATATATATAACATTAACAGAAACCCAAAAAAAAAAGAAAAAAAAAGATAAGGTATGCTTTGGGATATTGCATGCTTCAGTTCGTATAGCCTAAGACAGACTTAATAATTTTTTGGTAAAGAAAGTCTTGATATTGTTGCATTAATTACAAATGATATGTACCCATTTCAGAATAAGAATCTCTTTTCTTTTTCTTTTTTTTTTTTTAAGAAAAAAATGTGTGTGTATAATTTTGTTTTGTTTCATAGAAAAATACTCCCTCTGTTCCACAATTATTGTCCAGTTTGAGATCTCATTTTTAGTACAATTTGAACTAAAAATAAAAACCCAAACTGGATAATAATTATGAGACGGAGGGAGTACATGACACGACCGATGAAGTATTATCTAACCTAGTCAGTCTTTACATTCTAAATTCCCCAAACATTAGCGTCTAGCAAGGTTTGCACAGGTCACGCCATTTTGGTGATATAATAGTACATACTTTTCTTTTCTCGAACAAAATATTCTTAAAAATATAAATAACTGCTTACTATGTATGCTTAAATATAGCAACGAAATCACACTAGCTATCTATACGACTAAAATTTAAATCAACTATGGAATTGATGGTGATTGAATCGAACACCACTACCTCAAGCTAAAATCTCAACATTTTGCACACGATAACTTAAAGATTAGCTCATTAAAATCTTAGCCATCATTTCGATCATCACATCGTCCATCGCTTACAACTTGTTCTTGGTTAGTCACCCAAACATGGGACGTATGTAATGTGATACAAAAAAAAAAAAAAATAGATAAATAGTAATAAAATTACTTCATCTTGGAATCTAAATCCCTAAACAATATTTTAAAGGGAGAAAACCATGCATATTATTCATCGTCTCAGAAAAATAATTTATATTTAATTTTAAAATTTTTACTGAAAATATTACAAGTATTAAAATTCAATGTCAATTATATTTTTTTAAAGCAGAGGGAGTAAGTTTGGAGTTCTGGCAACATAATCAGAAGGTAACGGAGTCAAAGAACTGACATCCAAATATGTTGCTGCAGGCTGCAGCATGCCACCGATGCTAGCGGTCAAAGATGTGTGCCAAGGTTTAATTGGAAGTACTGTGTCGGAATTTGTGTATAATGAAGGGTTAATTTCAACAAACTGGAAAGAAGTGGAAGAACGGAGGATTAATTTTGTTGAATCGGAATTGTTTAATTTACTGGTGGTTTGGCTGATTACCTCCTTTCATCGCACAACCGTTTTGGCACATTAGGAGCGGGCATTTGTTGTTGAAAAATTGAAATTTAGGTCCCAACACTACCGCCTCATTCATGGCGAACAGTGCTTTCTTTTGTCTTATGTTTCATTATAAATAAAATCGATTGCAAGTATCAAGTGGTTGACTCAAACGTAGGTTTTTGAGTTGGATTCACTATTAAATGTGAATTATATTAGGTCATCTCGACCAAGTCGGGATTGGACTATCACGAGATTTTTTTATTACTGGTTATAATATATCAAATTGTTAAGAGTTTGCCTTTTCAAATTAGTATTGTTATTTTTATTATTTTGCTCACACTCATATGTGGTACCTTAGTAATTTAGGCCTTTCGGCCTCCTTCATTATACCAGAAAAAAAGTTGAAATTTAGCCTTTTTAGCCTCCTCACTATCCATTAGAACTTCTCTAAATTAATATTTTATAAATTTATAATTTTATTAAATAATATTTTCTGGTCTCAGCTCGAGACTAAAAAAAAATTAATTAATTTAATTAATTTATAAAATAATAATTTTTCAAGGCTCTCTAATTTGATCGTTCTCATTTCTTTCAAAAAATCTAATATTATTATTAATTATTATCGATAAATTAATAACTTTATAAATTAATAAATTTTTTTCAAATCCATACGTAGCAAAAGATACATTTAACCTAGTGAAAAGGGAAGCCAAATGAATGCATTTAACATGTGCCAGCTTTCCACATGTTGTCAAGAACTGCGAAAAGATTATCGATGATGCCAAAAGATGTTCATTTTAGATCGGTCTTTCTGGCATGAGATGGAAAATACAAAAGAAAGTTAGAATGAATTATTCCCAACGTTGAACTTGAATCCATATGCCAAACCACCGCGGGGATTAATTTGGATCGTATAATTCTATAACTAATTATATTATTTTTAATTTTTTTTTTACTATATTATACGTTTAGTGTCTGAAGTTATTACTACAAATAATCTGAATTAGAACCGGATAGTTTCTTTTTTGGAGACAAAGATCTCTCAATGAATATTTTAATCATGGTTGCATGTTCATATATGAGTTCGGAGCCGGGTCATAGTTAAGCTGGCTCAACACCTTTACCCCTTGAATCAAGTGATTGTTGGTATATTATTTGTAATCTTAGAACAACAAGAAGAAACTTTCCATTTGTTTTATGCTCATATTCAGAGATTTTTTCCATGTGGGCTAAGCATTTGTAGCGTAGTTTTTAATCATTCAATAATTTTGTTCCTTGATTTTTTACGGTACGCCACTTGAAAAATCCTCTCAAAATGCTGTTATTTATCTTAAATCAGATTGCTGTACGCAAATTATTGTCATTGTTGTCGTTATCATTGTTATTACCGTAATCATTATTGACCTTTGAACTAAATTCTTCACAAGTCAATATTTACAAGTTTACAAGTTTTCTTTCTCACATATTTTAAGAATAATAAACCATGTTAGCTAGATCCAAATGTCCAGCGCTTTGAATATCAAACTTACATTCTGTCTTGCTATCCACTTCAAGTAAGCTTTATTTTCTCCTGACTTTGCTTTCAAGAATTGCTACTTTGTCCTCTATTTCCCTTTTCCATTCAATTCCCAATAAATTCTAGCACCCAAAATCGGGTCTCTCTAATTTTTATGTATCACTTTTCGTGAACCAACCGTATAACATATTCCATAATTTAACAAAATACTTAAAAAATATTACACGTTGTATACTACATATAGAGTTTCTTTTACCGTTTGGGACCAAACTATTCTCCATTAATGTCAATCATCCTGCACATTACCTCAATCAAACTTCAAAACCAACGAAACAAAGCCAAAAACCCTCCAAATTTAATGCATGGCTGGAGTTGTCCATCATTTGATATTTCTTCTTATTTTCATCATTACTAAAACCAATGCAATCCCACCACCTAACCCGGTACAATGCAACTCAACCGGATGCATCCTCCACAACTCCTACGGCGTGTGGGGTGACCGGAAGGATTGTCACGTCTCCGGCGTGATTTATCCGGCCACCGAGGAAGAACTCCGGCAAGCCGTGGCGAATGCGGCCAAGAACAAACTCAAGACCAAAGTCGTGACTAGATTTTCCCACACCATTCCGAAACTAGCTTGTCCCGCGACATCTGATCAAAATGCCGTCCTCATTAGCACCGAGAAGTATAGTTCGAGTATCGCCGTCGACGCGGCGAGTAAGGTTGTTACTGCCGATTCGGGGGTGCCGTTGAGGGCGCTTATTGATCGGGTGGAGGCGGCGGGGATGAGCTTGGTGGCGGCGCCGTACTGGGAAGGGGTGACGGTCGGCGGCGTGATTAGCACCGGTGCACATGGGAGTTCTTGGTGGGGTTTGGGCGGAGCGGTTCATGACCATGTCGTCGGAGTTAGGCTGATTGTTCCGGCCACAGCGGCGGAAGGGTATGCAAAGGTTGTTAACCTGCGAACCCAAGATCCACTCTTTAACGCTTGCGTAGTTTCTCTTGGAATGCTTGGAGTCATTTCCCAGGTGACTTTCTTTCTTTCTTTTTTTAAAAATAATTTAGTAAGAAATGAAAAATTAAAATTGGTGTTAAAATAATATATATCGAAAATCTTTCCTCCTTGATGAACGTGATAATAGTGTTTTGGCCTGAATTTTTGGTACTGTTGCAAAGTAAAGTAACAAAAATTTGCTAGTAATTTTCATTATAAGATATATACTCCATCCTTTCCTTTGTACTAAAAGTAAAATTTAAAGTGAATAATTATTTTAGAATGGAATAATTTTGTAAAAATGAAGTCTATTTTGCAGGGGAAAGAAATGGGAAGTAGGTTGTTGTGTCCGTCTCATTGTCCATACTGATATAAAAAAAAAAAAAAAAAAAAAGAAAACAATGAAAGCTATATCATTTCATAGTTGTTCTTTTAAGTTTACTATTGAGTCTTCACGAAAATTATCTTTTACATCTAAACCACACGATTCCGGGTTCACAATATTTTTTGTTTGGATAACTGTCCCCCCAATGTTACTCTTCATCCACATTGAATGAAGAGCTTGTGTGCTGTGTGTTCACTTATTATGCTGCACGCATTGTGTACTGATAGAAAAAAAAACAAAAGAAAGGATTCTTTTATATGATCGAGGGCTTTAATCATTAAATCCTCCAAATTGTCGGTTTTATCAACTGACTATTGATTCCAAGTGCACAGGTTCACATCTCTCAATATGCATCAATAGCAAGCTTAATTAAGATAGTGGGAAAAAAAAACAAAACAAAACAATTCTTAATAGCTATAATATTAGATAGTTGTCATTCATGTATTTTATGTTAATCGTTCACTTTCTTGTGTTATTTTGATCCACCAAAGTAAAATACATCTTGAAATGGGCTTAAGGAATAATATAACTGCAGGTAACTTTCTCATTGGAGTTGGCCTTCAAGAGGAGCATAACATACAATTTCACAAGTGACGATGATATAGAAAACCTAGTTTTTAATCATGCAAAGGAGTATGAATTTGGAGACATCCAGTGGTATCCATCCCAGAACACTGCTGTTTACAAATATGATAATAGGGTACCTTTGAACACAAAGGGAGATGGAGTCAACGATTTCATAGGCTTTCAATCCAATTCCATTCTTATTTCCAAATCAGTCCGAGCAACAGGTATGTTATCGAATAGATTATTTTTCTGTGACAGAATAAAATGAAATTATTACAATTTTACTTTTTGCAATGATCGAGCAGAGAAAGCATTCGAGAACGCAAAGAGTGTGAAGGGAAAATGCACAACCGCCTCAATTACGCTGGCCTACAAAAGATTAACAGCAAACGGATTAAAGAATAACCTAATTTTCACTGGATATCCAGTTGTGGGTCACCAAGGCAAAATGCAAACTTCAGGTTCTTGCCTTTATTCATCCTCCATAGCCATTGACCAGTCCTGTGCATGGGATCCAAGAATTAACGGCCTGTTCTTCTACGAGTCAACGGCCATTTTTCCGGCTAACAAATTCGTTGACTTTCTAAGCGATGTCAAGAAACTCAGAGACCTAAACTCAGAAAACTTCTGTGGGGTGGATATCTACAATGGTTTGCTCATACGTTTCATCAAAAAATCGAAGGCGTATTTAGGTCAATCCGAGGACTCAGTCGTTGTGGATTTCAACTATTATCGCGCGGATGATCCTTCGACTCCTAGATTGAACCAAGATGTTTGGGAGGAGATTGAGCAAATGGCGTTTTTCAAATACGGCGGGAGGCCTCATTGGGCGAAAAATAGGAAAGTAGCGTTTCTGGACGTGCGGAACAAGTATCCTAACTTTGGGAAGTTTATTGAAGCCAAGAAACAATTGGACCCTTTGAATCTGTTCTCGAGTGACTGGTCTGATGAAATACTGTTTGGAAAACAAGTGGTGAAGAAGGATGGTTGTGCTTTGGAAGGTGAATGCATTTGCTCAGAGGATAGGCATTGTAGTCCTGATAAAGGTTATCTGTGCCAATCTGGTCTTGTTTATGAGCAAGCTCGTGTGTGCAGGCGCTCAATTACTGCTGCTCCTGTCAAATTGATTTAACTCAGAACACATATTTTGAGATTAGAGGGAGTATGTAATAATTTTAGTGGACTAATTTACAGTTGATTATGTAAACTTCTTTAATTCACTATATCTAAATCTCGACAAACAACAAATGAGATCACCAATCTCAATACTCATGTATTTGTTGTGTCCTCTGCAATAGAGCTTAGAAACCTTTTGATTGAAATTTATACTCAGAAAATAAGCCTTAGACTACATGTTAATTATCTTAGTAGCAGCGCTTACTGTTCTTCCTTGCTTTACTGCCGGTCGAATATTTATGCTTTTAATATCAATAAACACCATCATAATTCATAATACAACTTGAACTCAGCCACAGATTTTCATAACTTCTGAAGCTTCTTATAGAGCAAAAACCAAGTTGACGGTACAAACAGCAGATCAATTTGACAGATCTAAGAACAGGAAAACAAAAAATAAATCCCAAAGTGTCTTTAATTCATCTCCCTAAACACAACATCCATCATGAAATTTATTACTGTATAAAAGCCCCCCATGCACCTCACCACTTTGCTGCATGTCAAAGTAAGCAAGGCCCCTGCATAAGAATCAACATTGTGTGTCATCAAGAGAGCCGTGCTACTAAAATCTATGAGCCAAGTAGAAACCTTTCAGGCAATAAGCAATAGGTAATGTAGAATCCAAAAACAATGGAGCATTTGATGGCATCAACAAAAAATCACATCAGGCAGCAACTAGTAGGACAACTCCAAACTTGAAATAAAAGATCATCCCCAACAACAAGAAGCCTTTATCCAACTAACATAAATTAGAGATAATCCTCATCAAAGAAAAACACCTCTGCTGTGGAATATAGCACAGCAGAGTCCAATTTCTCTGGCAAAGTTGACTTAGATTTACTCGAAAAAGATTCATGACACAGGTATCCTACAGACAGTGTGTGTTTGGGCTGCAGATCGGGGAAGTCATAGCAGAGTACATTTCAGATTCACCTTTCCATACCATTTTTTATCTTTTACTATTCATCCAATTTCTTTTATGCATTTATCCAAAAGAACATAGGTTTATTTATTATCTTTCATTTTGGTATGGCGGTATCATTATAACCTAGTAACAAAAATTCCACTTCAAGTCACAGATTCCTTAAATAAGAATTGCAATTTACAAATGCCATAGGTAAACTCCCAAGTACAGAACAAGAACAGACTGGTGATAAATCAAAGAAGCTTTCCTTTTGAAACATTTGAAATAAAGGACAACGTTCCAATTAACACAACCTTGAACCATAAAGCGAGACAAGGGAAAGATAGGAAAAAGATATCTTTACAGAGACAAAGTGTTTACCTTTATCTCGTGAACCTGGTTTAATTGGAATTTTAAATTGAAGATTTGCTCGGAGGCTTCTTGGAAAGTGCATCCGGTGGGGAGTATAACAGTGAGGCGATCATAGCTCCTGGAAACACAGCATACTTGGCCACTGCAGCCAACTTTGTCAGTAGTGGCTCCCCTTTCAAAGCACCCAACAGAAATGCCATGTTTTCACAAGATCAACCGTTCCTCTGTTGGCTTAACTTTCACCCTCTTTTGTGAGACAGAACTGTCCTAGAAAATCGATTTTAGAAATACACTTCATCAGCCAAAAAAACTTTCATCATCTCTTCTCTCTATTAAGAAAAGGACAAACTTGAATATAAATATAGTAGCTTTTCTAGGTACTCAACAAGCCAATACTCATCCTCTTTAACTCCAAATTAAATTTCTAATGCATAAGGGACCGAGGAGGTTTTCTTAGTTCCATGTATTGATAGCAAAAAAAGCACTTGAATTTAGTCAGGCATTTATCAGCACACTTGACGGGAAACAGTGGCTTTAACAAACTTCCATCAACAGTTTAACCATAACAGTTTTTTCTCTCTGCTTATATTTGCACTCAACTAAAGGTAAAGTTTGAATTTTGAACAGCCGGACATATAAGCCAGACTAGAAACAAGAAACAGATGACATCCGGAAAGCTTACAGAAGATCACAGATATATCACTACTAATAGCTAGCACATAAAGATATGAACATCAAACCACAAAATACACAATTTTTTACACTATTGAGTTCCACATCTGCACAGCAAATGCTTTTTCGAAAACAGAACACCACATGCCCCTAAAAACGAAATACCAATGATCGACAAAACACATCCACCATTTCGAGCTTATCATATATCAAAGCAAAATTAATGAGTATAGATTTTGTGAGGAAATGAACATGATCAAATGATTCATATTAGCTACAAAAATTAATCCCCATTCGAACTCACTTCGACCATGCTCTAGTTAGTACATTCTCTAAAGACAGAGGATCCATAAGTATCTGCCTAGCAGCCTAATGACTATATTCTGCCCCACAACGTCAATGGTTTTTGGTAATGCCGGAACCTCACCTTAACATCAGAGTTGAAGTCTCAATTTTTGGGTTTATAACAGAATGAAACAGGAATAGAACCAATAAGAGACATTAATTGAGCTCCACACCAAAGCACACAAGGTCAAACTAGAACAAAACTTTCAGTTGGGAATTTGACAAACACCGTACAGACACACTAATAACTCTGCCGCCAAAGCCCTTTTGGAAAACAGATACAAATGGCATTCTTGCAAGTCTGTAACATCAATTTTGTAACAACATGAAAGGTACGGCTTAATGGCTCTTATAGGAATACCGTGAGTCTGGTAAGGCAAATCTGATCGATATTTTTGCTGACGGAAACTAGAGTACTTGGCTCGCCGGTAAAAAGCACCGTCCGAGTTCTTCGGGGGATAGAAGGAATTTTTAAAACTAGGTTTTTAAATCTCAAAATACAGAATTTAACCAATTCAATTCCCAATCGAACACAAAAAAAATACTAACAATTTAAGGGTATCGCAAGAGCTCAATTGCACTAACACGGTAACGATTAAGAAACATGGGAAAACAAAGTAAAAGGAAGAAAGGGGATTACCGGAGATAGGTTCGCCGGGGCGGTGGTGTTTATTGCAATCGTTACTGAGGCGTAGCTGCTGGTCGGAAGCCGGAAGTCTAACGCTGGAAATTTTTTTAATAGAGAGAGTAAAATAGAGATATGGTTCTTTTATTGAAATACCCCTCAAACTCTCTTCTATTTTCACAATACCCCAAACTTAAATTTGAAACCTTTTTCTTCCTATACTCCCCCTATTTCAAAATGTAAGTCAGCTTCACATAAACTAAGGAGACGATTATTTAATACTCCCTATATTCCAAAATAAGTGTCATCCTACATTTTGCACATAGTTTAAGAAACTCTTAAATAGGGTAATACAATTACTTGAATATTCTCAACCAACCCCATTATAAAATTGTCCACCAATAGCATCAACTATTTTGAGGGTAATTTTGGAAACTTTTGACAAAAAGTGCATTGAAATATGAGAACGACACTTATTTTGGAATTTCTTCATTTTGCTAAAACGACACTTATTTTGGAATGGAATAACTAATTTGTGTGTTGAATATCTATTTTATCCATCATTTATTGTTTTGAAACTGTAAGCAAAACTAAATGAAGAGTGATTAACATTATTTATTGAGGGTAAAGTTTCTAATCTTTAATTTACCTTGAAATACTAAAATGATTTACATTTTGAAATATTTCTCCAAATCTAAAACGAGTTATACTTTAAATGGAGGGAGTATATATTATCCTTTATTTAATTTTTAGGGCAAATAAAAGTTTTTGATTTCCCCTCTTTTTCAGTGAATGTAAGCCTGGGATAACCCGATGGATAGGTGCGGCATCAGGTAATTTCAAATACAGTATAAAAAAAAAAGTTATATAATCTCTACAAACGCTATTACATTCTAAACAATGAAAATGATAAAATTTAATAAAATAACTAGTTTTGATAGCACATGGAAATAAACTCACTCACACATATTGCTTCTCCTTTCTCCTTAATTTAGTACTAACTTGTTTCTAAAACTATTTTATACAATGCTTAAACTATTCTTTGTCATGGCTTTAAGAGTGAAAGAACCAACATATATAAGCCTGGATAATCGTGATCTTTATAGAGGCAATAAGTGGTACTCATATACACAGGATTGATTGATGCTATTCCTTCCGTCCCATAATTATTGTCATGTTTGAGTTTTCATTTTTAGTTCAAATTGTATTAAAAGTGAAAATCCAAACTGGACAATAATTATGTGACGGAGGGAGTATATATTATGGCAAAGCAACCAACCACATAATAAGGCAATGTAATCCAATTAATTTGCAATCAATATAGCGCGTCATATTTGACTAATAAAGGATTTGAGGATCGTTGGTAAGTGACGTGATTTCACGAGAAATCATTCTCCTATTGTTTATGATTTTTGGATTTCCATGATGCATGTTACAAATCCGTAATACAAGTTGAAGAATAATTGCCTCAATCGTTGTAACTATCATAATTTAAATGAAATATTGCAGATTGTGTATGGTAATAAAAAGTGGAAAAAAAAAAGAAAAAAAAGAAGGAAACCAATTACATGCAGCACTGACTCGCGGCGTTCATTATCAAAATATCATCTGCATTAGTGGTATTATACTATTATTGTTATATTATTATTATAAATGATCTATGACGAATGTATACAATTAATGAAGAAACTTGTACGCTTATTATAATACATTAAACTTTGTTTCCAGCTTGATTTCCTCCATTCATTTATTCACATTTGCAATATGAAATCTGGCGTCAAGCGAACATATTCAACTTTTTTTTTTTTAATTTGATTCTTTTAATCATATAGTAGTTGGCATTGCTAAACTAACTAGTGAAACCTAGCTATATATCTATATCATCATTAATTATATGTAATTAAGATGTTAATTACTCATGATTACATACAAAAGTAAGCAAGTTACAGAAACTGAAAGTGGGGCCGAGAATAAAATTTTTCTTCCTCCATGACGCACATAATAATTTGTTTTTTTTTGTTTTCTTAACAACAAACTAAAAATGACTAGTTTATTGTAAACTACTGCAATGATCCATATATTTAACCGACCTCCAACGGCGGGATGAATGATAGATGTTTGTAGTATTAATTATGCTTAACTGGTAGGAAATTAAGATACTCCAAGAAAGCCTTATAAGATAATTAGTTCATGGAAAGATGATTCTCCAATTCACCATCTGGAACTGGAACAATTTAATCATTGTTGTATATTTCTTTTGATTTTAATCCATGTAAGACTGTTCTAGGCATGTACAGTAATTGTTCTTAATTGATACATTTAAAGAATCTGCTATGAAATTAATGAGATATATAAGAGATTTATTACCACCTACCAAGGTATATATGGTTGAAGCCATAGTTTTTTTTTTTTTTTTTGAAAAGGGAAGCCATAGTTGAATATGTTTAGTTTGTCAAATGTGAATGATAATAGTTTTTTCTTTATATCTCACTTGCTTCCAAATAATTCTTGTTTGTACTGTTACAAAACACCAAGTAATACAAAGTTCTATATACTTAATTTCCCTTCTTTGTCTCCTTGTAGTTGGTACAGCACAAAGTGAATGCAGCCCTAGTGAAAGGGGTTATCAAGCCAGCAATCTGACCTAGCATATATAATGCGAGTTTCACTTGTCACGCATGTCTGTCTGTATTTTGTTATTGAAGTTGATCAGCATGTTCAAGTTTTCTTTCATGGTTAATTCATTCCATATACCAGATAAACGTTTACTATCACACACATCGATACAAGCAAAAATGAAAATTGTGAGATCTGCAAACGCTGATTACATTGAGACAAGATGTACAGTTAGTTTTGCTACTAGCCAAGCGCGGTACGAGTTTTTATGTACACAAGTACACGGGACAAGAGTTTTCGGAGAATTCGGGTACTTAGGTTAATTACTTGTCAAGTTTGCGTTAAGAGTTTTATTATATATACCATGCATCCATACAAAAGAAAAGCCAGGAAACTGGATGATTTCTGTTCTATGGGAACCATAAAAAAACTACACAAACAAAAAGATAAACGCATTTGGTAAAAACTAGCCTCACTGTTGCTTTCCCATGGAGAGCTTAATCTAGATTCTAGAATACTTGAGCATTCCTTTTCATCAGGTCGTGCAGTGTATCACAAGTTTCAATCTGCAAGAGACAAAATGCTGTTTTCTGTACCTGCGGATTTTGCTTTCCCAATCCTCGCAATCGCAAGTTCCATTTTTCCACCCGGTGGTGGGAAAGGGGTCGTCGCGAGACAAGCGATGCCATGACTTTAGAACGTTTAGACGAATCCTGCGAATTCACAAGTATACAGAACCAGTACTAGTTATATTCACTGCATCCCAGTGATAAGGGAAGCCAAAATTCCTACTTTCAGGACCCGATTTGGTCACGTTTCAGACGCCAACCCCTTATATGGGGAAAGCAACGGTGACGCTTTATATAATCTTCTTGCCACCCCCTATCACTTTGCCTTGGCCAAAAAGAATAAACTTTCTGACTCAAGATGTAGACAATGTACTGCAGCACCTCTACCTCATATCTTCCCTGCTCCTCCTGATAAGCATATATAGATATATGCACACATATAAATATACATACATTCATACCACGATAGTCAGAGACTAACGCTTCCAACCGAACATATATACAGATGAAAAGAATAGATCAAGAACACTCAGCTCATCCATAAACTCAGCAAAATGTAAATGCAAAAGGAAAATTTTGTTCTAAATAAGAAATATTGTATTGATTGCAAAAGAGATAGTTTGTCTATAACACAGTCATATACCTTTTGGAATTCTATCTTCACCAATCACACAAACAAAAAAAGAAAAAATAAAAAATAAAACCAAAATAAATCCCAGAAAATCAGGAATCCCAATCCTTAAACTTTTTCCTAGTCTCATCAATATAAAAAAAAAAAAAAGAAGCTAGAAATTAAACCATGATTCATACACTTTGTGCCACATTTTCGGATGCTGATGAACAATGGTTTAATTTCCACCTGAGGATTTGTCCCTTGGATGCTCACCCTCTTGTCTAGCCTTCTTATTCTTTTGCTTTTTTGCATCATCAGCTGTGGTGCCAGCACTTCTCTTTGCATATGGTTTCCTCTTACGGGATCTCAGATCCTTGCCACAGATGGTGAACATATTTCCTGCTTCAGGACTGCTAAAGTCAGCAGGGTTTTTGTTGGTCCTGCAAACACCATCAGCTGAGAATTGCCTCCCTGACCCTGACCTAACCGGCGCCAAGACAGCCTCCATGATCGGCTGGGCTGGATTCACATAGCGTCGATAAGGTGGAGCCATTGTCTGAGGACGCGGAATTGTGTTAGCACCATTAGTTCCTGCCTTCTGTTTGTCCTTGACATGAGAAGAACTAGGACCGGCCCCACCACTGGAGCCAGCACCACCACTCGAGCCAGCCCCACCACTGGACCCAGGAGTCTGGGATTTGTTACGAGACACATGTTTCTCTGGAGTTAAGAAAGAAAGTTGGCCTGCAAAACAAAGAAATTTGTTACATCAGGACATCGAAGAAATAAATACAAAGAAACATGAAGCAGCAAGAAGATAAATGTTCATACTACTGGCAGCTGAATGGGGTCTTGAGCTTTGGTAACTTGAAAGGGCAGGCCCAAGGGTAGGAGGTTCCTTGGTTAGAGATTGACGCAAAAACAACGATCCACTGGTCAAATCCTGCCGTTCATCTCTGCTGAACCTCGGGTGATATGAACATGGAGAAAAGGGCTTACTGGGGAACTTTGTAGTGCCTAGACTGAAAGCTGTATCAGATGATCCCCCATCCATGAGACTAAGCAATTGCAATGCCGGAATGCTTTCATTATTATACTTATAGGCATCTGATGGTCCCTTTGCTTTTGAGCCAACTGCTGAATCGCCTGATTTATAAATAAAGCGAGCTTCCTCTGACTTTTTTAACTCATCGAGCTTTATGTCGCTGATAGTTTTGCCTTTGTGATGTTCAGCTGCTTGCTTTTGCTGTATACCAAATCCAAAAGTCTGTTTCGATGAGGTGGATGATAATATTGGTTCCCGTACTTGATTGTGATGAAGTCCAGCCCTAACAGAAGCTGACGGAGAAATTTGTATTCCACTGGATGTTTTCTGTTGATTCTGTGCAGAAGAGGTGTAAATGCTTTTATGATTTCCTTCAGTTTGGAACAATTTCATATTGTTCTTGCTCATATGAGCGAAAGGAACAGGATTTCCTTGCTGCTTTCTGCCATTTTCACTCGCCACAGATGCACCCCGTGGAGTATCTACAAGTGGAATGGCATGTAGGCCAAAACTTCTCACCACATCATCCATTGTCAGTGGTGCGTCCCCCCGATTTGGCAACCTCTGTACTACACGATTAACGTCATTGTTATTTTTCTTATCGTGTTGCTGCTTTGCAAGAAGCTCAACTATGTCCATTGGGAATTCATCTGCCCTCTGATCACTTTCTTTCGATTTTCCATGATTGATACTCTTCTCCTTCAGACCAAGGTTGAGGAATTCCTGAAGAAGAAACTAGTCAGAGAGGAAAATTTATACTCCAATATATTGAGAAAGTCCAGCAGATATCAACCCTGGTTATACCTACATCAGCACTATTTAAATTCAAGAATATGTTAAATGCTAGCTTAATTAAATCTACCCAAATGTAGCAAATGCAAAGAAAGCTTACAGTTTCTCTCTGTATCGGGAAATTATTCGTCTCAGAATTGTAAGGGATCACTGCAGCTCTCTCATTCAGATCCAAGGATTGTCCCTTGCTGCATGATTTTTTTAACTCAGCAGTAGGCAAAGCATTAGATTTTCCAAAGAGTACATCATCCTTCTTCAGAAATGCCTTACTTCCAGTGTCTAGAGAGTTATTTTTTGTAGAAAAACTGCCGAGAGACAGATCCAGACCCACTCTGGTAGACTTATTGAAAGATGGTTGGCCATTCAACCCTGCAGACAGCAAACCGACATGATTTTGATCTCTTGGTGCTGCAGATGGATGACTTCCCCACCTTCCAGTTACTGATGAGGCTGGAAGTGATCGAACGACTGAAAAATCAAGCACTTCAGTGGGCTTGCTCTTCTTCTTACTGACTGGAGGAGTGATCTCGCTTCTGCGCCTCAGACGTTCAGTCTTTGTACCGATAAATAAGCCCTCACCCCCAGATGGAACTGTCTCGACATCATCAGAATCGGGGATATCTATAACCATTATGGCTTTCCCGGTATCTTTCTTGTTGGCTTTAACATTACTTGGAACATTGCTTGGATCATTTGTGTCCTCGCCTTCACGACTCACCTTAGCTTTTTTCTTTGGGCTCTGCACATCTTTAGCCGCATCTTTTTCAGAACCAACCTGACCCTCCACTACAGCATTTCCTGATCCAACAGGTTCCAGCAATGGGGTACTGGTTGATAAATTTTTCTCTGCTGTCTTCATTGTTGAGTTGCCCTGGTCACCCAAAAGGTCAGTCAACAAACGCACTTTTCGAACTTTTCGTCGCGGACCATTTGAGTTTTCATTTTCCCGGCCGCGATCATTTTCAGTTTCATCATTCTTCCCAGGCATTCCATTAGCAGCACCCTCAACAGAAGTAACTTTATCTTTTCCGGTAAGAGTTAGTCCTCTTTTTCTGTTAGTAGATTTATGCAGCCCACCCCGACCACCGTTGTGACCCGAATTGGTGTTCACCTTTTCAGCAGGAGCTTCAGCAACCCCTGCAGAAAGTATTTACATGTATCAGCACAAAATATTGCATCTGTAGAGACAGATATTCAAAACATGGAATAACAAGGAAAAGAAGTGAGACTCCAACATACCACCAACAGTCAGTCGACTAGTTTTAGTTTTAATTCTCTCATCAGCAAGTTTTTCTACTCCATCCACCACAGGCTCGATTGGTGCATCTTTATCACCTGCAAGATTATTGGCGTGGCATAAAAGGAAATGAAACTAATGGGGTCTTTTTTATGTGACAAAAAGAATTAAGTGACTGAGATGATGCAGATATACAATACCAGTATGAGAAATATCTACAGCTTCTGCACTTATTATTTCTGGAGTATTTGGGAGTAATGCAGAGAATTCAACCGCATTTTTACTTGCACTAATATTTGCGACGATGGATTTCATGCTTTCTGTACTTGGTGCTGTTTGGCCTTGCAGTTTTCCTATATTTGTGCCGATTGATTGAATGCACTCAGAGATTCGTATCAAAGAACTATGCTGTATTCCTGAGATAGTGCCAATATGTCTAATGTCCTCACTGGTTCCTTCGGAGGAAGCTAGCTGTAGTCCTAAATCTGTGCCAATAGATTGAACATCCTCAGTATTTTCAGGTACAAGGACTTGCTGCATTCCAGCATTTGTGCCAACACATTGAGTGCCCTCAGTATTTTCAGGAACAAGAACTTGCTGTATCCCAGAATTTGTACCAACAGGCCGCAGACTGACTTCTGCGGGGGTGCCCAGCTGAACTCCTGAAAAAGATGAACCTACATTAACACAAGAAGCTGCATTAAGAAAGATGCAAAAAGACAAAGGATAGATTTCAGTTGTACCAGCTCTCTCTATCTCTAGGCCGCTACATTCTGGGCAACGCCAGTATCTATGGTTTGGGGTTTCGATGGGAGGAAGGTCCTTATCATTGGAGACGGAAATTGAAGGAAACAATGAAGACAACTTTTGATTACTGCTACGCTTTGCAAAACTGAATCCACTGCAGTAAGTGAAGAACATACACAAAGGAAATTGTTAGCCAAGCATCATGAAAATACTCACCTACTAAGTACCTAAAATAATTATTTGGCAAATCACATTATGTTTGATTCCTGCGTCAGATGAGCACGTAAGAAATATGACCAAGGGGAGTAGGGATCAGAAAAAGGCTTAATAAGAGTCAATATGAGCAAAAAAAACCTAAATGAACCATATGTAACTGCAACCATTCAGAATAAGACTGAAGCAATATTCAGAATTAACAGTGAGTATTAAATACTTATATTTGACTGCAATCATATCAATAAAAAAAAACTCCAGTTAAATAGAGCTAGTTACTGATGAGAAAAGTAAGTCTCTTAATTAATATGAAAGTACAGTCAACACCTGACATCATGTGCAGTATCAAAGTTGAAAACTAAATTCACTTCCAAGATGTAACTCAAGACTAAAGAACAGACAGATTTCGAAGAGGCTAGAAACATTCACATCATGTTGGTGATGTATAGCTATAACCATTCACAATTACATAAACAACAGGCAAGAATCTCAGTCCATTTGCTTCAAGGACAGGTAAAGTTAAAAAAAATATCAAACAAGTGTTACCGGATTGAAAACTTATGGTCACAGCAGTGAGTTGGATCCATCTGATCTGGTGCAAGCAACGGAAGCTCTATGTAAATTGAATTAATCTGAATAATAGATCCGGATGAGTTGGCAGAAGAATTTTCTTCTGCTGGCTCCTTACTAATCTCCATACGAATCAGAAAGACACAGAAGCACTGCACAAAAATTCCACATCATTAATCAAGGGTGAAATAACATAAAAGTGTAATCTACAAATGATGACTTGGCTCATGCAGTAGTAACCGACTAAGCTGACAAGTGCATTTTATAAAGAAATCCCCAACAGCACACGGAATAAATACACCAGTAATTATGACGTAACTCCAAACAGTAAATCACTGAAAGATTAAACAAAAGAGAAAAAAAAAAAAAAAAGGGAATACCAGCCATCATCCAGTTGAGACACGTATCAAACACCTGTCAAAAAAAACCCTAGTCGAAACGGCAGACGAAAGAATGTCGCAGAAAAAATTGACCACTGTAACAAACAAGTAAATCATTACAAGCTAATAAACTCATTAAACCAACAACAAAATTCCAAAAAAAAAAAAAAAAGAAGAACACGGAATTACCATGGCAAAAATAACAATAAAGTATTAGGGTTTTTCCATTTTTGGGAAAAATAAAAGCTCAGCTAATTAACAAATACCAATAATGAAAAGATAAAACCAGCATTCATTTCAATAATCAGATAGCAAATAAATTCAAATAACAAATCCAAACACAGACATCAGATACAAAATCAAAGGACCACGAAATTAAAATTAGGGTTTTCGAGCTACGGGACAATCAGAAAAATTCAACGGCCACCGTCATTTCAATCCATAAAGTATTTCAAGAATCACGAAAAAAATATCAGATAATAGTTCAAGAAAGTAAGGAAATGAAAACCAATTGGAAATAGAGTTAAAATGGAAATCGACTTGGCCAAACAGTAAGACCCAGATAAGGAAACCCAAAACCAAAAAAAAAAAAAAAGCTCAGCTCAGCTGAGAAAAAAAAAACCCGATAAGCCCACAATCCAGCATAAACCCAGACAGTAAAACAGTAAAACCACAAGGAAAAGGAAACAAACCTGACTGAATCGAAGATTCACAGCCCGATGAGAAGAAGAGAAAAAATCAGCCCCAACGACTCATGGTTCCGTCAAATCCTCCACCGCAGACTCCCCAAAAACCTATCATTCAACACAAAATGAATCAGAGAACAAGTATAGAACCGAATAAAGAAGCGATTTGAGCTGTGATTCAATGAATTTGAGGGCGAAAAATCCACAAACCCTATCCCCCCGTCTTTTCTTTGTTTAGGTCGGATGAAAAATGGAGGAAAGCAAGGAAGGAGAGAAAATTAAAATAAAAGGAAAAAGAAAAAAAGAAATGTTTTAAGGCGGAGAGAGAGAGAGAGAAGAGAGGGGTTTTTGGTGTGAAGTACACTCTCTCTTCTTACACAAACTGTTTGTTTTGTTTTAAAAATGGTTTAAGGTCATCAGTTTTATAGTGCTTTTTGTCCGTTACGTTTTGGTTTTCTCATTTAATTTTTTTTTTTCCTTTTTTTTTACTTTTTCCTCCTTTATCTTTGAATTACGTGAATCTGGTTACGTTTTAACGTAGGAGAGAGATGGCGGTCGTCCAATGAGATTTCGCCACCGAGGCGTATGAGGTGGGTAGTGCTTATCTCCACCGTTCACTTGTCTGGAGAAGAAAAAAAAAAAATTAAACCCTAGTCAAGTTCAAGTCTAGAGCGCGTGGGAACTACTCTACTTTGAGATAGTACTTTTTTTCCCCATTTTCAGGTTTCCCGCGTGAGGTGTCGTCTTTTAAGCGTGAAAAGATGCTCCGCACTTAAGTTGGATCTGATTGGTTCGTGTGTTGTACATTCTTGACGCGAGATTTTGGATCAGTGCCCGAAGAAGAAAACTAGGCATGTGGTCCTTGACTAAAAACCCTAAATATTTTTTTGTTTGTAAATTTAGAGAAAAAGAAAAATGGAAATTTTAAAAGGAAATTGGGAAAAAAAGAATTATAGAAATGAGGATAGCCCTAACAACCTGATGAGGTTGGTGTGGCGGAAAGTACAAATATATGACCAGATACATATTGTCATTATTTTTAATACTTTTTGGGTAAATAAATTTATAACGTAATAAAAATATATATTTTATATTTTGGTTTGTAATATTGCAAGTGACTCTCCTACTATTTTATCTTTATAGATTATGGAAATCTGAGACAAAAAAAAAAATAAATGGATTGAGATTTTACCAAAATTTAATACTGGTAGGTGGGAATTAAAAATTGGATTTACATAATCTGGAGAGTTAATTATAGTCAGATTTTGCGCATTTACTCTCAACAGATTATTTCCGTGTTTCTCACTGCCTACATTAATTAATGATGATTAATGAATTTCGACTCATTTATGAAAAAAGGATGATTAATTTGGAGGGTAAAAATAATAATAATAATAACGTCAACTTTTTCGAGGATAGGAAGGAAAAGGAGGGAACTTTGTTGTGGCTTTTTTTCCTACTACTGTACGCGTTCGTAACTGAAGGGAAATACTGTGGTTTCTATAAGCGGCTGATAAGTCCAGGGCACGGTAAAATTCTCAATTCATTTTAACTGTCCTCGTCGATGTAAAATTGAAGGCTTACAAACTTCATCATAAACGTGATATTTTACTCCAATACTTTATCACTCGCCTTGGTCAGTGGTGTGAAAAAGTACGATGAACACGACTATCTCGAGTCAAAGTAACTATATATGCGTTTTTTAATTATTACGGTCCGCTTAAATTCTAATTAGCGAATTGAATTTAGTCAATAAAGTATCAATTTTCTTGGTATGTAGTGTGCAAAACGTAAAATGAACACAATTATCTCGAGTCAAAAAAAAAATGTATGCGTGTAACTGTGTATGTATTTTTTCACTATCACGATCACTTTAAATTCTAACCGACAGATTGAATTTAGTCAGTAAAGTATCACATGCCCTGTTCTGTGATCTGAAAAAAATACAATGAACACGATCATCCCAATTCAAAAATATATATGTGTACACGTGTAACAATATACGCGTTTCTTCACTGTTACGGTCTATTTAAATTTGAACCAGTGAATTGAATTTAGTCAGTAAAGTATACGCAACCGCTTAAGAAATATATTTTAAGATCAAATGAAATTTAAGGTTAATAAGTGCAGGGTAAAAAAAAAGTGCATGGTAATTTTTTCAACAATGGATTATATTTACATCTCTAAGATTCTAACTTTTCTTGTCTGAAATAAATTGAAAGGTTGTAAAACTTCATCCTAAACGTGATATCTCAATGGAATACCTTCCTCACTTGCTCTCATTTGTGGTGTGAAAAAAGTAACATCAACTCGATTATTTCAAAAGTAATATACGTGTAATTATGTATGCTTTTTTATGGGTTGAGTCGAATCCTACTCAGTAAATTTTAATTCAGTTAGAAAATATATTTAACCGCTTAAAAAATCTTGATCCTAGAAATGATATTTCAACCACACACATATGTCACTTGCCCTCATTTCCGGTGTAAAAAAGTATGATAAACACGATTATTGTGAGTTGAAAAGAAGTATATGTGTAATTGTATATGCGTGTTTACATTATATATTACAGTCCTCTCAAATTCTACTAAGTGAGTCGAATTTAATCGGTAAAATTCTGTTTAACAACAAATTTCAAGTTCTAAGGGTCTTTTAAAATGTTACACGACAGGTATGTTACTTAAGCAAGTTTGAGTTGAAAGGGCATGGTTACTGTAAAAGAAGGAAAAAAAACACGTGAGTTATTATGTGTTTCAAAGAAATGTAATGTTGTCTAGGATTTGGCTTGTACGGAACGATGCATACAGATACACAAGGACAAGTTTTTCTCCCCAATTAAGTGGTCAAAAATTCACAAAATCTCACTTGCTGACTCAACGTTCATCATTTCATGACTCTTAATAAGAACTTTCTGAAAACACTGATATTTTCCTTTAATATATAACAAACTTTGAACATATTTTGACCCAAACTGCCCATCAGTGGATTGTGTGAATCATATTAAGTTGTGAGGAGCGTTAACCTAGAGATTTTCAAACTAGCTAATACCAAATTGAGAAAATTTTTTGAGTATTAATCTTTGTTCAAATTTTTTCTTATAAAGGATGTTAGCGTTTGAGATAGAGTTTGTAACCGCGACATCGGTTATTTAATTCTCACGTGGAAGCTCATACATGAACTGTACCAGCGGTTTTGATATTTCATCACTGCGTCATGTTTTGAAGTTTTACACCCTCTTTTCTTACTTCTTCATTTAAATAAACAAGGAAATGATTTTACCAAATTGTAATCATATTACAACTCCCCTTCATCGTTATAGTCTAGTTTTCATTTGCAGTTAAAAAATAAAACCAAAAAAAAAAAAAAGAAAAGAAAAGAAAAAAGAGTTTTTAGATGGTCAAAACCAAAGCAAAATTCGAAGGACAAATTATGATTAATTTTTTTTTAAAAAAAAAGTTTTTTCCCTTCTGTTACAAGTTCATACTTTTCTGGAAAAAAGATATTCTTTTCCCTATTAAGGCAAAAAAAACTTTATCAATGCTTATCTTGCAATTGTATCGATACGTAATGCTTTAGTCACCTTCACGTTCTGGCAAAAGAGAAGCATATATACTGATCCGCGTGAACTCCTAATGTTGGGAATTAGATTCTAATAATCAATATGCTGTAATTATCTTTTAATATGTATGAATAATTTCAGTCACAAATCTGGCTTTTAACTTATTTGCTTTACTTCTTCTCTCAAAAAGTTAGTGAATCCAAGGCTTAAAGCTAATTCAGTACTGCTATACAGAACAAGTGAAGATTCAACCAACTGATTTTCTTCATATAAAAGATTTTCATGTCGATGCTAATTATGCAAATGATAAGTTAATGTGTATGCATGTTTAAGATTTTTTAGTCACCAAGCTGAATACACCAATAAAATTTACTCTGTCCTATAAAAATAATTCACTTTTTTTTGGAATTATATAATACACATAATTATTTTTCTAGAACACACAGAGTATTAAAAGTACTTAGGATTGAGTAGAAATTTTCAAAGCTTAAAGTAACCACTAGAAAAAAGGAAATAAAAAAAAAAAGTCTGCTGATGCTATAGCAAATACCATTTTCAGCTAGTACAACATTAACCCGTCGGAATCACTCCAAAGTTTCATCAACTGATCAACATGTCTATAAATTCACTCAAAAACAAAAATGATGAAAATGGAAAGGTTTTCTTCTATTAGATATATGCCGAGTCCTGGAAAAAAAAAAAAAGGTTTAGAAACGGTGATATGTGTAAGCAGTAACCCTTTCTGACGTACGTTCAATGGAAGTCTAAAAAAAATTTTCTACCCGAATAATTTTATTTTAACATTGCGTGGTTCCTGTTTAGTTGTTATGTCATCAAAACCATATCCACCAATAAGGAAATGATAGTTCGAATTCCATTCGGTGGGTTGTTCAACTTTTCTGATGTTTATCGAGAAAAAATACTCATCAATGATGCCATGAACTGAGCGGTAAAGTTAATCTCTAAAACTGTGTATGTCAATCTCTACTTGCTTTACCTTCCTCAACAAATACTATGGAATTAGGCTCTTATTGTCTACAAACTGTTACATCTTTTTTTTTAATGATCCCAAGTCTTTATAAGCTGTGGACAACCCTTGAAAAATAAGTCTAGAGCTCCGCCCACATCAATATGATCGTTTCGAATCCGATATTCTTTTTTTAAAAAGAAAAAGGGAAATCCGTCACGTCGAGAACCTGAATGATCCCTTGGTGGATTCAAAACCACCACCAAGAGAAACACAGACGAAATGTGATATGCGTCCCATATATAATTAGTCTTGTAATGCATATAAATATGGCCCTAAACCCAACCAAATTTAAACAAATCGT